TAAAATAAATATTTATCATTATAAATATTAAACATATAATATTTAATTATATTTAATATTAAATAATAAATATTATATCATATTTCATTAAATAGTATTTAATATCTTATAATATTCTATAATATTTAATTAAATACTAAATTATATAATACTCCATATTATATAAATTTTACATATTTCATTAAATATCAAATGCTTATATAATATTAAGTTATATAATATTCCATATTATATAAATCAAAAGTAACTTTTGAACGTAAAAGTTAGATTTAACAACAATAATAAACAAGGCCTTAATTCTAAAACTATGTTTAAAATTAATTTTTTATGAAATATTATTGTATGATTTACTGACAATATATAGTGCTATACACCCACAATACATCATATATAAGTTTATAATGTTTTAACTCTGTTGTTCTATTGCTAATTAGTTGAGCATTGTTCTTGTAAAGTAAATGATATGTGTTGGTATATTTTGGATAACTTTATTAGCTATCGTCAATAGTAATGATTTTAGTGGAAATTTACAAAACAGTATAAAAGGTTTCTTTTAGGACATGATTTTCGGTTTGTAAGTGAGACATTTGGAACCTTATCCTTTTAAAAATTTGTTTCTTGTTTCTCAATTTCAAGTATAAAAGGTTTCTTTTAGGACATGATTTTGTAAGTGAGACATTTGAAACCTTATCCTTTTACAAGTTTGTTTCTTGTTTCTCATCTTTAAGCAAATTTTATTGTCTTTCAAACATAAATAACTAACTTATATAGCAATACAAGAATTCTAAATTCAACCGTAATTTTTCACTGAAATTTTTTTTTTCCGAGCTTAGCAACAAAAGAATATGTACAAATTAAAACCCTTTAAAAATGGACTCACTTGAAAAAATTGCAGAAGTTTGACTTTGATGAGTAATTCTTTTAAAATTATTGGTAGGTAGAGAAAGGAAAAATTCACAATTCTATGAAAAATGAAAAAACCTGTAATTATCAATTGCCAGTTTTTAAATTTGAAAATGATAATGGCAATGACTTTTTAATTATGCAGATGTTAAAGAGTGAATGTCAATGCGGTTGCAGCTGGCAATCCTCTTTTTCTAATGTGAAGAATTATGTAACATTTAACCAAAGTCTTAGTACTATCTTGTCTTTTCTTGATCGCCCGACCCTCGCCACTTTCGAGCGAAAGCTTCACGATCCTCGCGAGCCTCAGTTGTCGTTTTCAACGAAGACTTGGAAGAAGAGAAATGGAGAATTTCAGCTCGCGCTTTCTCGAACGAAAATATGTCGTCTTAAACTCGTTAAATTTTTTTTGACTTCGAATGAATCCCTGAATTTGCAGAGCTGGTAATAGAAATGAACATCATGGAACAGTTGAGAATTTGCCCAATCAGAGAAGTGAATGGTCTTGCGGTAGAGTTTCAGTGCTCGAAATTAGGAAAGTTTTCATCATGGAAGCCCAGCTTTGCTGAAACAGAGATCTTTAATATCTTCTTCTCACTCTGCTCCTAGACTGTTCGCTTCTCTGATTTGGGCGATTTTATTTGCGTCCCAGGCTGTTCCATGACTTCTGCTTGTAAGTTAAAGCTCCTTTTCCCTCCCCTTCTCCATTTTAATCACAGTTGAAACCAATGCAGAGAGATGTATAAATCAAAGCCCAGAAAAATACCATCGATACAGTGTCAAGGATTTGCCACGACGTACAATTCCAGTACCTCCTCAAACCCAGGCTGTTTCTTCGATTTTCTCGAGCTCCAAACAGGTAAGAGAAAACATTACTTTCTCTAGCCTCAAATTTCAGTCTACTCTTTAGGCTCTTGTTGGTTTTCATTAAGACTTTTTAGGCCTTTTGGATCTACAACGTTATTTTATCGTGTTTGGATTTAATTTAATTTTAAATTGAATTTATTTAATTATATTTTAATTTTTTGATTAATATGTTTGATTATTTAATAATTATATATATATATGTAATTCTTAATTATAATTATAATTTGTAATTGTAATTTTATCAAAAAATAATTTGTCAAAAACAAAAAGTTGAAAAAGTTAAAAGTAAAAATAAGTATCTAAAAGGGATAATGTTATATTTAGAAATTTTATTTTAAGAAAATTTTCAATTTACATGTTTTTTTAATTAAAATATGCAATGTGATATTATTATTATTATTATTGTTATTATTATTATTATTATTATATGTATTAATATCTAGTTTATTGGCTAACCTAACCCTCTTACTAAAAGACGATGATGTGGGTAAAAGTCAATTAAATAATAACACTTGTCATATTAATTTACACATCATCAATAAAAAGTTTTCAATTTGCTTATATGGCATGCACATGGATGCCATGTGTCAATTAACAATCGACAACTAGTAAATTTTCAAAAACCTTTATTTTTTAAAATTGATTTATTTTATTTTTTAAAAATAAAATGAAATATATTATTACTTTTTAAAAATAAAAAGTAGAAAAATTTTAAACTAAAATTTGTTTTTTAAAAACTTTTACATATGAAAATTTAAAAACCTCTTAAATGTTTTTCTTTTTTCCTTTTTTTCCCCAATTTTTATGGTAGCCAAGACATAATTTATTGAACATTAAAAATTGCTGGTATTAGCATTTGTTATTAAATTTACTTTAAAGATTTTTTTTGGCAAACAAAATTTATTTTTTGAGAAATTATACGGTTAAACAATATTAATAGAATGACACATATTTTTAAGGTATTTTATAAAAATAAAATATTAACAAACTATTAAGAAAATGGGAGAAATTATCCCATTACATAACTCAAAAAGTAAGAAAAGTGAGATGAATTGATGAGCTTAATAGTTATGCTATGATATTTTATATGTTAAATTATACAATAGATTTTTGTATTTTAGTTAAGTGATTGAATTAATCCTTTTATCTTAATATATTCAAATTGAATCGCTATACTTTAAAAAATTATCAAATTTAGTCAAACTGTAAATGGTTAAAACTTTTTCTATTAAAATTGATGACATGGCATTTTAATTTTCCTAACGTGATATTTTTACTTACCGTAGCCATTGACTTTGTTAACGTGTCAAGTCTATATGGTAAAAATTATGATGCGACAAAAATATTTTGCCATGTCAACATTTTTCACATCAAATTTTCTCAAATTGTATGGCTTGTTTTTACTTGGGTTAAATAGTAAAATTAGTTTTTCTACCTTAATATGTGTTCCAATTTGGCTTCTATACATAATTAATTAACAAATTTAAGATTTGACCTAAAATAAGTAAAATAAAACTAAAACAAAATACAAAAACTTTTCAATGCAAATACGTTAAGTCATAATAAAGTCAATGTATGGGCAACACACAAGTTGCACCAAACCTGTTTCCTAAAATGGCATCATTTTAACCTGTTATAAAAATAAAAAATTATTTTTTATTTTTATTTTTTTTCTCTTCTCTCATCCTAATTTTCTTGTTACTTCTATTTACAAGTCTCATTCAACGAACTCATATTTCAAAGGGATTTCTAAAAATCAGTGATTAAAAAATTCAACAATCATTAAAAAAAATTTATCCTAAAAACTGCCAATAACTAGAAATCAATCATTGACACCACCATTTTGTATCATTGTCCAAAAGCAACACTTAGAAAATTTTCATAAAAATTCTAAACCTGAAACCTTTAAAAAAGAATTTCTCAACAAAAAATTATTTCTAATTGTTTATGTTGGTTGTCTTTGTTTTTGTTGCATTATCTTGACAATTGTTATTGAATTCTCAAAATTGTCCCAAATCAATCTTTCCAAAAAAAATTTTCATATTTTCCTTATTTTTTCAATTTCCAATTTTTTATTTATTTATTTATTTTTTTGGCTTTCTCTTTACTTTGACTTCTTGACTTTCAACAACTAAGCAATAAAAATAAATAAAGAAAATAAAAAATAAAAAATAAAATACTTTTAGGCCTTTAAATTTGGACTTAAAATCCAATTTTACAATTAAAACCTAATTGATCCAATAACGATTTTAGAACCCAATGTCAAAACAAAATTTGAAACCCATTTAATGTCTAAAAAATTTCTCGGCACAATGAAATGTCTACAATTGCTTCTATTGTTGGTTTTGTATATGAACTTGTTGGGTTTATTGATTATGGGTTTCTTAATCTAACTTTTATGTTTTTGTCATTTTTAAAGTTTTTTTGTTTTTATCTATTTTTTATTTTTATGTTTCAAAAAAATGAAAATAGAAATTAATAAAAAATATCAATATCAATATCAAAATAAATAAATAAATAAATAAAAGATAAAGAAAAGATATAATTCAATTTATGTTGAGCTTATAGTCTAATGTGAGATTAACCCAATTTGTCAAATTAAGTCCAATTAATAATTCAAAATCCAAAAAAATTATCTAAATATGAAAAAAAAAATCAATATCGAATTAATAATTTATGTTTTTATATGTTATTTTAGGTCAAATCTTAAATTTGATAATTAATTTATGTATAGGGATCAAATTTGAACACATATTAAAGTAGAATGATTAATTCCACCATTTAACAAAAGTACAAAGACGAATTGTATAATTTGAGAAAAGTTAGAGTGGAAAAATGATCACATGTTAAAAAATTTTGCTACATCGTCATCTTTGACCATGTAAACTTTACACGTAAGCAAAGTTAATGATCACGTAAGAAAAAAATGCCATGTCATAAAAGTCAAAATGTCATGTCATCAATTTTAAAGGGAAAAATTTTAAATTGTTAACAATTTGACTAAATTCAATGATTAATTGAAGTATAAGGTTCCAATTTGAGCATATTAAGATAGAGGGACAAAGGATACATTTAGATAGACAGTGAGATTGATTCTAGTGAAATTAAAAATAGTAATAAAATATACTGTAGCTATGATTGAAAAAAAAAAGTTACTATAGTTACGATTAAAAAAAATTTCATAAAAAAATTTATGCTGAATAAACTTCAATGGAGTTGTCATCATGAGCTCAATTGCATCGCACTAAATTTGTGGTAGAATCCAAACCCCCACTAATTCTATTATTTAACTAAGTACAAAGATCTATTATATAAGTTTATCTATTTTAAAAGTTGCAGCTCTCATTGCAAGCTGGTAAGTTGCTGAACTCATTGCAAGCTGGTCTATAAAACAGTTTTCATAAGAATAGAATAGAATTGAAAGGAAGATGTATTGAATGATATTTATAATACGAAGTGTAAATTGATATGTTGAACAAGATAAATAAAAACTTAAATTGAAATACATAATAGATACAAGATAAATATGTAACTTGATAAAAATTAATATACAAAATTCATTAAAGATAACTTATAGTGGAGTGATAAAGCGAGTGACCTTGATAACAATGATCTATGGAGGTTTTCAAACTTTCATTTCCTCCCATGGTTTGGCACTCACCATATAGCCTCAACATTTTGCAGCTATACTAACTTTCTTCTTTGGTTTTGGCCATCAACTTACTGCAATAAAATGAAACCAATATAAAAAAAATACATACATACATATATATTATCAAATTTGTTGTTAAATGGTTGGTAATTTACTATATTTATTTTTCAGTCCTAATGGACTTGAGGCAGAATTTTTCAAATGCTAGATTTTTGGACTATTTGTTTTTTATTTTCATTTTTTCCATGCCATTTTTTATTTTTCTATTTTCCTTTTTTTATAAAATATTTTAATTTAGAATAATTTCACAAAAAATTAACAACTATATATTTAGTGAATTAATTTTTTACTGGGTAAAAATATATTAGGTTATTTAGCAAAAGAAAGAGAGTATGAGAAAGAAAAAATTATAGAAACAAAATGAGAAATATCAATTTTTTTGGTATATTCTTATTTGTCTCATTTTCTATTTTCTCCTTCTTCATTTTCCTTACTTTTTAGTTAATTTGTTTTAAAAATCACTATTTAAAATAATTTTAAAATATAAAATATATAAGATTTTATAAATGATTTTTTTAATTACAAATTGCTTCTAAAAAAATTTTTAAAATTTTTTGTTAATAGATTGTTGGAACTCTTAATTTTAATGACATAATTCAATTAAGTAACTTTAGATGTACAAAAATATATGTCAAATATTTTGGACTTTTAAGTATAAAAAAAAAATTGTAGATAATATTAGTAATAAAATAATAAAACTTCATTTGTTGAGAAAAAAAAATTAAAGAAAAATATGAAGAGACCGACCGGAGATTCTGAGTGAGGCCCTCTTGTGTGGCAAAATCATGGTTCTCTCTTGCTTGTATGATTTGAAACATGAGCGTGAGGCGGTTTAGATTGTCGTGAAACCCCTGTCTTAAGCACTTTGCTTCCATCTGGATTTGTTCAAGTTTCAATTTATTGGCTTCACATTTTTCTCGTATTTGATTTTGTGCCTCTCTAATTGATTTTTGTTCGTTACTTATCTCCGCCATCTCTGCTCTCAACCGTCTCATCCTAGCGTTTATCTCCATTGTTGTCGGACGCTTCCTCTTTAAAATCTAAAACAACAACAATTCAAGTACATCAAATATCACATATTTCATACGTTTTCACGCATATTTAAATAACCTATGAATTTATGAGTTTAATACTTAAATATAAAACCCAACAAGTGTGATATAATGTTTTAAATTTGTATTTGGTTCCTCTTCTATCCCAACTTCAATTTTTGAATTTTTTAATGTTAAATTTTAAATCTAAAAAATATTAATTATTATTTAATTAAAGTAAATATAATTTTTTTTTAACTGATACGTCATGCAGTCAAAAAATCAATCCATATATTTTAAAATTTTAGGTCATCACCAAATGATTAGGTCATCCAAGTAAAATGTAAAATTCTAATACTGTTATTAATTATTTTTAAATTTACTCTTAATAAAAGTGCATGGATTAATAATAATATTTTTTATTATTAAAAATATTAGTAGAAACTATTTCATATAAAGATTTAATTATTCCAAATATATCAAAAAGTTGAAATTAAATAAAATTATATAATTTATCAATATAATAATCATATTCTCCATTCGCCAAAGTTGAGATTGAGATTAAAAATCATTATCCAAACTCAACCAGATTCAACGCTAATTCTAAGAACGTAGATGAACGATCTACTCTTGGAAATCTCTACTATAGCAATTCAAACTTTAGTATTCCTCTTTGTGATTGTTAAGATATCCATCCAATACCCTTTTTCGCTTTGATTGTTTGAAAATGTAAAAAAAAAAAAGTTGCCTCTTTCCAATAGCAATAAGTTTGGAAAGGATTAATTAGCCTAGGGTTTTACCGCCCCAAATCAAATTGACTTGACTTTTTTATTTTTCCACTTGAGCTCAATCCATTCGACATAAGATTAATATTTTTTAATATTCGATAAAGCAGAAAATTTTAAAAGGGAAGCCAAACAGTACTGTGATATGGTAGTATCAAAATTTTGGGGCTGCCCCTATAAATTCACCTTTGTATATAATTTGCATCCAACTCAAAATTTTATTTTGGAATTTTTATTTTTTTATGTAATTGAAATTTTATTTTAGTATAAGATTGGTGAAAAAAATTAACATAAATTATCTATAAATAGATTATCTCTTGGATCAGGTTTATGCTTCAAGTGTTCTATGTACTTGTTTATAGCTCCTTTGGGAATTGGTGTGTATTTCTTCTTTGGAACATTGTAGTTGTGGTTAGAGAAAGTAGCTTGACCCGTATCCGACAAATTTTGATTCGATCCAATTTTTTAAGGTTGATTTTTTTTTTTTTTTTGAAAATTGAATATCAGGTGATAGAAGGGACAAATTGGGATCGGGTTTTATATAAAACCAATCTTACTCGACCTAGTATATATAAAAAAAAATTATTTTTAATCAATTAATTAATTTTATATTTATATTTAAAAAATAATATTTTATTAATTTCGAATCAGATTGATTATAATTTTATATAATATCAAATTATATTCAAATATAAAAAAAATTAAAAAAAATAGATCAAATCGAGTATTATATATATATATAATTGAATTAGATTCAAGATGAACAAAAACTCGGTCTCGTTACCATCATAATTGGAGTCATCTACTTCAGATGAATAAAATTTTTCATCGGTTGAGCAAAAAGTATACAACTGGCAATTTGTCCAAATAATAATACTAAAACTGTAAAATGAACTTGGAGCAGAAAAAGGACAAAGGGGTGGTATTCCATAAATATGTAAAAATAAAAATAAATTAGTTGAATATAATATAATAAAATAATGATACTTGAAATCAATGAATTGGGGACTGAAAATCTTTATATTTTTTGTTTTCTTCTTCAACTTTTTTTTTCTCTCTCAATCTCTACTATATTTTTATTTGTTTCACATTAAAACATAAAAAAAAAAATTATTTTTTTTGAAAATTTGTAAAATTAATTTTATTTATACAAACTTATGAATTTATAGTATATAAACTAATATACAGCAAAGGACAAGAATTCCCCTTTTGGTTTTGGAATTATGTATTATTTATCTTTTTCTAGTACCAAATTTTTTCATTGTTTTGTGCCCCTCACCTTCTCCTAACTTCTTTATCTGCCTTCGGCAACACCGGGTCCATCGCAAATGGCTAGATCTGACAACGATCGTTCATATCTAGTCCAGCAAGGCCATGGCCACAAAAACTTAATCGGCTTCTTTCTTTTTTATTTTTCTTTTCAAAAATAAATAGGGGAAATAGAACATAAAGAGAATTTGTATTATTATTGGACGGAACCAACGTTGAAGATGTTCCAAAAAGAATTAAAAACAAAACAAAAAAAAAGGAATAATGAATCTTATTTTGGTTAGACCCACTTAATAATAATAATTGATTTTTATATATTAATAATTTGAATCAATATTCATAACAATTAACAAGGATAAAATAAAATAAAAAACCATAAATAAAAGTAAACAAACACCATTTTTTTTTGGATAAATAAGTAAATAAATACCTCATGGCTTTATCGGAAACGCATCTTTGGTTTGGATGGCTGTGTGGGGAACGCGTCCTTGATTTCCTGCTTCGCACTCACGACATGATTATCGTATTTAAAGATGCAGTAATCGCGTAAATGGAAGGCAGGATTCTCCTATTTACGCGGTTGGGAAGCTTCCTGTGTGCTTCCTCTTTGGGCTTTGCAAGTTGCCAATTATGTGGCATGTCATGTAATAGTATGATGAGCTGATGACATCATAGAATATAATACAAAGTTTTATTGTTTGATATCATAAAATATAATAATTATCAGAAAGGAAATGTAAAGTGTATGTGTCAGATTTTTTTTTTGAGCGGTAAATCCTTAAAATCAATAAAAAAAATAAAAAAAGCAATTAAAACCAAAAGTTGGTAGTGATTCCAATATTTGTGCTCTAATGTTAAAGTTAAAAATTGACAGAAGATAATAATAAAAAAGGAGAAAGTAAGGAAAATATAAGAAAGTAAGATGATAAAATGGTACTTAAATAATCCTATTTATATTTGTAAAAAAAAGGAACATAAGCAATTTAGATTGCCTGAGATCAATCCTAGGTTTTCAAGATGACCTAGCCAATAGAGTTGACCTAGGCATTGATTGTCCACTTTGAAATGACAAGTCAGTATTTAGAGGGACCTATTATATAGACTATTGAGATAATCAAGCTGACGTGGACCTGTAAAATTAAGTCGATCTGATATGTCAGCTTGATTTAAAAGTAAAAAATATCGTTGACAGTCTCTAATGGGCAAAAAGATTACTTTGTTCTTTAGATCTAAAAATTTTCCTAACATAAAGTTATAAAATTATCATAAAAGAAATTATTTTTACATTTTTAACTTTAGTCACTTGCAAATGTTTTGACAAAATAAAAAACATGAATTTTTTTTAACTCTAATTGCAAGGCTTAAGAATTGCATTGGGGTTTATAAGCTGAATTCCTAATGTGTTTACAAGGTGGAAGTTAGATTGCACCGATGATCGTGGGTTGAGTAAAATGCCTCCATTTCCATTTTTTGTAAGTAGGCTCGATTTTTTTCTAACTATTTACTAGTTTCACATAGTTCTTCTAAATTTCAAATAGTATTCAAAACCTTTTCTTTTCTATTATCTTATAAATCATTTAATGAAAGTAGATTATTTTTACATTAATGAACAATCGAAACCAACTCATCCTATAGAAACCAACTCATCCTACCAAACTATCAAAGGTGGAACCACTCAATATTTGTCCTTATGCCATTTCATTATTGATTTTTAGGTTGAATATAAAAAAGTTAATAGCATGCATGATCCCTAAACTTTGGACCAAATTTTATATTGATCCCTAAACTTTGAAATGTTTTAATTGAGTCATTAAGTGCTCAAATGTGTGTTAATGTGGTCCTTTTGTCTATTGAACCATCTAAATTGATGGCAAATCCTATGTGGCATGACACATATTCTTCTAAACTTTTATTACGTGAAATTTGTTAACCCTTCTCTTCTTTTTCTTATCCAATACTATTAACCTAATTTAATTTTCTTAATTTCCCTTGGATCCAAACTTTTTTTATGTGAAATTTTGGTAGCTTTGATCCAATCAATTTGTAATATCCACTAAAAAAAATTAAACCAAAAAAAAGAAGAAGAAACTTTTACAATTTTTTAAGTTTAACTAAAATATGTAATTTAACACATTTGTTATTGCAAAAAGGTTGAGGTAATTTGTTTGCATGTGTAGAAAAAAAAATGGAATTCTCTAAGAACTCAAACACCAAAAAACTAAGATTAACAATTTCAAAGCCCAATAAGATTTATAATCTCTCCCTATCTATCCACAAAGTTTTATTTGATTTTTTACTTTGTTTAAAAGATATAGAGTAGAAAAATAATAAAGATAGGTATTGTTAAGTGTGCTTATGAATAGAAACTTATTTGAATTTTATTGTTGATTTCTTGTAGGTATTTTTCATTCTCAACATCAAGAATCAATTATGGCCAACCTTCATATATCGCTAAGTTCTTATTAGAAAGAGGAAAATTATTCTAGAGGTTTTGTACCAGAAGCTCTTTTTGATAAAAAAAAATACATATTCATTTATGAAAAAGTTGTGCACTTCCTCTCGTTTCTAAAGATTGGTCGGATCAAATTATTAGAAAAAGAGGAAAAGATAATATTTGGGAACAAGTATGTGGGAGAAAAATTGCTTCTTGTCTAGATCTTCCTACTGGTTACTTTTGGCAAAATATTGGTTATAAAGCATCGACTTCTAGAGTTTATTTTACTGGCTCATCTATTTTGAAGTTTAAATTTGAGCGTTGAGAATTTTCACTTTATATTTTTAAGTCTAGTTTGAATTCACAATTTGTTCAAGGTTGGGAGGATTGGGTAAATAAGGTAATTAGAAAACCTATTTATATAAAAGCTTTATCTTTAGTAGGAGTGCTTGATTTTGTACAAGTCATTTCCAAACTTTGTATTTGTAAAGAACATAGAATGGATATGTGGCGTGTTATTCTTATCAGATGTAGTACTTTTTCTCACACAAAGATTATTACTTGCATAGAGTTTACTTCACTCTTGAAGATGTATGTATTCTTTTGAGCTTTCTTGTTTTAAGAAACACAATATTTATGCTATTGAATTATCTGAAAAAGAGGAGAAAGTTTATAGCTTCTTTTGCGATTTGCTCAAATGTTAAAGGGAGAAATCAAAGGCAATTAAATTCTCTAATGAGGTTGTCTACTTTTTTACAAGTTCAAACCTAAAGATGGTCAAAACAATTCTCATAAATATCTTGATTCCAAGTATGAATTGGAAGCATTATTGATTATGTGGTTAGCTCGACATGTATTTCCAATATGTCCAAATGATGCAATTATTCCAACCCTATATTATTATAGCTATTAAAATTGCTAAAGGTATGTGTTTCTCATTAACTCTTTTCTATTCACAATCTCTTTCTAGACAGTTGGACATATATCTCACCAAGACTAAAACATCAGCTGATCAGTATAAGATTCTAACATATATTGATATTTTATCCATTCAAATGTCTTTATAGGCAATGCTTGTGCTTTAATACCTAATATGTATCTTGCAATTGCAACTTTTTATTCTGGCCTTCTCGTTAAAAGTAACTATACAACTTGGACATGGTATAATTAGATTACAAAGAAAAATGTTCTTAAAGTATTAGATAAAGCTAAGAAATTTATTTGATGCCTATACTTGCAAATGAAAAATGGATATGGTGATCCTAATTCCTATTATGGTACTCTGTGCCAACCTTATTGTTAAACATTAAGCAAGCAAAAAATTAAGTTATGTTTCAAGATCAATTATAATGTTACCTTCTATGATTGTGAGTATTATTATTGGTATTAATAGAAAATCATGTTCAGTTGAAATATATTCATTGTGTAGAGTTGTATGTCAATTTGTGTATGATCAAATGAATCCACGTGCTCCTCTTATACCTTTGGATGAGAATTTCCCTTCTTGTGTTTCTGAGTTTCTTTTTAATGAAATTAAAAAAAAAACATAAAAAGTTAGATGTTATATGACGCCAACATTTGACAGGAATTAACTATTGTAGTCCTAGATTGCTTACTTATTAGGATGAGTGTATTTTTAATTAGGAAACCTTTTGCACACCATTACCTAAATCTAAAAAATATCACATAATTTTCAATTTTGCTTAAAGTAATATATCTTTATGCTTGATACGTGTTTCGTCCAAGGAAAAAAGAAAAGCAAGTGAGGATTAAATAGATGAAAAAATCACTGGTATTACTATTTTTCATGCTTCATGTTAATCAAAGAGAAATGTGTGTCTTCTTATAAAGTATGCTATTCATGTTTCTTTTTTTTTTTCTTGTTCTTCAATCTTTTTTTTTTATATAAAGATATATATATATTTTATCTTATTACTTTACTTTTGTAAGAGAAACCTACTCAAAATGAAAGATTTATTATTAATGATGGCAAAAAAACTTATGATGGTGAATATGATATTGAGATTGGTAGTGAATAATTTCCTAATGCTACTGATGATGTTGAAAAAGATGATACTAAAGCTAATGTTGAGAATGCCTAAGTAGAGAATTTTGGATCTTAATTGATAGTGATGCTGATGTTTTTTTAATGAGTTTGTCAATGATATTCGTAGTGATAAAATTGCTCTCTTGAAAGTGAACTAAGTTGTTGGTGATATTGTTCAATGCATAACATCAAACTGTTTAAACATAATCGAGACAGAAGGATGCTATTAGTGCTTCTAATATTCTTGAAACAGATTTTGGTAATGTTCTAATCAGAGTGGATTTTCATGATTTTTTTATTCTATCACAATATATGAAGTACTTATAGTCATTTATTAGAAAAAAATATGAATTTTGGAATATCTATATTTTGTAGATGCTCCATGGTCTAATATTTCTTCAAAAAAATTACAATTGATGTTGTAGTTTATGGACGATGCATTGAAAGCTAAATTTAAGCCTGGATGTGTTGACATACGTACGTCCAAAGTCAAAATTTTTCTTTTTGTTAGAGCTGAAAAAACTAATGTAAAAGCAAAATTGGAAAAGATTACAAAAGATATTACCTTATTTCAAAAAGAATTAAATCGTAAAGAGATCATCGACTGAATTATGAAAGAAGTTGAAAGCTATTTCTCAGTTTAGTAGCACTAAATCTTCTCCATAGAGTCACATAATTAGCTAGATTTTTCTTTGTTACTTCTTTATTTCAACATTTTTCTTGCTTTGAAACTTTCTTCATTTTGGTTTAACACTTTTTCTTATGATATTGACATTTTTTTTCTTCATTTCTCCATTACTAGTAATTGTTTTTCTATCAATATAAGAATATGGTATGTATGCAACTAAGGAGAATTTTTCTCAACTTTACATTATAGAATGAGTATCTTTTAACTCAATGTTCAGGAGATTAATTCAATCTTTTAAAAAAAGCATTAAAGTTGCAGTTAATGTATGATTTGTAAGCATACACAATAAGTTTCAATCAAAATATGAATGATAAAACTACGGTTGGAATATAGTTAGCAAAATATAGCCAAACTATAAACAATAAAGTTACAGCTATGAAAAAGTGAAATACAACCAAAATATAAGTGATAAAGCTATGTCTGAAATAAAATTTATTTCTCATTACTTAATTTATAAACAAATAATTCTCAACCTAGCATTAAAAGAATTCACTTGATAACAATGAAGTTGTGACCAAAGAATGAAAGATAAAGCTATAATCAAGTATTGATTCACAATTTATGAGAGATAGATAATTCTTCACTTGGTATTAAGAAGTTTTATTTAATAGTAATTATCAATAATAGAGTAGCAACCAAAGAATGAGTTATAAAGCTATGACCAAGAAGTGATTTTCAATTTCATACTAGGGAGGTAAATTCTCAACTTAAAAAGAAAGAGATTAAACTCTACTATGTATTAAGAAGATAATTTTTTTTAACTTAATACCGAGAGATTAATTTAATTCAAAGCATAAATGTTGAATTCAACACAATAACCAATTTGATTTATCAACTTTGTATAACAAATGAGAACATGTTTGAACTAACCATAATTAGAGATGACAAAAACTAACCGGTTAAACTTCTACTATGATAAGCATGAATGATTATATTCGCATGCTTTTTGAAATTATGTGAGTTGATAATGGATTATTCAAAACTCCATTATTCCTAATTAACACTTCTTTTTAATGGAATATCTTGCAAAGGTTTCTTCATTCAACAAGTAGATGACTAACTGTTTGATGATAATCATAATATCTTGGGTTATACTTTTCTTTTGCTATTAGTAACCGTGGAACATATGGTAAGTTCACATTTTTATCTCTAATTCATTCTTGAAGAAGTACTTTTATTTTGTCTATTGGAACTGAGAATGGTGGGCAATTAATATCATTATCTTGTTTTTTTCTTTGGTTATCTCTTTTAGGGTACATGTTAAGACGAAGAGGTCCTTTTGTCTATTGCATTTATTGTAAGAGTATTCATTCTGGTGAAATAGTTAACTCCTCATTGCCTAAGAATCATCGTGTTATTTTTTCTCGCAACTTTAACCAAAATAACAAAGGTTGCAAAAGGAAAATTCTCTAAGTGAACCCTATATTTATCAAACACTCCATGGATACACACTTTCACCAATTTTTTCTCATTATGCGAATGTTGGATGTCTAACATTCTTTCCCTTAAATGTTGCATGTATTCCATCATATCTTCCTTTGACTTCTGATGTTTTTTTCCCAAGTTAATTAGAGTAACTTTCTTTTAAGTAGAGAAAAACTTTTCTCCAAACATTCTACATATCTAACTCTAAGATTCAATGAAAACAAGTGTAAGATTAACAAATCGAGTGTACACCCTTTCAATAAAGACGTAAAGAATTCTTTCAACTTTAAATCATCATCTAATCTAGAAATTTCAAAAGTTTTCATGAACTTCATGATGCTCATAAACATCCCCTGTCTTGCCATTTAATTGTTGAATTTAATACTAGTGTAATCCTTAGGTTATGGTTTAGTAGCCACTCTAGTAGGATAAAATAGCTTAAGATCAAATTTAAAAAAAAAAGGCTCAATTTCTAAAAATCTTATTTGTAACAAAAACTTGAGTTATGATCAGAAGAAAAATCATGATAAAGTACCAATAGTTAAGGTGTTATTCATACCAAGATTTTCATTAGCATTAGGATTAGGCATATCTGAAGTGTTTTTCATCATTGTCATTCGCATAAGGGATAATTCAATTAAAAGTGTTTCCATTCTCATCAGTAACAATTTGAGCTTGAGAGGTTGTGGCATTGAAAAATGTAAGTTGAAAGATAATCTCCTCCGACTTTTGCGTCATATCCTAATAAGTTTAAATCATCTTTATTAGTTCTTGAATATAAGTAGGGATCTGAGCATTTTGGTTTCCAATATAATCCTTTATTTTTTAGGCAAAGCAAGGTCGAAAAATGTTTTACTTAATTCAATCACTTCTCCCCAGTGGAGTTACCTATTTATAGGTTCCAAGAATTAGATTTACATATCTTGAGTATTGAATAGAAATAATGGTGAAATTGATGTTACAAAAGGTATTAATGCATTATCTAATAAGAGTTTAATAAGTTGTTGGTGATAGGTATGGTAAATATAGAAGTTCATTATTTATTTTAAAATAAATGAGAAACACTCATACTTTAAAGAAAAATTAAAAAAAGATCTCTCAACTATCTTTATATCTGATCCACCAAACCAAACTTTTTGAAACATCCTAATAGTGAAGTTAACCTAAAAATCCTGTCATATTCCAAGGTTATTTCACTTTTTTTTAATGAAATAACATTTGATGAAGCATCTTTTATAAAATAACTCTTAGTGAAATAACTTTTGATGAAAGAAATTTTAGTAAAAGTATTGGTGTTGTTCATTGAAGAAGTTGTTCCAAAGATAGTTGTTTTGTGAAAATTTGTTCTGTGAAGCTGTTGTTCCATGATAGAGTTGTTCCTTGTATGGTTATTCTATGGAAGACTTGTTTCATAAATAGTTATTTCGTAAAATAATATTCATTGAAACAACCTTATTACATATTCTGATTTATTATCAACTTTTATAATTTAAGGGAAATTTAAAGAAATAAAATATTAGTAGCCAAAATCAAATATTTATATTATTTTAATGCTTTTAGATATTAAAATATATTATGTGTTAATAAAGAAATCTTCGGTTTTACCTATGAGGTCGAGTTTGGATTTATTTAGTTTAAGATTGACTTAGGATTACTTTTCAACCCATGGAATGATTTAAAAATTAGATCAATGATGGAACTGAAGGTGTCACAACCTCAATTGGTTCAATCAATTGATTTAATCCCAACTTTTTCTTTGAAAGTAATAGAATTAAATGCATATTAATTATGAAAAAAAGATAGCAAAAAAAATATTTTGACTAACTAGTTAAAGTTTTAATCAATAGTCAAGAAAATAAGAATCTTCTTGAAGTGTTTAAGTTTTACTTAGCTGGTTTAGTTGTTTAATTAAATTTTAGTTTATTAATTTTTTACGAAAGATAGGGGATGGGATGATGGGATTTGAACTCTCACCTTATATGTCCTTTAACCATTCTTAATCTCTAGATCAAAAAGTTGAAAACAAATTTTAAGTTTATTAGTTGATTATTATAATAGTTGATTAGTCATTTGATTATATAAATATAATACTTAATTATAATTGTAAATTTTATATATTTATAATTTAAAAAAAAAGAATTTGATCTTGCCCCATATAAAAAATTATAGATAAAAAGATTTAACCAAAAAATTATTTTAATCGATTCAAAAAATTTTATCAAAATCTATTGAATTGAAAAGTTGATCAATTGAATTTTTAAATGATCATGATATTTATAGGATTATATAGACCATTAATTTATGTGATTCGGTTGATATATATATATATGTATAAATTAATCCAATTAACAGGAAGACAAAATCTTTTTTTATAAAAAAAAAAACTTCGAAAATAAAATTTTAAATGTATAATTGATGTAAACAAATATATCTTTAAAATTATTGGAAAAAAAATAAATCCAAAAATACTAAAAACACTCTTGACTTGAAAAAAAAAAATGATTCGATCAATTGATTCAATGTATTTTCGTGACAATGCCTTAACACTTCCATGACCAAGTTGCATCTATTTTTGTATTTTTTTTCAAATACAAATATATATTTTTTTTCCTTTTGCTTTAAAAGCCAATCAGGCTGAACTAATCAACTGATGATAGAGTAGAAATTACAAATTTACAAACAAGAAAAAAAAAATCTCAAGTGGAGAACAAAGAAAGAATGGGAAGAATAAGCAGCGTCCAAAGGAGAACAAAGAGGGAAGTGTGGGCAAATCTCAAAAGCATTGAGCATCTTCAACCTCTCCTCAACGGTAAGAAAAGAAAAGAAAAATCTGATTTTCCCACACTCACGTCCAATCAATTCCCCCTTTGCTCTTCTCTTCGACATCGTCCCTCATTCCTTCCTGTACTTACATAAACACCCTTTGCCACCCAGTTCTGTCGTCTTGCCTCTCCACCAACAAATCTCAAATCTAAGCCTTACGTCTCTTTTTCTCTCCTTGAGTCTTCATTTTTTTCTATTACAATGGCTTCCGCCACTACTTCCACCACTTTTTCACTCCTCAAAACCACCGCCTCCACTACCCCTTCCTCCGCCACGCGCACTTCTGCATCCCTCATTCGCATAGCCCCCACGCGCCTCCACCACAAATCCACCTCTCCCCTCCAGAGCCTAGGCTTCTCCGCTGCTGCTTCTGGGGACTCATTGCTTTCCCTCCATGTCTCCTCCAAAGTTCGATCATTCAAAGGAAAAGGGTTGAGAGGGGTTGTTTCGATGGCGAAGAAGAGTGTTGGGGACTTGACTGGATCTGATTTGAAAGGGAAGAAAGCGTTTGTGAGGGTTGACTTCAATGTTCCATTGGATGATAACCAGAACATTACAGATGACACCAGGGTCCGTGCTGCTATTCCCACCATCAAGCATTTGATTCAAAATGGAGCTAAAGTCATTCTCTCTAGCCACTTGGTAAGTTGATTCTTCTCTAGTCAATTACCTTAACAACTAGTATGATTCTTTTATTGTTGAGTTTTATGTTATTTAATGGCTAATTGTCATAATTGAATCAATTATCATAGCTCAATAATATAGTTGGATGAAAATAAAAGTTTCAAGGTTTCATTGAACCGAATAAAAGTTCAATGGCCTAAGTACATATGTTGAAAAAGTTTGATGGCTAAACTATGCTTTAAGCCTTACAGTTTTAGTGAACCATAGTTTATCTAAAGACTGTGTTTTTAATGAAGTTTCTGTATGCTTTAAGCCTTACAGTTTTAGTGAACCATAGTTTATCTAAAGACTGTGTTTTTAATGAAGTTTCTGTTTCAGCTCTATTTCTTTTCTTGTGTACTTCTGATGCTATGATCGTTTTTGTGCTAAGCATATAAGCTGTTGGTCCATGATGTATGCATTCACCATGATACTGCAGCATCAGATTCGAAGCAAACTTATAGTGGTCATTATATGCTTGTGTTTAGTTTTCCACATAAACATTTTGGCATATCATCCTACTTTGTGCTGAGTAGTGATTACTTAACCTTTGGGCTTGAGCTGTAAGAACTGATGTAATGGTTCATTGAATTTTCAGGGGCGGCCAAAGAGTGTCACTCCAAAATTCAGCTTGGCTCCTCTTGTACCCCGGCTCTCTGAACTACTTGGCATTCAGGTTATCATTTTTGTGGAAACAAAAGCCTTAAACTTTTTCCTATTACAAGATTGTAGTGTATCTATTATATGACTATAACTCCCATTAACTGAACAGGTTGTTAAGGCTGATAACTGCATTGGTCCAGAAGTAGAAAAGTTAGTTGCTTCACTTCCTGAAGGCGGTGTTCTTCTTCTTGAGAATGTTAGATTTTACAAGGAGGAGGAAAAGAATGAACCTGAATTTGCAAAGAAGCTTGCCTCCTTAGCTGATCTCTTTGTTAATGATGCATTTGGGACTGCACACCGGGCCCATGCATCAACTGAGGGTGTTACAAAATTCTTGAAGCCATCAGTTGCTGGTTTCCTTTTACAGAAGGTAGGATTTGAGCATTCTTATTTACTGATGAAGTTGTTGGAGAAACTTGGTTAATCTTCAATTGCTGTGTTCAAATAGACATGCTTTCAAGTAAATTTGTCATTGGTTGATTCAGACATTGCTTTAAAACTACTATGAGGTTCTTATTTATTTATTATTATTGTTACTTTGTTATTTTTTAACTTCTGATTATATTCATTTGCTTTTCGTATCTGATTTCAGGAACTGGACTACCTTGTTGGTGCAGTTTCAAGCCCAAAAAGGCCATTTGCTGCCATTGTGGGTGGTTCAAAGGTCTCTTCCAAGATTGGAGTTATTGAATCACTCCTTGAGAAATGTGACATTCTCCTTCTTGGTGGTGGTATGATTTTCACGTTTTACAAGGCACAAGGTCTATCAGTTGGTTCATCCCTGGTAGAAGACGATAAACTTGACCTTGCAACATCACTCCTTGCAAAGGCCAAGGCAAAAGGAGTGTCTCTTTTATTACCCACTGATGTGGTTGTTTCAGACAAGTTCGCCCCTGATGCAAACAGCCAGGTTTGTTTCTACTATCTACCCCCTTGCAAAGTTTGCAGTGCAATCCATGCAAAAAGAAAGCCCAAGTAATCATAGCGACTTGTAAATAAACTGTTCTTGTATTACCTTTTATCCCCTTGTCTTTTTAATGCTCTTATGAGCGAGGAATGAAAACAAATTTTGCTTCTTACAGATTGTGCCTGCATCTGCCATCCCTGATGGCTGGATGGGATTGGATATTGGACCAGATTCTATTAAAACATTCAATAAAGTTTTGGATACTACCCAAACCATCATCTGGAATGGACCAATGGGAGTGTTTGAATTTGACAAGTTTGCGACTGGGACAGAGGTATGCTTTAGCGCTTGATGGTTCCTGCAGGCATGGAATTAAAGTATCCCTTTTCTACTAGTTGGATACAGTACACGCTCATATCCACTTGCTTTCCAGGCCAAACTAGCTGAAGCAATGCCTTCCTCCAATTACCTTTGTAAATTAAAACTTGCATTTACTAACCCTAATTGAAATAGTCGTTCGAGATTCGTGCTTAGAAGTTGCCAACCTTTAATTAATATGCTTTCAATCTCTCTCAATCTCTAGGGAAGTGGCAGGGTTATGAGATGACTGCTTTTCCTTTTTTTTTTTTTTTTTCGTTCTTGTGTAAGTGGATGGGAGTTAAAGATTGCTTTCTGCTTGTAGGCTATTGCAAAGAAGCTAGCAGAACTTAGTGAGAAGGGAGTGACAACCATTATTGGAGGTGGAGACTCTGTTGCTGCTGTAGAAAAAGTAGGAGTTGCTAGTGCAATGAGCCACATTTCAACTGGTGGTGGTGCCAGTTTGGAATTGTTGGAAGGGAAGGAGCTTCCAGGTGTTGTTGCCCTGGATGAGGCTACCCCAGTTGCTGTATAAGATCAAATCAATTTTTCCCCATCCTAACTGTTCAGTGATTTTTTTGGTTTTGTAATCGAGAAATGAGTTCATGTTGTAAATGTCTGCCTCTCCCTTTCCTGCTCCCCGCTAAAGTTGTCAGAAGAGTGCTAAGAATTGGCAAACTGAACCTTGCTAACTATTTCAAATAAATTGGTTCATTTTTATCAAAACCATTTTCTTGCATTATTTTATTCTTATATCGATCTGAAACTATTTCATTTGGAACGTTATACAACAAATGAAGTATAAGGGAAATTAGGTGGATGATTGAACAAAGGTTTAATTAGTCTCCTGTCTGGTTTCGGCTTTGCAGTGTTTTGCTTCCCTTCACTTTCCCTGCCAATAGTTTTGCTGCTATTATTTTCGACTGCCTTAATTGACATTGACATTGAAATTGTAGCAAGGGATAGACTGACCAAATCTCATCACAAGTCCGTCCTCAAAAACTAAAGCCACATAAAAATGAGAGGCCTTTACTGCTTCTAAGCACCAACTTTTCTTCTAGTCACGTAATATGTCATGCACAGATCATGAGAAGTCCAACCAGAAATTTTCCTAAGCCAATCTTTGTTTGTGGCCATAATTGTCGGTCTATCATTTTCCTCCAAAATATTCTTGGCATTTGAAACTAGCCGATTCCTGGCGCTAAAGTGAGTAGGGCTGCCAATGGGTTACGTTGCTTGTAAAATATTGGTTGAATATCACGATTCATATCAATATATGAGGTATTATTTATTTTGATTTTTTATATTTTAAGATTTTGTCAAAAAAATTATTTTACAAATTTAAAGTGATTTAGACATTTATATTCCGAAATTGATTTAAATATACAGTTGATGATGTTAGATTAATAACTTATTTCTAGAATCATGACATTGAGTTTGTAACCAAAAAAAAGAAAAAACCAAAAGCATGGTTCATTTTCTCCAAAGTGTTCCCCATTTTCATCCAATTTGTACATTAATCGTGTATTCATTAGAAAAGAGTATCATGTATGCATAAAAATAATAATTAGGAAAAGAAAATTGGAAAATAAGGAATTCATAGTTTTTTTAATCATTATTTGTCAAAAGAAGTAACCACGAGATCGTAAGCCCCGTTCAGTTAGTCTACGAGAGACCAAGTGAATAACTGTGCTATTCGGCTAAATTGCTTCGGCGAAGAGGTCAGAGGTCAGAGCTCCACACTTGTCTCAGCCCGCTCTCGCATTAAGCGAGAAGCACACACACCTCTTCGACTCAAAGATTACTCGTTCCCGAGTCCGCATCTCTGCAGAAAATAGCCCGGGGACTTTCCTGGGTTTGACCACCTACAAAGAGTCAATCTTAACCCATTCACTTCGTCTCGTGGTTTGGTGACCAATCAAAGTAGACCTTTGTTTTATTAAGGCAAAAGCGCTCTTCTATCTTAGAGATGTGGGATAAAAGAGATGATCACATTTTTTGTTATTTTTTGCTTTTTTTTTTTTTTAAATGGAAGGAATTATCGCTGGCTTATAATCAAAGGTTTTAGGCCAAAAAAATTGAATGAGCTTTTTTCCTTAAAACAAATGAAAATTTAATTCACTTTGCTTTATAGACATTACATACAAAATAATGACAGCATAAATAACATCTAAGAAGCATTCGTTGTCCCAATAACATGCTAAATACAATTAGTCTTTTCCTCACTTAGCTTTGCCTCTCTTTATATATATACATATACATATATATATATATATATATACATGTGACAGTTATTATTATTATTATTATTAATTTGAGAAAGAAGATTCAAAATTAATTCTCTAAGTCAAAAATTCATTATTATCGAGTTAAATATTCGAAATTTTTTATTATTGTAATGAAAATGTTTATTAAATAGAATTATAAATATGATAAGAGTGATTAATATTTTATTTTATATTTGATATATATATATAATTTTGATTATTAAAAAAATTAATCATTTTTTTAGTATAAGATAATTTAAATAATTTTTATTAATTTAATAGTGTGACAAAAAAAGATTCCGAACTAATATTTTAAGTTAGACATATATCATCATTGAGCCAAAATATTAGCAGTAAAATATAAAATTATGGTTTCTTTTATAAATGCAAGTTGTTTTTAATTGCTTTATAAAATTACATAGTTAGTAGATTTTTTTTTATCCAATAGTTGGTTTTTAAGTGGCGTTGACGTCAATGGAATCAAGTTTCAGGAATTAGAATATGCTATGAGTTCTCATCCCTTTTATGATGAAGTGATTAAAACATCAGCTTACAAGTCAGAGCCTGTACGACTTTGCTTCATTCTTCCCTTTTTTTTTTGGTTGAAGCCCATCTCTTACCTGTATTATTTGGTCAGAGATAACGCAAAAGCCTCAATCATAGGGTTAACAAGAATCGGATCGAAATAAATTTTTATTCATCTTAAATTTAATATGATTTTATATCTATTAAATTTAAATTTGATTTGATTCAAAAATTTTTTTATTTTTTTTATACTCGATTCGATATTGTATAAATCGTACTCAATCTGAAATTAATAAAATATTATTTTTTAAAATATAAAATATTTTTTAAATAAAAATATTTAAATATATAATTATATAAATATATATAAATTAAAAAATTAATTTTTATATAAATATCGGATTAAATCGAATCGAGTTTATCTAAAACTCAAATCTTACTCGACATCAATTTTTTTTTTAACAATACTTAACTCGACTCAAAATTTGATTTAATAAAAAAAAATGATTTTATAATATCAGATCGAGTTAAAATTCATGAAAAATGAGTTGAGTTATCTACCTTACTCAAACATTCAGAACCCAAGCAAAGACACTGAGCCAAATCATCATGAAATATAATTTATTAAAAAGATTACTTTGACAGTTAAATTTTTAAATTTCATAAATTAATTTAAGTTTAATTCTTTTTTTACTACAATAGATTCTTAATGCAACATGCGTCCTTTTTAGGACATAAAATAACATTATTTAATTTTTGAAGGAGATTGTATAGATTTTGGGATGAAAGTTAAAATTAAAAAAAAGTAAAATAAAAAATTTGTTTAGAAAGAGATATGATGTTTTGTTAATTTTTATTTTTTTTTCGTTTTTTTCTCTTTTCTTTTGTTAATATTCTCTCTATTTTTAATAATAATAAATTTTATTTTTAAAATTTTAGGATGGGTCCATTTGATACTATTAATTAAAAAATATTTTTTATTTTTTTAATTAGATGATTTTATAAGAAAATATCAATGAATGTACCCACAAAACACCTGAATTTGGTTTATTTTAAATCTTTTTTTTGTTTTTATTTTTTATTTTTTAAACATACGTATTAAATTTTGTAAGAAGATTAATAAAGCCAATGAAGGTGTTTATCTTGCACTTACATTTAGCTTATTCTTTTTATTTTTTGTTTTTTAATTAGATAAATTTTGTAAAAAATTAATCAATAGAGATTGGATGATAAAATAATTTATTTTTAACGAGTTTTGACTCATCTCAATATAATAAGGGTGATTTTTTTAATCGAAATTTGATAAGGGCAATGTGTATTTTTCTTTTTAAAAATTATGATAGGGCCAAAAATGAGTTTATAGTACTCTATCCAAAATATATAAAATATATATTTTATTATTTATTTAATTTTATATCTATATATGCATTGTATTAATAAATTTATTTTTTAATATATTAATTTAATAAATATGTTTTATTTATATTAAAAGTTTATATTTTTAATAAATATTATATTAATTTAAAATTAATAATTTAATTTCAAATCAAATACACACTATTCATATATATGTCATACTAGACTCTGATATAAAAAATTTTTTTTTGAGTAAGAGTCAGAGTTGGATAAAATTATTAAAGAATTAGGTTGATCTTAAAGACTATCTAAGCATATTTCGACTTAACTCTTTGTTATCTTTAAATGAAAGTATCCATGTTGCACCTCCATTTAGTTTCTTTTTTGTTTTGTGTTTTTTCTTTTATTTTTTATTTTTGTCTTTTTCATTTTTTTAATCAATTAATTTTGTAAGAAATAGGTTATTAGAGGTAAAAATGACAAAACAATTAGTATTTGACAAATTTCGATCTCTTTCCATCCAACAAAAGAGATTTTTCTTTTAAAAATCAAGATCAGACTAAGGCTAGGACTATTTTCTTTTTTTAAAATCGAGGTCAAGACGAAAATAAGATTGGGATGCTCTATCATGACCCTTTTTAGGATATATAAAAAAATATTCTTTATTATTTATATAATTTTATATTTATATATATTATATTAATAATGTTATTATTTAATAACTAATTTAAATAAAAATACTAAATTTATATATAATTTAAATATAATTTATATTACCAAATAACATTTTTATAAATACTATGTCAAATTAAAATTATTGAATTCATTTCGGGTTAAATTAGATTAAATGCAGTTATATATATGTGTTGATTGGAATGAGATATAAAAATAATAACTTGATATCCGATATGAGTCAGAGTTGTATTGAATTATTAGAGAGTTGGGTCGAAGTTAGAATGAAAAAAATTTAATTGATATCCGATATGAGTTGGAGTTGTATTGAATTAATAGAGAGTTGGGTCGAAGTTAGAATGAAAAAAATTTATCTTGACCCAATCAAATATTATACTTAAAATGAAGGTATCTATGTGGCACTTATATTTAACTCGTTTTTTTTTTCTTTTTCGTTGGATCATTTCTTATTTTTTTTTTTTTTGTTTTTTAAATTATTTGATTTAATTTTTTTAATTATGTTCGAATAGATAAATTAAAAAGATAAATTTGAATTTGATTTATTATATAAGTTATGAGAATGAAATAAATACATTATACATAAATTAATTAATAAATTTTTACTAATTATTATTTTTATTAAAAATATTATAAATGAAATTACAGTCACTGATTTATTAAATTAATTATAAATATTATTTATTACAAAATAAATAAATAAATAAACTTGCCAATTTGAAGCCCACGGTAAAAATTTAAACCGAACTTCGAGCCCACGGAATAATATTTTCCGAACTTCCTCTTCGCCTGAATCGGTTCGCATCTATTAAAAATCTTCTTCAACTTTTTCTTCTTTTTTCTGTCTTGACTCGTGATCTCTCCGCCTCTCTCGTCTTCGTAAGCTCTCTCTCTTGTAATAGTCCCATTTGATTACCTGTTTTTTCGATTTGGGTCTTGACCATTTCTTCAATTTTTTTTGGGTTTAGCGTTGTTGTTGAAGAAGTGATAACATTATGGCTACAAAGAAGAGCGTTGGAGATTTGAAGGAAGCAGATTTGAAGGGAAAGAGAGTGTTTGTGAGAGTTGATCTGAACGTTCCGTTGGATGATAACTTCAATATAACTGATGACACCAGAATCCGTGCTGCTGTTCCCACCATTAAGTATTTGATGGGTCATGGCTCTAAAGTTATCCTTTCCAGTCACTTGGTACTTTTTTTTCTTCAGATATCATTTTATTTAATTTTTTGTAAAAATTTGCTTTTGGGTTACTTGATTTACTTGTTTAACTTGGTTTTTGGGCTTTTGTTTGTTTTTGGGTTTATTTGCGTGTTTTGATCTTCTGATATTCTAGTTTTGAGGGGGATTTAGATTTTTGAGAAAAATGTTTTGTTCTTGTTAATTTCTGTTGTTGGACTAAGCTAGATCCGTCTGAATTGGATGGATGCAGCATAGGCTCAATTCTTGTTTATGTTTTCTTTAGCTCAATCTGATTTTCTTCGCAATCTTTTAAAATTTTTTTTGTAAAATCTGTACTTAGATTGTATTTTTGAGTCTTGATCGATCTATCCCTCGTTGATATTTCATTGTGGCTATTGAATTTTTTAATAAATTTTCTACTATTTGTTTTTTTACTCACAAACATTTGGTTGACTTTATTATCTCTTGAGTTTGACTTCCTTTCTTTGAGCTTGGTTTATCATTTGCATAATTTTGACGGCAATAGTGCATCTAGAAATATAATATAACATTGTTTTAGTGAATTTTAAGGTATAATGGTTAATCTGAATAATAGTCAATTAGGCCTTCCTTGTCCAGTAAATGATAGTCTAAGTTCTTAAAAAGGTCTTGTATGCAAATAGCTTTTCCTTGTGTGTAGGAGTGTGCCATTATATATCGAAAACAAATGGTTAATTTGAATCCTTTTAGTTTTAATACTTTAAAGAATGATTGTTTACCTATCTAAATAAGCAGTAAGTAGTAGTGACCTTGTTTATCTTTCTGTAACCAGCAATTGGACACGCACAAATGTGTGAAAAGTTTTTATTATTATTATTATTAATATTATTATTACTATCATCATCTATGCAGATAATTAGTACATATTTAGGTAACTAAATATGAAAATAACAAAAATTTATTATGGATATGGCTTAAAATTTTAAGTTGCATGTCTTGTTTTCAAGTTAAGTTTTTGAGTAAATTTTGAATTAAATAGTAAGTCGACCGTTCCTTCAAATGCCCTACCTTAAGAAAGTACCATTGGCCAATGTGCAATTCAAAATAATATCATTGTTATAATTGTTATCTGTTTTGAAGTGGACAATCAACCAGCATAATGCCAATATTTTGGGCATTGAGAGTGGTTTTAGTGCTGATAAAAGAATTCTTGGAAGTTTTGGCATGGCGCATAATAACATATAGGTGGGAGTAATATCTTATAAGATATTGTAGTCTTTCCAAAATGCCTGATTTACATAACATCGTATACATCTTAGGATCATGCAATAATATATGGGTCATTGTGCAGGCTTTCTTTCTTTTTTTTTTTTTTCCATGTCGACCTTTTCTCCCCCATCATTTTTCTTAAGTTGAAATTCTCATAATATTTTCTGATTACTTTTTCAGGGACGCCCAAAGGGTGTCACTCCTAAGTACAGCTTGAAGCCTCTTGTGCCAAGGCTATCAGAACTTCTTGGAGTCGAGGTTTGTCCTTAAAACCAACACTTTTTCCAACTCAGGATTTCTTTTGCTTATTTTTTCTTTTCTATTAAACATTTGTATTTATCTGGTGACAGGTTAAAATAGCAAATGACTGTATTGGTGCTGAAGTTGAGAAATTGGTGGCCGAATTACCAAATGGAGGTGTATTGCTGCTTGAGAATGTGAGGTTCTACAAGGAGGAAGAGAAGAATGATCCTGAATTCGCAAAGAAGCTAGCTTCTCTTGCAGATGTCTATGTTAATGATGCATTTGGGACTGCTCACAGAGCCCATGCTTCCACAGAGGGTGTGGCCAAGTTCTTAAAGCCTTCTGTTGCCGGTTTTCTTATGCAGAAGGTATTGTGAATATCATAAATGTGAAATAGAGCATATTTGTATTATCTAGAAGATTGGTTTAAGAATCATATTTGTCATTATGACTTATATGGGTTATAGGAAAATGGTGTCAAATTTTATTTCACAGCATGTTCATTTTGGGATCAGGTAGATACCACTTATCTGGTCTGCTGGCCTGTCCCTAATTGAAGCATATCCTCTATGAAATTTCTTGTCATGGTTTTTGTTCAAGCATGTAGATAAGAACATGCAATGGATATCTGTCGGGTACCTGACATGTTAAGTTCTTTTCTTTTTTTAGGAGCTTGATTATCTTGTTGGAGCTGTGGCAAATCCCAAGAAGCCATTTGCTGCAATTGTTGGTGGTTCTAAGGTATCAACCAAGATTGGAGTTATCGAATCCCTCTTGGCCAAGGTTGACATTCTCTTACTTGGTGGAGGAATGATCTTTACTTTCTACAAGGCCCAAGGATATTCAGTTGGATCATCACTTGTGGAGGAAGACAAACTTGATCTTGCAACATCACTCCTTGAAAAGGCCAAGGCAAAAGGAGTGTCTCTCTTGCTGCCCACTGATGTTGTTGTTGCTGACAAATTTGCTGCTGATGCTAACAGCAAGGTTTGGGCTGCTGCTCATTTTGATTGTTTTTGTCCTATGAAATTCTTTGGGTGGACTATATTGCAATATAGACCTAATTTTACAGCTCTACCGTCTACAGAAAACAAACCTGTTCACTCATTTTCTATGTGCCATTCCCCAACCATTAAGCAGATTGTACATAAGTCCTACATCTCCTAGCATATGCTGGTGGGATATGGGGAATTGGTGTATCAGCAGTTTTTCTGTTGATGCCATGTATTTGAATTTATTTCAACTTTGAATTCTTTTTAATTTTTTTTGCAGGTGGTGCCAGCATCTGAGATCCCAGATGGTTGGATGGGCTTGGATGTAGGACCTGATTCCAACAAAACCTTCAGTGAGGCGTTGGACGCTACCAATACCATTATTTGGAATGGACCCATGGGTGTGTTTGAGTTTGAGAAGTTTGCTGCAGGCACTGAGGTAAAGTGTGTGATATACTTTCAGCAATTAGGTGGTCATGATGTGGAATCGGGTCTTTATTTGATCATACTTTCAAAATGGGTACATGATTTTAAATCATTTTATTTGCAAGTTAAACTTGAAAGGTTTTTTTTTTTGGGGGGGGGGAAGGGGGGTTATTTTTGCCAAGCTTTTTCTGGATTTATCTAGCTGAAATTTGTATTGTGAACTAATAGTTTTAATACTATTTTCTATACAGGCGATTGCCAAGAAGCTTGCTGAGCTCAGTGGCAAGGGAGTGACAACAATCATTGGAGGAGGTGACTCTGTTGCAGCTGTGGAGAAGGTTGGCCTTGCTGACAAGATGAGCCATATCTCTACTGGTGGTGGTGCTAGCTTAGAGCTTCTTGAGGGAAAAGCACTTCCTGGAGTCCTTGCTCTTGATGATGCTTAAACTTAATTCTTCACCTCTCTTCTTTTTGTGCATTTCATACTGCAATAATGTGGCAGGTTTTTCAGCCCAGAGTGGTTTAGTAGTAGTCTCTTAGAGCTGATCTTGTAGGGGCTGATAAGGTGAAATAAAATAAATGGTTTCTCCTTTGCATCCATCATAGATGCATTTGGATTGGATTTTTTTTGGGGACCATTGTTGAATGTTAATGATGCAATTGCCTCAGTGTTTGTTTTATATTCACTTGGATAGCTTATTGAGTATACGAGGCAGGAGTTGCCTTTTTTTGTCTGTTGCTGAGTTGACAGCTTTTCTATTATTGTTGATTAACAACCAAGTAATGTTGTTAATTAATTAAGGGTTTACTCCTTTTTGTGGCTGTCCTTTTCATGGATGCAACCCATTCATTTCTTTTGCTATTTTCCCTCTTCTTACCCTAATCTTGTTTAATTAATAACTTGAGCAATCAATTCTCCACAAGTAAATTTTACTCAACAAATTATTTGAATGGTTATATTACTTTATTAATCTCCTCATTACTATAGAAATGGACATGGAACAAATTTATAACAATTTAAAAACTTTATAATTTCAACATTTTTAATCATGATCTTTTTAGTTCCATTGGCTTTTGTAATCACTTGTAATTTCATTTTTTTTTTCGAGCGGTGCTTCGATGGTAAACAAAATTCAAATGATTTGTGTATTAAAAGAATTTATATTTAATCTGTTGGTTTTTGCTGTCATCTTTCTTTTCTTGCCAAGCTATCTCTTTTGTACAAAAATTCAAAACGACTTTGTGCCTAAAAAATATTCAAACTAACCATTTGCGTGTGAGATAATACAAACAAGAATTTTGTTTCTGTAAGATCTATTGGCGAAGCTTTTGAGATCATCCATTAAAAAAAGGGAAAACAACAAGATTTCTGCTGCAGTACGTTTGAAATAAGATGGACAAAGTTTGATTCAATTTCTTGATTGAGTTATGAAAAAATGGCAGTCCCTACCATGTGATTGCGTTGAATTAGCATCATATCTCTTATATATATCTGATCCTATTTCACTACAGAGCTCTTTCATATTGAATCAAAAATTATCAACGAAAGAACAAAAGATAGATGACAGAAATCACTGCAATTGTCCACTACTGCTTGGAAGATGAACGTGTAAAAGAATACAAGGAATTCTTTGAAACCAAGGCTGGGGTGAAAGGGCTTGTAGATGCCGGAGTAGTTAAGGTTCCCAGAATATTTATCCATCCACCAGAGAATCTACCAAAACCATCATCAGAAGACAGTTGCTGTATTGGCCTCCAGGTTCCTATAATTGATTTCCATGGCCTAGAAAATGGACAGCGAGGGGAGATCATCGACAATATACGCCAAGCAGCAGAGACCTGGGGCTTTTTCCAAGTTGTTAACCATGGGATTCCAGGTTCCTTAATGGATGATCTGTTGAATGACGTGCGCCAGTTTCATGAGCAACCTTTGGAGGTGCGGAAGGAATGGTACTCACATGATGAAACAAAGAAGGTAAGGTACTATAGCAATGGATTTTACAATCCATCCATGGCAGCCCAATGGAAGGACGGTTTATTTTGTATTGGAGCTCAACAGCTTGAGGAAGAACAGATTCCTGAAGTTTGCAGGTAAAATACTAGCTTCAAACATGGTTGATGACCTTGTGGCTTCTTCCGTTTGATCAAATTTTATTTGATTTTGTTGTGCAGAAAAAGTCTCAGTGAGTATGTAAAACATGTAATTCAACTAAAGGAAACCATATCTGAATTACTCTCAGAGGCTTTGGGGCTTAGCAGTGATAGCTTCGCGAGAGCTGGGTATATGAAAAGTGTTTCACTCGCATGCAACTATTACCCAACTTGCCCTGAACCCGAGTTGACTTTAGGCATAGCAAGCCATTCAGACCCAGATTTTCTGACTCTGCTGCTACAAGATGATATTGGTGGCCTCCAAATTCTTCACCAAAACAAGTGGGTGGATGTTCCTCCTGTTCATGGAGCTGTAATTGCAAACCTGGGGGACTTCATGCAGGTAGTACTGGTGGCTATTTGGTGGGGTTTTGGGTGTTTTCTCCTATAAATTAATGACATATAAATATCATGCTTGTTTAATTTAAGAATGTATTGATTGTGTACATTTTGTATGTGTAGCTGATCACGAACGACAAGTTCAAAAGTGTTGCGCACAGGGTGGTGGCTAAACGGGGTAGTTCCAGGGTATCAGTTTCATCATTCTTTCAACCAGCTTTTTCTGATAAACTGAAACCATATGGACCAATGAAGGAGCTTGTATCTGAAGACAACCCTCCTTTGTATAGGGCAATTGGTGTTGCTGAATATGTTGCCTATTTCAGGTTAAAAGGACTAGATGGAAGCTCTGCCCTTCCACATTTTAGGCTATAATATTTTATGGTCTTGTTCAATTTCTGAAGAAAGAAAGAACAAATTACTGGTTCCTACTTTATATATGTTTATATGGTGTTACAAACATACATATAGAAGCCAGGGGATAGTTAGGAGACCTATTTAATTAAGGATCTGTCTGAAGAACCATCTCGCCATGCCAAACATTTTCTTTCCATTTGACAAAGGAGGAATTTCAATATGCTTTTTCAATTGCTTAATCAAATATTCTGCGTATTCTATTTTGGTAATCTTTTGATAGATCTTTTGTCCTTAATTAATTTGTATGAGAATAGAGAGATGAGATGGTACAATCTAACATTGACTCAATGATTGATTCATGATCCACTTTTCAAAGAGTAAGGTTGAATCCCTTTTTTTAAATTAAAAAAATAATAATAAAAGGAAATGATAAATGTGAAAAAAATAGGATCCGCTTATCGTATACAGAGCGCAGCAAAATTATAACAAAATCATGCATATCAACGTGCACTAAGCATTCCCCAGACATATAAACAATATATGATTCACACTTTAGTATTTGGTTAAAGAAAGATATTTTCATTTTATCTACGAAAATAAACCAACTGATTAATTGATTTATTAATCATTCAAATAAATAATAAAAATAGTCCTGAGGTTGAGCATCTGTGATCCTTTGCTAATATTGTCTCAAAACCTTTCATCACTGCACTCAAATGATCCAACTAACATATTTAATTTTTATTTTAGGTATTTAAATAAAAAGTATTAGAATTTGTATGGATTATTTATATATAATAAAATTTCAAAAACTTATAAAATAAAAATTTTATGTGAGTGTGTAAAATCATGTGTGTATTATTATTATTAATATTATTATCATCATCATCATCTATGCAGATAATTAGTACATATTTAGGTATCTAAATATGAAAATAACAAAAATTTATTATGGATATGGCTTAAAATTTTAAGATGCATGTCTTGTTTTCAAGTTAAGTTTTTGAGTAAATTTTGAATTAAATAGTAAGTTGACCGTTCTTTCAAATGCCCTACCTTAAGAAAGTACCATTGGCCAATGTGCAATTCAAAATAATATCATTGTTATAATTGTTATCTGTTTTGAAGTAGACAATCAACCAGCATAATGCCAATATTTTGGGCATTGAGAGTGGTTTTAGTGCTGATAAAAAGAATTATTGGAAGTTTTGGCATGGCGCATAATAACGTATAGGTGGGAGTAATATCTTATAAGATATTGTAGTCTTTCCAAAATGCCTGATTTACATAACATCGTATACATCTTAGGATCATGCAATAATATATGGGTCATTGTGCAGGCTTTCTTTCTTCTTTTTTTTTTCCATGTCGACCTTTTCTCCCCCATCATTTTTCTTAAGTTGAAATTCTCATAATATTTTCTGATTACTTTTTCGGGGACGCCCAAAAGGTGTCACTCCTAAGTACAGCTTGAAGCCTCTTGTGCCAAGGCTATCTGAACTTCTTGGAGTCGAGGTTTGTCCTTAAAACCAACACTTTTTCCAACTCAGGATTTCTTTTGCTTATTTTTTCTTTTCTATTAAACATTTGTATTTATCTGGTGACAGGTTAAAATAGCAAATGACTGTATTGGTGCTGAAGTTGAGAAATTGGTGGCCGAATTACCAAATGGAGGTGTATTGCTGCTTGAGAATGTGAGGTTCTACAAGGAGGAAGAGAAGAATGATCCTGAATTCGCAAAGAAGCTAGCTTCTCTTGCTGATGTCTATGTTAATGATGCATTTGGGACTGCTCACAGAGCCCATGCTTCCACAGAGGGTGTGGCCAAGTTCTTAAAGCCTTCTGTTGCCGGTTTTCTTATGCAGAAGGTATTGTGAATATCATAAGTGTGAAATAGAGCATATTTGTATTATCTAGAAGATTGGTTTAAGAATCATATTTGTCATTATGACTTATATGGGTTATAGGAAAATGGTGTCAAATTTTATTTCACAGCATGTTCATTTTGGGATCAGGTAGATACCACTTATCTGGTCTGCTGGCCTGTCCCTAATTGAAGCATATCCTCTATGAAATTTCTTGTCATGGTTTTTGTTCAAGCATGTAGATAAGAACATGCAATGGATATCTGTTGGGTACCTGACATGTTAAGTTCTTTTCTTTTTAAAGGAGCTTGATTATCTTGTTGGAGCTGTGGCAAATCCCAAGAAGCCATTTGCTGCAATTGTTGGTGGTTCTAAGGTATCAACCAAGATTGGAGTTATCGAATCCCTCTTGGCCAAGGTTGACATTCTCTTACTTGGTGGAGGAATGATCTTTACTTTCTACAAGGCCCAAGGATATTCAGTTGGATCATCACTTGTGGAGGAAGACAAACTTGATCTTGCAACATCACTCCTTGAAAAGGCCAAGGCAAAAGGAGTGTCTCTCTTGCTGCCCACTGATGTTGTTGTTGCTGGACAAATTTGCTGCTGATGCTAACAGCAAGGTTTGGGCTGCTGCTCATTTTGTTTGTTTTTGTCCTATGAAATTTTTTGGGTGGACTATATTGCAATATAGACCTAATTTTACAGCTCTACCGTCTACAGAAAACAAACCTGTTCACTCATTTTCTATGTGCCATTCCCCAACCATTAAGCAGATTGTACATAAGTCCTACATCTCCTAGCATATGCTGGTGGGATATGGGGAATTGGTGTATCAGCAGTTTTTCTGTTGATGCGATGTATTTGAATTTGTTTCAACTTTGAATTCTTTTTAATTTTTTTTGCAGGTGGTGCCAGCATCTGAGATCCCAGATGGTTGGATGGGCCTGGATGTAGGACCTGATTCCAACAAAACCTTCAGTGAGGCGTTGGACGCTACCAATACCATTATTTGGAATGGACCCATGGGTGTGTTTTGAGTTTTGATAAGTTTGCTGCAGGCACTGAGGTAAAGTGTGTGATTTACTTTCCAGCAATTAGGTGGTCATGATGTGGAATCGGGTCCTTTATTTGATCATACTTTCAAAATGGGTACATGATTTTAAATCATTTTATTTGCAAGTTAAACCTGAAAGGTTTTTCTTTTTTTTTTTTGGCGGAGGAGGGGGTTATTTTTGCCAAGCTTTTTCTGGATTTATCTAGCTGAAATTTGTATTGTGAACTAATTGTTTTAATACTAATTTCTATACAGGCGATTGCCAAGAAGCTTGCTGAGCTCAGTGGCAAGGGAGTGACAACAATCATTGGAGGAGGTGACTCTGTTGCAGCTGTGGAGAAGGTAGGGCTTGCGGACAAGATGAGCCATATCTCTACCGGTGGTGGTGCTAGCTTAGAGCTTCTTGAGGGAAAAGCACTTCCTGGAGTCCTTGCTCTTGATGATGCTTAAACTTAATTCTTCACCTCTCTGCTTTTTGTGCATTTTATACTGCAATAATGTGGCAGGTTTTTCAGCCCAGAGTGGTTTAGTAGTAGTCTCGTAGAGCTGATCTTGTAGAGGCTGATAAGGTGAAATAAACTAAATGGTTTTTCCTTTGCATCCATCGTAGATGCATTTGGATTGGATCTTTTTGGGGACCATTGTTGAATGTTAATGATGCAATTGCCTCAGTGTTTGTTTTATATTCACTTGGATAGCTTATTGAGTATACGAGGCAGGAGTTGCCTTTTTTTGTCTGTTGCTGAGTTGACAGCTTTTCTATTATTGTTGATTAACAACCAAGTAAGGTTGTTAATTAATTAAGGGTTTACTCCTTTTTGTGGCTGTCCTTTTCATGGATGCAACCCATTCATTTCTTTTGCTATTTTCCCTCTTCTTACCCTAATCTTGTTTAATTAATAACTTGAGCAATCAATTCTCCACAAGTAAATTTTACTCAACAAATTATTTGAATGGTTATATTACTTTATTAATCTCCTCATTACTATAGAAATGGACATGGAACAAATTTATAAACCAATTTAAAAAGTTTATAATTTCAAACATTTTTAATCATGATCTTTTTAGTTCCATTGGCTTTTGTAATCACTTGTAATTTCATTTTTTTTTCGAGCGGTGCCTTTCGATGTAAAAAAATTCAAATGATTTGTGTATAAAAAATTTATATTTAATCTGTTGGTTTTTGCTGTCATCTTTCTTTTTCTTGCAAGCTATTCTTTCTTTGTAAAAAAATTCAAACGATTTGTGCATAAAATAAATTTTCAAACTACCATTTGCGTGTGAGATAATAGCAAACAAGATTTTGTTTCTGTAAGCTTATTGGCGAAGCTTTTGAGATTATCCATTAAAAAAAAAGGGAAAACAACAAGATTCTCTGCAGTACTTTGGAAATAATATGACAAAGTTTGATTAATTTCTTGGATATGAGTTATTGAAAAAAGGAGTCCCTACCATGTGATTGCGTTGAATTAGCATCATATCTCTATTATATATATCATCCATTTCACTAGCAGAGCTCTTCAATATTGAATCAAAAAAATTAATCAACAAAGAACAAAAATCAGATGACAGAAATCACTGCAATTGTCCACAACTGCTTGGAAGATGAACGTGTAAAAGAATACAAGGAATTCTTTGAAACCAAGGCTGGGGTGAAAGGGCTTGTAGATGCCGGAGTAGTTAAGGTTCCCAGAATATTTATCCATCCACCAGAGAATCTACCAAAACCATCATCAGAAGACAGTTGCTGTATTGGCCTCCAGGTTCCTATAATTGATTTCCATGGCCTAGAAAATGGACAGCGAGGGGAGATCATCGACAAGATACGCCAAGCAGCAGAGACCTGGGGCTTTTTCCAAGTTGTTAACCATGGGATTCCAGGTTCCTTAATGGATGATCTGTTGAATGACGTGCGCCAGTTTCATGAGCAACCTTTGGAGGTGCGGAAGGAATGGTACTCACATGATGAAACAAAGAAGGTAAGGTACTATAGCAATGGATTTTACAATCCATCCATGGCAGCCCAATGGAAGGACGGTTTATTTTGTATTGGAGCTCAACAGCTTGAGGAAGAACAGATTCCTGAAGTTTGCAGGTAAAATACTAGCTTCAAACATGGTTGATGACCTTGTGGCTTCTTCCGTTTGATCAAATTTTATTTGATTTTGTTGTGCAGAAAAAGTATCAGTGAGTATGTAAAACATGTAATTCAACTAAAGGAAACCATATCTGAATTACTCTCAGAGGCTTTGGGGCTTAGCAGTGATTGCTTCGCGAGAGCTGGGTATATGAAAAGTGTTTCACTCGCATGCAACTATTACCCAACTTGCCCTGAACCCGAGTTGACTTTAGGCATAGCAAGCCATTCAGACCCAGATTTTCTGACTCTGCTGCTACAAGATGATATTGGTGGCCTCCAAATTCTTCACCAAAACAAGTGGGTGGATGTTCCTCCTGTTCATGGAGCTGTAATTGCAAACCTGGGGGACTTCATGCAGGTAGTACTGGTGGCTATTTGGTGGGGTTTTGGGTGTTTTCTCCTATAAATTAATGACATATAAATATCATGCTTGTTTAATTTAAGAATGTATTGATTGTGTACATTTTGTATGTGTAGCTGATCACGAACGACAAGTTCAAAAGTGTTGCGCACAGGGTGGTGGCTAAACGGGGTAGTTCCAGGGTATCAGTTTCATCATTCTTTCAACCAGCTTTCTCTGATAAACTGAAACCATATGGACCAATGAAGGAGCTTGTATCTGAAGACAACCCTCCTTTGTATAGGGCAATTGGTGTTGCTGAATATGTTGCCTATTTCAGGTTAAAAGGACTAGATGGAAGCTCTGCCCTTCCACATTTTAGGCTATAATATTTTATGGTCTTGTTCAATTTCTGAAGAAAGAAAGAACAAATTACTGGTTCCTACTTTATATATGTTTATATGGTGTTACAACATACATATAGAAGCCAGGGGATAGTTAGGAGACCTATTTAATTAAGGATCTGTCTGAAGAACCCTTCTCGCCATGCCAAACATTATCTTTCCATTTGACAAAGGAGGAATTTCAATATGCTTTTTCAATTGCTTAATCAAATATTCTGCGTATTCTATTTTGGTAATCTTTTGATAGATCTTTTGTCCTTAATTAATTTGTATGAGAATAGAGAGATGAGATGGTACAATCTAACATTGACTCAATGATTGATTCATGATCCACTTTTCAAAGAGTAAGGTTGAATCCCTTTTTTTAAATTAAAAAAAATAATAATAAAAGGAAATGATAAATGTGAAAAAAATAGGATCCGCTTATCGTATACAGAGCGCAGCAAAATTATAACAAAATCATGCATATCAACATGCACTAAGCATTCCCAGACATATAACAATATATGATTCACACTTTAGTATTTGGTTAAAGAAAGATATTTTCATTTTATCTACGAAAATAAACCAACTGATTAATTGATTTATTAATCATTCAAATAAATAATAAAAATAGTCCCTGAGGTTGAGCATCTGTGATCCTTTGCTAATATTGTCTCAAAACCTTTCATCACTGCACTCAAATGATCCAACTAACATATTTAATTTTTATTTTAGGTATTTAAATAAAAAGTATTAGAATTTGTATGGATTATTTATATATAATAAAATTTCAAAAACTTATAAAATAAAAATTTTATGTGAGTGTGTTAAATCATGTGTGTATTATTATTATTAATATTATTATTATCATCATCATCTATGCAGATAATTAGTACATATTTAGGTAACTAAATATGAAAATAACAAAAATTTATTATGGATATGGCTTAAAATTTTAAGATGCATGTCTTGTTTTCAAGTTAAGTTTTTGAGTAAATTTTGAATTAAATAGTAAGTTGACCGTTCTTTCAAATGCCCTACCTTAAGAAAGTACCATTGGCCAATGTGCAATTCAAAATAATATCATTGTTATAATTGTTATCTGTTTTGAAGTGGACAATCTACCAGCATAATGCCAATATTTTGGGCATTGAGAGTGGTTTTAGTGCTGATAAAAGAATTCTTGGAAGTTTTGGCATGGCGCATAATAACATATAGGTGGGAGTAATATCTTATAAGATATTGTAGTCTTTCCAAAATGCCTGATTTACATAACATCGTATACATCTTAGGATCATGCAATAATATATGGGTCATTGTGCAGGCTTTCTTTCTTCTTTTTTTTTTCCATGTCGACCTTTTCTCCCCCATCATTTTTCTTAAGTTGAAATTCTCATAATATTTTCTGATTACTTTTTCGGGGACGCCCAAAAGGTGTCACTCCTAAGTACAGCTTGAAGCCTCTTGTGCCAAGGCTATCTGAACTTCTTGGAGTCGAGGTTTGTCCTTAAAACCAACACTTTTTCCAACTCAGGATTTCTTTTGCTTATTTTTCTTTTCTATTAAACATTTGTATTTATCTGGTGACAGGTTAAAATAGCAAATGACTGTATTGGTGCTGAAGTTGAGAAATTGGTGGCCGAATTACCAAATGGAGGTGTATTGCTGCTTGAGAATGTGAGGTTCTACAAGGAGGAAGAGAAGAATGATCCTGAATTCGCAAAGAAGCTAGCTTCTCTTGCTGATGTCTATGTTAATGATGCATTTGGGACTGCTCACAGAGCCCATGCTTCCACAGAGGGTGTGGCCAAGTTCTTAAAGCCTTCTGTTGCCGGTTTGCTTATGCAGAAGGTATTGTGAATATCATAAGTGTGAAATAGAGCATATTTGTATTATCTAGAAGATTGGTTTAAGAATCATATTTGTCATTATGACTTATATGGGTTATAGGAAAATGGTGTCAAATTTTATTTCACAGCATGTTCGTTTTGGGATCAGGTAGATACCACTTATCTGGTCTGCTGGCCTGTCCCTAATTGAAGCATATCCTCTATGAAATTTCTTGTCATGGTTTTTGTTCAAGCATGTAGATAAGAACATGCAATGGATATCTGTCGGGTACCTGACATGTTAAGTTCTTTTCTTTTTTTAGGAGCTTGATTATCTTGTTGGAGCTGTGGCAAATCCCAAGAAGCCATTTGCTGCAATTGTTGGTGGTTCTAAGGTATCAACCAAGATTGGAGTTATCGAATCCCTCTTGGCCAAGGTTGACATTCTCTTACTTGGTGGAGGAATGATCTTTACTTTCTACAAGGCCCAAGGATATTCAGTTGGATCATCACTTGTGGAGGAAGACAAACTTGATCTTGCAACATCACTCCTTGAAAAGGCCAAGGCAAAAGGAGTGTCTCTCTTGCTGCCCACTGATGTTGTTGTTGCTGACAAATTTGCTGCTGATGCTAACAGCAAGGTTTGGGCTGCTGCTCATTTTGATTGTTTTTGTCCTATGAAATTCTTTGGGTGGACTATATTGCAATATAGACCTAATTTTACAGCTCTACCGTCTACAGAAAACAAACCTGTTCACTCATTTTCTGTGTGCCATTCCCCAACCATTAAGCAGATTGTACATAAGTCCTACATCTCCTAGCATATGCTGGTGGGATATGGGGAATTGGTGTATCAGCAGTTTTTCTGTTGATGCCATGTATTTGAATTTGTTTCAACTTTGAATTCTTTTTAATTTTTTTTTCAGGTGGTGCCAGCATCTGAGATCCCAGATGGTTGGATGGGCTTGGATGTAGGACCTGATTCCAACAAAACCTTCAGTGAGGCGTTGGACGCTACCAATACCATTATTTGGAATGGACCCATGGGTGTGTTTGAGTTTGATAAGTTTGCTGCAGGCACTGAGGTAAAGTGTGTGATTTACTTTCAGCAATTAGGTGGTCATGATGTGGAATCGGGTCTTTATTTGATCATACTTTCAAAATGGGTACATGATTTTAAATCATTTTATTTGCAAGTTAAACCTGAAAGGTTTTTCTTTTTTTTTTTTTGGCGGAGGAGGGGGTTATTTTTGCCAAGCTTTTTCTGGATTTATCTAGCTGAAATTTGTATTGTGAACTAATTGTTTTAATACTATTTTCTATACAGGCGATTGCCAAGAAGCTTGCTGAGCTCAGTGGCAAGGGAGTGACAACAATCATTGGAGGAGGTGACTCTGTTGCAGCTGTGGAGAAGGTAGGGCTTGCGGACAAGATGAGCCATATCTCTACCGGTGGTGGTGCTAGCTTAGAGCTTCTTGAGGGAAAAGCACTTCCTGGAGTCCTTGCTCTTGATGATGCTTAAACTTAATTCTTCACCTCTCTGCTTTTTGTGCATTTTATACTGCAATAATGTGGCAGGTTTTTCAGCCCAGAGTGGTTTAGTAGTAGTCTCGTAGAGCTGATCTTGTAGAGGCTGATAAGGTGAAATAAACTAAATGGTTTTTCCTTTGCATCCATCGTAGATGCATTTGGATTGGATCTTTTTGGGGACCATTGTTGAATGTTAATGATGCAATTGCCTCAGTGTTTGTTTTATATTCACTTGGATAGCTTATTGAGTATACGAGGCAGGAGTTGCCTTTTTTTGTCTGTTGCTGAGTTGACAGCTTTTCTATTATTGTTGATTAACAACCAAGTAATGTTGTTAATTAATTAAGGGTTTACTCCTTTTTGTGGCTGTCCTTTTCATGGATGCAACCCATTCATTTCTTTTGCTATTTTCCCTCTTCTTACCCTAATCTTGTTTAATTAATAACTTGAGCAATCAATTCTCCACAAGTAAATTTTACTCAACAAATTATTTGAATGGTTATATTACTTTATTAATCTCCTCATTACTATAGAAATGGACATGGAACAAATTTATAAACCAATTTAAAAAGTTTATAATTTCAAACATTTTTAATCATGATCTTTTTAGTTCCATTGGCTTTTGTAATCACTTGTAATTTCATTTTTTTTTTCGAGCGGTGCCTTTCGATGTAAAAAAATTCAAATGATTTGTGTATAAAAAATTTATATTTAATCTGTTGGTTTTTGCTGTCATCTTTCTTTTTCTTGCAAGCTATTCTTTCTTTGTAAAAAAATTCAAACGATTTGTGCATAAAATAAATTTTCAAACTACCATTTGCGAGTGAGATAATAGCAAAGAAGATTTTGGTTCTGTAAGCTTATTGGCGAAGCTTTTGAGATTATCCATTAAAAAAAAAGGGAAAACAACAAGATTCTCTGCAGTACTTTGGAAATAATATGACAAAGTTTGATTAATTTCTTGGATATGAGTTATTGAAAAAAGGAGTCCCTACCATGTGATGGCGTTGAATTAGCATCATATCTCTATTATATATATCATCCATTTCACTAGCAGAGCTCTTCAATATTGAATCAAAAAAATTAATCAACAAAGAACAAAAATCAGATGACAGAAATCACTGCAATTGTCCACAACTGCTTGGAAGATGAACGTGTAAAAGAATACAAGGAATTCTTTGAAACCAAGGCTGGGGTGAAAGGGCTTGTAGATGCCGGAGTAGTTAAGGTTCCCAGAATATTTATCCATCCACCAGAGAATCTACCAAAACCATCATCAGAAGACAGTTGCTGTATTGGCCTCCAGGTTCCTATAATTGATTTCCATGGCCTAGAAAATGGACAGCGAGGGGAGATCATCGACAAGATACGCCAAGCAGCAGAGACCTGGGGCTTTTTCCAAGTTGTTAACCATGGGATTCCAGGTTCCTTAATGGATGATCTGTTGATTGACGTGCGCCAGTTTCATGAGCAACCTTTGGAGGTGCGGAAGGAATGGTACTCACATGATGAAACAAAGAAGGTAAGGTACTATAGCAATGGATTTTACAATCCATCCATGGCAGCCCACTGGAAGGACGGTTTATCTTGTCTTGGAGCTCAACAGCTTGAGGAAGAACAGATTCCTGAAGTTTGCAGGTAAAATACAAGCTTCAAACATGGTTGATGATCTTGTGGCTTCTTCCCTTTGATCAAATTTTATGTGATTTTGTTGTGCAGAAAAAGTATCAGTGAGTATGTAAAACATGTAATTCAACTAAAGGAAACCATATCTGAATTACTCTCAGAGGCTTTGGGGCTTAGCAGTGATTGCTTCGCGAGAGCTGGGTATATGAAAAGTGTTTCACTCGCATGCAACTATTACCCAACTTGCCCTGAACCCGAGTTGACTTTAGGCATAGCAAGCCATTCAGACCCAGATTTTCTGACTCTGCTGCTACAAGATGATATTGGTGGCCTCCAAATTCTTCACCAAAACAAGTGGGTGGATGTTCCTCCTGTTCATGGAGCTGTAATTGCAAACCTGGGGGACTTCATGCAGGTAGTACTGGTGGCTATTTGGTGGGGTTTTGGGTGTTTTCTCCTATAAATTAATGACATAAATATCATGCTTGTTTAATTTAAGAATGTATTGATTGTGTACATTTTGTATGTGTAGCTGATCACGAACGACAAGTTCAAAAGTGTTGCGCACAGGGTGGTGGCTAAACGGGGTAGTTCCAGGGTATCAGTTTCATCATTCTTTCAACCAGCTTTTTCTGATAAACTGAAACCATATGGACCAATGAAGGAGCTTGTATCTGAAGACAACCCACCTTTGTATAGGGCAATTGGTGTTGCTGAATATGTTGCCTATTTCAGGTTAAAAGGACTTGATCCTTCCACATTTTAGGCTATAATATTTTATGGTCTTGTTCAATTTCTGAAGAAAGAAAGAACAAATTACTGGTTCCTACTTTATATATGTTTATATGGTGTTACAACATGACATAGAGAAGCCAGGGGATAGTTAGGAGACCTATTTAATTAAGGATCTGTCTGAAGAACCCTTCTCGCCATGCCAAACATTATCTTTCCATTTGACAAAGGAGGAATATCAATATGCTTTTTCAATTACTTAATCAAATGTTCTGTGTATTCTATTTTGGTAATATTTTGATAGATCTTTTGTCATTAATCAATTGTCTGAGAATAAAGAGATGAGTTGGTGCATTCTAACATTGACTCAATGATTGGTTCATGATCCACTTTTCAAAGAGTAAAGTTGAATCCCCATTTTTAAATTAAAAAATAATAATAAAAGGAAATGATAAATGTGAAAAAAAATAGGATCCGCTTATAGTATACAGAGGGCAGCAAAATTATAACAAAATCATGCAAATCAACATGCACTAAGCATTCACCAGACATAAAAACAAGATATGATTCACACTTTAGTATTTGGTTAAAGAAAGATATTTTCATTTTATCTATGGAAATAAATCAACTGATTAATTGATTGATTAATCAGTTAAATAAATAATAAAAATAATCCTGAGGTTGAGCATCTGTGATCCTTTGCTAATATTGTCTCAAAACCTTTCATCACTGCACTCAAATGATCCACTAACATATTTATTTTTTATTAGGTATTTAAATAAAAAGTATTAAAATTTTTTTGGATTACTTATATAAAATAAAAACTTTATGTGAGCGTGTAAAATCATGTGTGTATTAAATCAGTGTACATAACATTTTCTTTTATTTAATGAGTTGTAATGAAAAATCCCTTACAATAATCTATATTATGTGTAATTAAAAAATACAAATTAATATTAAGGGCAGGAAAGAATATCATATAATTACATTTAATTTAAATAAAAATTATTTTTATTTTTATTTTTAATAATTCCTAGTTTGGCATTGATACAAAACTGTGTAACAAGATTAAAAACACTAAGTAGCGTGTGATTTATAATTGTTCAGCGAGTGATTATCATGTTATTACGAGGTTAGGCTAGCTATTACTTTATGATCAAGAATTGATTGCAAGCAATTCCTAAGAATTTGCATCGCCCATAAAACATAGATTACATCTATAGAAGAAAAGTTTTTTTTGTTTACACTTACAAGTGTTGGTAAAAGATCAAACAAAGTGTCCTTATCATCATTTGATTGAAGTTCTTTAAGCGTCACTTAGGTGAATGTTCGTAAAATTTCTTATATACCTGCTGGCATGATTTTTTTCAACATTTTAAATTACTTTTATAAGTAAAAAATATTTTAAAATGTCGATGAAAATTATTTTATTTAAATTTCTTATATTGATTGAGTGATTTTTTTTAACGTTTTAAACTATTTTTATAATATAAAAACCTTTAAAGGTATTTTAAAATATCGATAAAATTATCATTTCATCAAAATAATTTTTATATTCATTGAGTTATGTTGACATTTAAAACCGTCTTTAAAAGTTTTATTTTATTTTTTTATACTTATACTTTTCATATTGTAATTAAATTTACTCTTATAAATTAAGGAACACAAACAAATTAAATTTCAAATTAACAGTTTCCTACGTAAAATACAATGAAATTTACGAACTTATAAGCTATCATTTTCCATAAAACAAACTTGTAATCTCTAATATAATTTTATTTACACAAGTAAACAAAATTAATAAAGAGAGTACTACTGTGTAATCAAGTTGACAAAAGAGTAACCTGATAAGAAAGAAACATATCATTGGAACCTAATTTTAAAGTAATAAAAATGAACAATATCTTAATTTTCGTAAAAGAAAAACCTTAAAGATTGTTCCAATTAAAAAATAAATAAAAAAGTTATCAAAATACCAATTATCAACGTCTAATGTAGGACCAATCTCAATCCCTCATCTACAACTTAACTGTAAGTACACATTAAGAATTTATATGAGGCAGTCCACTGAAATTGTCGAAAAGCTTGCTTTGATCTATACAACAAAGAAAACACCTTCACAATAGTAGTTCTTAATTTAATATTGAACCACAAGAAGTGAAGTGGACGGAGACATCATATCTAGAAAGTTATAATTGCTTTGAATCATAATCTTGGATTCAAATAGTGGTGCAAATGTGGTGTAGCGGCCGCTATCTTGCAGTATCGCTATCATCCGTCATCGTTATTTGAAAAATATTGGATGAGAATTTAAATCTCATCGATATCGGAATGTGGCAGCCACGAAAAAATACTATAGTGATGAATAGCAGTCTTAACGGACTGTTATTGCCGTTATTCCATTTTTTTGTCAAAAAATCAGAATAAAAAAAAATTGGAAGCCCCGAAAAAAACTTGACATCAACCTCAATTCAGCTTCAAACAAACTCAAATTTAGTCTTAAATCAGTCATCAATCCATTACAATCAACAGTTCAACACAAGTAATTACCTTTGTAGAAAATATTGCATATTTTTGTTGAATTTTAATGGGATTGAACTGATTGGTGAAGTTAGCCTCTCCATCTTACATCTTCTGCTGAGTGAGGGCTCAAGCGACTCGACTGAAAAGTAGACTCTTCTGGTCAACAGGAGCGGCTGTAGCTTGGTGGTGCGGGCTTCTTTTATGAGCGCGAGCCCCCACTCCCCCCTCGTTCGGTGTCTTGGCTCTGGAGATGCAGCGCGGGTCAGCCCCTGCTTGGAAGAGATTGAGTTGGTGGTTCGGAAAGGACTGATTCCCTGGAAACGGAGTCTCTATTGGAAGGAATCTGGGATCGAATGCCGGTGGGTCCGGTCAGGGGCCAGCTGGAGGGAGAGGAAAAAATAGCTAGGAGAAAGATCAGATGGCATTATGGTGAGAAAAAATTAATGATATTTTGTTTTGATATGTATTTTTAATTTTTTTAGTATTAGATTAATTATTATTATTATAATTTTTGTGTACTTAACTAAAAATTAAAAGTTTGATCCCTTGTATAATAATTGAAAAGTAATTTATGATAATAATTTTAAATTAATTAATGTGTAAAAAATTAAAGTACTTAATAAAATATTGCATTTCAAAATCATAAAATAATAAATATTTAATAGATTATTACATTTAAAAATCTAGTAAATAAAATATGTGATATCATAAATTATTTTAAAAATAATAAAATAAGAATTTTTATAATTATAATTATAATTATAATATTTTATAATATGTTATGTGAAAATAAAAAAATTCACGATTGCGATAACTGTGATGATCGTAATAATTTTCGTTATACTCGTAATCACGATAAACGTTACGTGATCGAAAATGTGATTACGATCGTAATTTAAATTTCTAATCATAATATACTAAAAGAAAGTAGAATGATCAAGAAACTTACTGTGTGTTTCCCGTCAAGATAGTTTAGATCATCACGAAGTGTGAAATAGAACTGGAAAGCAAAGAAGGTTTACAAGCAGAAACGTGAGCGGTTTCCATGAAGCCTAGCTAGAGCTACAACCAAACTAAGAACTGGTCTTATAGAAGCCTTATTCTTTGTAGAACATGAACAAATTTCTTATAATAATAAACTAAAACAAAAGAGAGTTTAGCTAACCATGAATCCAGTAAAAGAACCCCATACCTGGGAGGCATTAAGATTCTCCCCTGCGCTAGCCATTGCAACAGTTCCTCTCTTGGAATGCTTTAAATCAAAATGAATCTTATCACTGAAAAACGAAGCCTGATCACCAGATAGGAATCTCAATGGATACTACTGAACTAGCAACCTAAACAACTGGCAATCATGTTAATCCAATATAAACTATCAAGAAACTAAACTATGAAATTGTGGCATATTCAAGCGAAAACTGGAAAGAGAGAAGAAAGTCAATTACCAAAATGCACCTTGTTTTATCCTTTTCTTACTTATACAAGGAGTCTCCATCTGAGCCTGTCCTAGTTTGCTCCCCTGTTTGGGTAGTAAAATCCTTCTGAACCGTGTGAAACAGACACCCATTATAGTAATTAATCCTGCACCGAAACGCAAAGCCCTAAAGAATTATTATAATGTAATATCACTCCGTTAACAATGAAAATCTGGAGAACTGAATTGCGGGAAAAAGAAAATACGGTTCCAACAGTCTATATCTATAATATTAATTTTGTAGATTTTCGAGGAACGTGAGGGTGTCACGTGCCATCCCAACTTTCTTTTAAAATTTATATTATTTTTTTATTTTTAAAATTTTTTTATTTAATTATTTTTTTATTAGATAAGTTTTGTATAAAAAATTAATAAAAGTAGGGTGATAAAATAATTTTTATTCAATAAATTTTGATTCGTCTCAATTTAATTAGTGCGTTTTCTAAATTAAGATTACTTCAAAAAAAATTTTGTTTAAAAATAAGGATGAGATTGAAAATGAGTTTAAGGTGATCTATCCCGTTTTAAATATAGATAAAATATTTTTTATTTTTTATTTAATTTTATATTTAAATATACATATTATATTAATAAAATTATTATTTAATATTTTAATTTAATAAATTCATATGGTAGCTTAGTTGACTTTATTTTTGCCATTGCAAAACTTTTTTTGCCTTTTTTTTAAAATAAATTTTGTAAGAAAAAAAATTAATGAAAATAAAAATGATAAAATAATTCATATTTAATAAGTTTCTATTCTCTTCTATCCAATATATACGATTTTTTTTTTAAGTGAGATTGAGTGGAGATTTCTTTTAAAAATCAGGCTGAGGTCGAAGACGGGTTTAGGGATCATGTTCGGGGTATATACAAAAAAATATATTTGATTACTTATTAAATTTTATATTTATATATATTAAATTAATAATATTTTTTTTAATACTATATTTTAATAAAAATAAATTTGTACATATTTAGATGTAATTTATATTAAAAAAAATATTTATACATATATATAAATATTACAAGCCAAAATATGATATTAATAAATAATAATTCAATATCAAGTCGAAATTAAAATTGGGTTGAATTATTAAAAAGTTAGATTAGAGTCGGGGTGAGTTTAAACATGTCCTACAAGTTGTCATCCTTAAATGAATGTGTCAATTAAGCACCCTATTAATTTGGTTTTTTTTTAATTTTTTAATTACCTATTTTAGTATTTCCTATCTATATTTGAAAAAATAAATTGATAATAGAAGTCAATTCGATGTAAAATGGTTTTTCCTTTCTAAATGTTGAGGTCAGATTGAAAGTAAATTTAGGATGATTTGTCCAACCCATCTTAGGATATATATATATAAGAATATATATATTATTATTTATTTAATTTAATTTTTATATATATTATATTAATAAATTTATTATTTAATATATTTATTTAATAAAATATTATATTTATATACAATTAAAATGTGATTTATATTGAAAATTTATATTTCATGAATGTTATATTATTGAATTGTTTTTTGTCACGTCTAGCTTGATGTAGATTATATATATATATATATATATGTCAAGTCAGGATCAAGTATAAAAAATAATAATTTGATATTGAATCGAAGTCATGACGAATATAAACTGATCCCTATCCGATCGATTGCCATCCATAAGTGGAGGTGTCCACATCCTCATTCAGCTCTTTTTAAATTTTTTTTCTTTTACTTTGGGCCTTTTCTTTGTTAGTTTTAGCTTTTTAATTATTTATTTTAATATTTTTAAATATATTTAAAAAAATAAATTTGAAAGAATGGATTTATATTTGAATTTGTTATTCAAGTTATGAAAATGAAATGTATATATTATCCACAAATTAGTTTATATATTTTCACTAATCATTCTTTTATTCAAAAATTATAAACAAAATTATACTCACAAATTTATTAAATTCAATTAAATACAAATAAAAAAATTTGGACCCGCAATAAAATCGAGGGCATGTTTTTAGTTTTATATAAATCTTCTTAACAAATAAAATGGTTAATTTGTAAAATATCCATTATACTATATATCTTCTATCAGTTTGGTACTTAAAGAAATAAAATTATCACTTTGATATTTTAACTTTCATTCCTATAAGTACTTTAGTACTTCGCACTGTTATCGTTAATTAAGTAATTGACTTGATATGAATATTCAATAATATCATATCATATGCCATAAATATCTAGTTATCGTCACATCAACTATTACCATGTTAGTAAAAGGTATTTTTTCTCTCTCATCAATTTTTTATTTTTTTCATTTTTTTAAATCTTGAATTAAATTTTTTTTAATTTTTTATTTAAATCCTAATGTGAAAACTAAATGATGTGACAATGACTAGATATTTACACCACATGTCATGATTTTATTTAGTATCAATACCATGTAAGCAAGTTAATAAACCATGTTAAACTAAAGTATTAAAATGCTTGACAAAATAAAAATTTACTAAAATAAAAATTTTAATTCTTTAGATAACAAACTAACAAAAATTATATAAAGTTAATAGTACGCGTGATTTCTTAACTATAGGCCAAATTTTATATTGGTATCTAAACTTTAAAAAGTTCTAATTGAGTCTTCAATGATTGAATGTGTATTAATGAGGTCCCTTCATCTATTGAACCGTCTAAATTGATGGTAACTCTTACATGGTATGACACATAATTTGAACAAGCTATGTTGCATGAAATTTTTTAAATACTAACTAAGCAAATAAAGAAAGAAAAAAAAAACTTTAATGTCCACTTAAAAAAGTTAATCATTTAAAAAATAGAAACTTATGAGATCTAGTCAATGTTTTTGAAACTTGTGAAATCTTATCAATGTTTTAGGTGTTGAAAAGAAATGGAGGAGCTAAGGGTTGAAAATGAGGAGCTACGAATTACCTTATGGAAGATATAGGCTTATAAGAAATCTATTTTTAGTCTTTAAGATGAGATGATTTGGTGACCATGGAGGACAGCTCATTTTTTTAAAACCTATTGTCAATCCCCTGAAAATTCTCGATCTAAATTCGGTCATGGAGAAGCCAAAAAATACCATGGTTGAAGTAAGAGAAGAGCTTATAGTTTTTCCAACAAGCCAAAACCAAAACGATTGTTCAAGAACAACCCATTTTCTCAAGTTCATTTTCAGTCCCCTTGAAAACCCACTTCCCAACCTTCCTTCCCAATGTCTTTCTTCTTTGGAACAATTTTCTTTTGAGCCTAAAAATTTGCCTTTGAATATCAATTTTCAAGGGTGAAAATGCAGGGGAAAGAATTAGTCCATATGGATTGAGAAGATGGCCGCTTTACATGAATCGACTTGGAAGAAAGCTAATATATATGAAGCCATCATGAATTCAGCTTATCAGATAAAGAGAAACAATGATTTCATTCTCGGTTTAGATAAGAAATGGTGTTGTCATTTTTTCTTAGGGTGAAGTTAGTGTTACACTTAAAAATGTCATGATCTTGGGGGGTTTCTCTATTATGGGTTTAGGATTTAAAGACATTAAAGTTTCTTTTACTTAGTTGGCATTTAAAAAGTTTTATATAATACAACTTGTTCAAATTAGGTATCATGCCGTCAATTTAGACAATCCAGCAGATGGAGGCACTACATTGACACACATTTAAGTGATTGATGATTTAATTAAAACTTTTTAAAATTTAAAGATCAATATAAAATTTAACCCATAGTTTAGGGACCACGCATACTATTAACTCAATTATATAATATATGTGCCATTTTGTATTTAACCCCAAGTAAAAATAGTAAGGAACTAATATACACTACTGGTAAATTGAAAATAAAAAATAAAATAAAATTTAATCGTATAAAAAAAAACTCTTATATAATCGAATTGGAGCAAAGAAAAAAAATCAATGAATCCATTTCCAATGATGATTAGAAGTGATAATGGTTCGATTCGAATCAGATTCAATTTGATTTTTTTGGATATTATGTAACATTATAAAAATTCAAAATTAAATTCGAATTCAAACCAAACTTTCATTTGATCCAAATCAAGTTTTACTAATTTCGTTTAGTTCAGTTTACCGATTTTTAATTTTTTTAATTTTATATATTAATTTAATATATTTTAATATATTTAAGTAGATTTTGATATACAATTATTATTTTTTATAAAAATTTAAAATATATATAAAAACTAAAAAAATTATATAATTCGGTTCGGTTTGATTTTTTTTTTTTAGTTTTTTACCACTTGATCCGAAATTCAATATGAACTTAATATATACATTTAATATTCGAACTTAATCTGAATCGAATAAAAGAAAAATCAATCCAAACTGAACTGAATATTATGATTTTGAATCGATTTTTCAATTTTTATTTCTCACCTCTAACAATGACGAGCTTGAACTTGAATAATTAGCAATCTATAGGTTAGGCAAAGCCTACACCACAAAAACAAGAAGAAGCAAAAATGAAGAGTTATTACAAACTAAAACCACATATTATTATTCACACTAAAAATGAGTGAGGCATTAATAATTGATTACGAAACGCAAAAGAGAAAGCAAGACAAGAGAGAATCTATGAATCTGCATTCTTTGGGGGAAAACGAAATGATGTTGGCAGTGACAAGATGAATCTATGGTGACGAAAATGACAATCACATTGGTGAAAATGTAAATTCAAAAGTTGGGGTTTGATTTTAAAAAGTTGGAGAAAATAACTTGAAATCTTATTGCAGAAAAAGTGATTTGAGAGAGATTTTGACTTTGATTTTCAAAGGTTGGTGGTTGATTTGTAATTTTCTGGTCCATAATAAAAAATTAAGAACCAGATATTTGCAAAACAGAGGCAAAGGGAGTAAAAGGGGAAAAAGAAAATAACGTGAGAAGAGAGAGGGAGGCTAATACTAATAGTGAGAAAGGAAAGTTTCTTATTTGAACTTAATTGTACCCTTAAAACCTTAATCAATAGCGGCAAATCTATTTTCGTCGAGAAAAGACAAAAAAAATAAAACATAAACATTTTCCTACACCGTCAGAAAATAAGTGTCCTTAAAATTATATTATTTTGTGGTGCTTGTAGCCATTGCTTTTCAATGAAGCTATTAAATCAATAATTTTTTTAATGATAATAACCTTTAATATAGTGTCTTTTTGAGGACTTACAACTTCATCATTCTATGGAATCTTGAATGTTTCATTTTATCTAATTAAATTAATTATACGAATTGAACATGAATTTTATTAAAACAATAAATTAATTAATTATTGAACAAACGAAACAATCTTAAATGAATGCTATTGATTTTGTTAATTAGCGTTTTAAAATATTTTTTAAGGTTATCATATTAAAAAAAAATCTTTTTTCAATGTATTGAAACTATCATAATAACTATCAATTAGTGCATTTAATACAAAAATATTATTATACATAAAATGTTAACTGATCTTAAAAAGTTTTCATAAACACTCATTGGCAAAACGTTATCATAATTTTTTCATCATTCTCAACATAATCTGTTGTTGAATTTGAGCTGCTAGCTATGCATGAAGGTAGTTAGCTGATGATGTAAAATGCCGAAATGGGTTTGAAGGGCTTCACCTTCTAAAATCTGCAAGTCCAAATCAGCGATCTTGGGACAAAACTTAGAATCAAGCAGAACATTTGCAGGTTCAATTAATATCGTAATGGATTATTCTTCTGTTGCTGAAATGATGCAAATACTCAACCAAACTCCTATCTCAGATAACTTGTTCCACTCAATTCTATGTTTCGTCTCAAAACAATATATGGCTTGTCAAGAGATCCATAATTTCCCATGGATTCATAAACTAGAGCTTTGGTCTTTACTTCAAAGCAGAAGCCGTGCACAAAATCTTGGTAGATGCCGGTGATATGTTCTTCCAATAGTGTTGACTTCAGCAAATTGTAAACAGCTCCATATATACCATCCCTCACCTAATTTGCTAGAGTAATTTGATGTGATAATTTCAAGAAACTGAGATGAAAAGCTGGCTGCAGGTTTTTCTTTGAGCATGTAAGAACTCCATGAATATTTCTACAGTCTGTTTCTCTATTCCTTCTTCCTCAACTTTTGGCTCTGGTTGTTTGTTGTTATATGCCAACAACTCCCTCAAAATTCCTGGTAGTAAGTAACTAATTAACTCCATGACCGTCTCTGTTTCTTTGTCTTGTTTTCCGTTTTATTTGTGTCTTCTTTCCATTCTTGATTTGGCTATATATGATGGCAGGACATTTTAATGTATATTTTAAAGATTTTACACCTAGAATACTTCAAAAAAAAAAAAATTGAAACCCTACTGGTTAATGGAAAAAAATTTCTTCTCTTTACTAATTGATACAATCAATTGCATAGGAAAAACAAGAAAAGAAAATGTTTTTTTTGTTTTGATGTTAGTTGATGCAATCTTATTTTATTTAAATTTAAGGTCACTTCCCTACTTTTTATCGTCTCCCATGTCCTTTCCATACTCCATTTTATATATTTTCCTTGGTTGCAGTTCGGTTGTCTCTTTCTCTAGCTTTTGGAAAAAAAAATAAAATCTTTAAGTTTTGCCTTTGAATTTGGAGCCGGCTTTTGTCAAACTAGTTATGATGGACGGCCTCTAAAAGTCTATTATAATATATATCAGGAGCTAGTTTCATGATACAAGAAAAAGAAAAGCAATCAAAACCAATTAAAGAAAAGGAGCTTGGTGTAGAAGAGAGGTTGAACAATGTCCATAAGCATGATCAAGGCAATTGGGTGCCTTGCACGTTATATTCACTGGCCTATCCCAATTGTCTTTTTATTCTTATAGTTTGAAATTCCTTTCCTGTCTGTCTTTGCACAAAACAGAATATGCTATAGCTTTATTCTTCGTGTAAGTTTCTTTCTCTTTTATTACATATATACATCATCACATCCGGTACTCTACACCTTTGGAAAGATATATCGTATGGGGAATTGTCTTACACTCCCTTCTCTAAGAAAACAGAAGGCTTTGCCTATTGAAACCGTCTTTAGGCTTCCCTCTCCTTTACCATCATGGCCGCCAGGTATCTCTATCTGATCTCTATCAAGAAAATCTTATATTTCTTGTTTTGGCCGCGCAATTTAAATGTATAGGACATCAATGATTTTATTTATCATTTTATTTTCTTCTTAAGAATTAAAAATTTTTTTTTCATTTACGATCTCTTAGAAAAATTTTAAATTCATTTATTTCATCAATCATTAATAAAAATTTAACGAAATATGTCACATAAACATTTGTATGGACATACACGAGTTTTGAGTGGCAATTTGTTGGCAAACTCTATCCAAATTTGATGAAACGTGATGAGTTTATAACATTTTAAAAATACTGTGAATGAAAATTTTTTAATTTTAAAAATAGCTTATGAAAATGAAATATTGAACAAATGTTATAGGCTGTTTAATTCACTTCATGAATTACTACAGGTGACGGGTTTGCAAGTGGAACTATTGATCTCGGTGGAATACAGGTGTGCCAGATATCATCATTTAGTAAAGTATGGGCCACACGCGAAGGAGGGCCGGATAATCTTGGGGCTACATTTTTTGAACTATCGTCAACACCTGATGGATACTACATGCTAGGCAGCTATGCCCAGCCCAACAACAGAATCCTTTCAGGATGGGTTCTTGCAGCAAAAGATGACACGAACGGGTCCTTGTTAAAACATCCAATCGATTACAGTCTTGTTTGGAGCAGTGAGTCTTTGAAAATCAAGCAAGATGGAATTGGCTACATTTGGTTGCCCATAGCCCCGGAAGGATACCAGGCTGTAGGCCATGTGGTCACCAACACCCAAGACAAGCCTTCCCTGGAGAAAATACATTGCGTTCGATCTGATTTTACTGATCAAACCGAGAATTACACGTGGATATGGGGACCTAGTAAGCAATTGAATTCAACAGAATTCAACGTTTTCGGTTCAAGGCCAATCAATAGAGGGTCTCAAGATATGTGTGTTTGCGTGGGCACATTTGCAGCCGAAAATCCAACCTCTGGCTCTACAAATCCTTTACCTTGTTTGAAAAATGTCAAATCTAATATGTCTTGTATGCCTAATCTACCCCAAATTCAGACATTGTTTCAAGCATACTCTCCTTGGATCTATTTCCACCCTGAAGAAACTTACCTCCCATCATCAGTCAATTGGTTTTTTGTCAATGGAGCATTGCTATACACAAAAGGAGAAGAGTCCAAACCAGTTCCAATAGAACCAACGGGTTCAAACCTCCCACAAGGCGGTTCAAACGATGGTAACTATTGGTTGGATCTCCCCATAGACGAAGCAAACAAGGAAAGGGTAATGAAAGGAGATTTGCAAAGCTCCCAAGTTTATTTGCATGTAAAACCTATGTTGGGCGCAACCTATTCGGACATAGCGATATGGGTGTTTTACCCCTTCAATGGACCGGCAAAGGCTAAAGTACAACTCATCAATATTCCATTAGGAAAGATAGGTGAACATGTTGGCGATTGGGAGCATGTGACTTTGAGGGTCAGCAACTTTAATGGAGAATTACATAGTATGTACTTTTCAGAACATAGTGGAGGTTCATGGGTGAATGCGTCAGAGCTTGAATTTCAAGGTGGGAATAAGCCTTGTAGCTATTCATCCTTGAATGGCCATGCCATGTATTCAAAACCTGGACTAGTTTTGCAAGGAAATGGAGGGATAGGAATTAGAAATGACACTGCCAAGAGTAAGATTCTCATGGATACTGGCCTTCAATTTTCACTAGTTGCAGCTGAGTATTTGGGTTCTACCATTGTTGAGCCGCCATGGCTAAACTATTTCAGGGAATGGGGTCCGAAGATTAGTTATGACTTGGCAGATGAGATCAAGAAGGTGGAAAAATTATTGCCTGGAAAGCTTAAATCTGCTTTTGAGAAATTTGTGAATAGCCTACCAAACGAAGTGTCAGGACAAGAAGGGCCAACAGGTCCTAAGATGAAAAGGAACTGGTCTGGGGACGAGGTTTAAAATATTGCTCAGAATTTATGGCATCATTATTATGAAATGTATGCAAAAAATCATGCTTCTTTTATACAAAACTTATCAATTAATTTAATTGGAACACATTGGTAAAGGATTTCTCTCTGGTGTTTTCTTTTATCAATAATAATGAGCTGATACGCACCTAGATACAAATTTTGCATCCTAGAGTTTTTTATGGATAAAAGAAATATTCATTTCTCTTAAATAAAATGGAATTATCACTGGAGATCAAAGGCAGATGGGGAAAAATGAATAAAAAAGAAATACAAATTGAAATATAATGACAGTGGCTGCCACAAGCAGAGGAGGCATACATACTAATTCCATAGCAATCTGGTGGATGCATGCTTCTCAATTTTCAAAGCAACATCTGGTCTTCCCTTTGCATATCTCACTCAGTACTTGAAAATGTGATGAATCTACTGAATTTTAAAAACTAATTATGAATCATGATTAAAACCTGAGGTCAGGTAGATGAGCTATCATTCTTGATTTTGAATCGATAGAAAGCACGCTTCTTAGTCTTGAACGCTGCATTCCCTATTATGAGAACAATCTTTCCAGGCTCATTGTTCCTGAATGAATTCCGAATTGAGCTTTCCTGAATCCCCATTTTCTTTTCCTTTTGAACGATAACGGTATAAGACTTCTCATCGTGCGGGATAAATTCCTCCTTATAGCTTACTTCCCAACCCAGCACGATCAAATCCCAGATTAAAACACTCCCAGCCTGTTTTTTTTTTCCCGCTAACTTGTAAGAAAGCTTTCAACTCAAATAGCTATATATAATTTGCAATATAATGGTCTCAAAATAGAACTATAAGTGATTCAACTTTCAAGATACTTTCACTTACCTCTGGTGCAGGGATCTCGATTGTTTCTGTTGAGCTTGCTTTGACTAGAATTTCCTCTGCATGGTCTTCGGTAGAGAAGTCAGAATCGTTGTCACGTTTAAGCCCACCATAGCTAACTGGTATTTCTTCTGCGTCAATATACCTAAAACCAAGCACTAGATCGGTTGATTAATCTCCAATGAATTGAACTAAAATCCATATGTAGGATGACATTGAAAATATTGATGATCAATATCTTACTTGAGAAGGGTTTCAGTGACCTTTGCTGGCCTAGCATAGACAAATTTGCTCTTGGTTCTTTGGGTTAAGAAAGGTGATAAGAGGGCAGCAAATGCGTAATACCAGAAAGGAACATTGATAAAGATCTACAAAGGAAAAAACTTGTGTATCAATTATACACATACATCGAGTATGTAAAATTTTATGTATCAGAACAATGGAGATATATAAAAAGGAATAACTGGGAATTAAATTAAGATAAATTATTGATATATAGTGAAGAATTGCTTACATTTTTAACAACAAATTCAGGATAGTTATCCTGGAGAAGACCAACGACTTGTTTCATGATAAGACGAACTTCCTTCTTTGAGGGTCCTGGGGTGTTCTTGAGATCACTGATTTGCAGCAAAGATGAGACACCACCATAAAAATCAAGTTTTTCAATTCCCTCCTCCATCAGTTGCAATCTCCACCTTAGAAACTTCTCACGATTCTCTTCAGTCCCCAATGTTTTATTATACATCTCCTCATCACTAAGCACCCCAAAAACGTTGTAACATACCGGATGGCCTTGGCGATCGCTGCCATTGAGGTATGCTGTGGAGTGAAACTCGTTGCCAAGATCTTCATCTAAGATCGAATCCATATTATTTTCTTTTCTCCATTGAAGGGTGTTCCTCAACATCTCGAAGGCATCAATCACTTTAAAATCTCTAGCCCTCAAGAATTTCAAGAGCACAGCATCGGTTGCATTCCATCCCTTACTTGGCGATAATGGTACACCCCAAAGTTTAATATCTTTATCAATACAATCCTCTTTTCCTTCAATAGCCTCTAGCATTTTCTTCTTTTCAGCCTCTGCAATGACCCTTTCTTTTTCCACGCCTTCCTGCATAACATCTCTTTCCTCTGCCATGTCATCTTTCACGGATTTTAGATTTTTCTCTTCACTTTCTTGTCCAATATTTTTCTCTTTCTCAGGTTCGTCTATGGATGAATTTGCCTTGCTACCCTCATCTTTGTCATCTTCTCTACCTTCATTTTCTTTTGGTTTCTCCATTTCCTTTTCAGCATTTTCTGATGATTTTTCCTTATTTTGCTCTTTAATATCATTTTCCTTTGCCTTGAACAACTGATTTTCACTAATTGCTTCTTCAACTTTTGATCTAAGCTCCACCAACGCCTTCTTTTCATTCTCTTTCAGATCAGAGAAGAGATTGCTCTCTTCCTTGAATGACAAACGACTCACATTAACATTACATGATGAAACATCCTGTCTTTCAACATCATTCTTCTTCTCATTTTTATTCAATTCACTATTTTCCTCAACAAAATTTGGATTTTGATCTATTTTAACAACTCTTTCTTTGACATCCTCAGAAATTTTATTTTCCTGTATTGCTTTAGCTTCATTTTTCTCATCTTTTTCCTTTGCTTCACCACCCTTCAGTACCCCTTCATCTTCTTTTTCTGCGACACTCATATCAATCTCCTTTATTTTTATCTCATCGCTCGTATTCACCTCATTTACTTTCCCTTCATCTTCTTTCTTTCTTTCATCATTCACCAATATCTCATTTATAATAACATCTCCTTTCTTTGCTTCATCATTTTTTATCTCAGTTATAGCCGTAACATCTCCTTTGTTTGCTTCATCATTCTTCATCTCATTTATACCCTTAACGTCTCCTTTTTCTGCTTCACCAATCGTTATCTCATTTATTGTAGCCTTAACATCTCCTTTCTCTACTTCAATAATATTCTTCATCTCATTCATTTCTTCTTTCTTTGTTTCATCCTCAACATCTCCATTGTCTGCTTCATTATCATTCTTCATCTCATTTGTAACCTCAACATCTCCTTCCTTTGCTTCATCATTCTTCATCTCATTTATGTCTCCTTTCTTTGCTTCATCAATCTCCATCCCCACGTCTATTTTGTTCAAATCTTGTTTCTTTTCTTCACCATTCTTCTTTCCCTCATCTGTTTTCCTTTCATCTTCTATCTTTCCTTCATTGTTGCTCCCTTCACCTTTTACTTTCTGTATGTCAATGATTTTTTCTTTGTCATCCACGGGTAGTTCTTCCTTTTGATCATTAGTTTGAACTTTTTTGCCCAAATGAGAATCTTCTGAGGTCTCTAATCCACTTGCCATTTCTTCAGATTTCTTGAAAAAGATTGTATGAAAGTTTAAGATTTAATTTAATTTGAAGTAAAGAGGAAAAATGATTTTTGAGAAACAGAACAAAAACAAAAACAAAACCTGTCAATGATCCTTATTTTTCTCCATAGTATTCTCAACTTCCATCTTTGAAGAGCAATAATAGGTCTTTGCTTGGTTGTGTGGCAATTTGTCTTAAATGGCAACAAACATTTGTGGTATAAAAAAAAAAGTTAAATTTTGATTTAATGTTGAGAAATTAAGAGAGATAACTCTTCCTTTTGAGAAATTAATTATTATAGATACTTTTCTTACTACATTAATCATATATGATGCATATAATATAATAATAAAAAGTTATCATGCAAGCATGCATGAATTCTTACTTTTTTAAGTACGTATAGAAGCTCAATAATTAAAAGTTATCATGCAATTATCAATAACTAAGGATGAACCTATAGAAGCTCATTAAAATTAGAGTATAGAGAACACAAGCACATAATTGAGATAAAAAAAAAAGGAACCAAATTAAAACTTTGGCCATGAATACACATAAAAATGATGAAAAATAGCAAATTTTTTTAACAAAAAGTAGTATAATAAAACATATGCTAATTAAATTCAAATAAATTAGTAATCTTATTCAATAAAATGTATACATTTCTTTTGATAAGTAAATATATATCATATATTGTAATTCATATTGTTCATATAAAATATTGAATAAAAAGAAATTTTTCGTATTATATTTTTTATCTAATGGATAAAGCTATTTATAATCAAATCGAGCCGGATTCAAGTCTGACCTAAAAATGATATCAACAATTTACATAGCCATGATTTTTGTTTAATCTCTAGTATTTTGTTTTTTTCCTTTTATTTAAGTTTAAGGAATGGGATAGTGTAATATATTTTTTAATGTTTATATTATATATATATATATATTTGGTACAAATAAATGGAAAATATCACTTCCAATCTGAAAGCTTTAAGCCTAACTACTGCTAACATGTTTTTTTTTTCTTTTGCACGAGTTGGACAACTCCAACAAGAGGAACATCTATCACAAAGTTGGACTCGTGCCTTTCAAAAACCCAACCAACCATATAATTAACACAAAAGTTTGCTTTTTATATGATGAATTCTGCAATCCCAATCTCTGTTAATTAATTGTTAACATTAATAAATAATATAATTATATTAAATTATATTATATTATATATAATCATATATATTATATAATTATCGAATCGGATCAAAGATGGAACTTTAAATGTTGATTCAATACTTGAGATTTTTTAATGGGCATCATATTTTTGTTTAAATCCATTTAATTGGTTTAATATTTCAAAAATTAAGTGAACAACTTAACCTTTAAACAGTTCTACTATGAGAATGAAAATGTCAAAAGAAAAATTCTTTCCTCTTATAATTTGTACTTTAAAATTTTTAAGAAAAAAATGAAAAGAAATTTATGTATATATTCATCTTTTAACAAATATATAAGCATGTAACTTACATAAATAAGCTATTAAATGAATTTTTTTTGGGTTGAAAGAGAGCTACTGTCTTTTTTTTTTTAAAAAAAAAGATTATATGAAATTATCATATAATACATTAAGTTTATATTTGGTACACAAGATTATGATATGATATGATAATATGGTATTATTAATATAATTAGATTAAATAATATCATCATATCTTATGTTTGATATATACAATGATTAAAATATGATAATTTATTTATTGATCAAAATTATATTTTTTCAAAATTTATATAATTTAAATTATTGATATAATTTTTAAGTGTATAACATGACATGTAACTTTTATCCAATGGATTAAAAATAATTTTTTTCACTTTGAGAATATTAAATCATCCTATATAAAAAAGATGATAATATTTTTTATAATATTATTCCTTTCAATTAAATACAAACCAAATATAATAAATAATGATTATGATATTATTTTATTTATTATCTTATATACCAAATATGACCTAATATTTTTATATCCAACTGATGTTATGTCTTAAATAAACAAATGATGCTGCTTAATAACAAAAAAGTTAACACTTCAGCATTATTTTCTAGGATGTTTTCCTAAGATGTTAATATCAAAAAATATAATATAGAATTTATGTAATTATTTTTAAAAAATAAAATCTAATAATATTTCCAATTTTTTTATCCTCAAATTGTAATATCTTTTATATAAAAAATATATTAAAAAGCATAGTATATAAATTATATAGATTCGTGACGGATTAAGCTTATGCAATGTTCCTTCGCTCCGAAAGAATGATGCATATACATAAATATATAAATTAATTAAATAAATAATTGGAAAATGTGTTTTACTTTTATGATAACAAAAAAAAAAAAAAAAAAAAAAGAAAGTTCACCATTGAATGAATAGAGGTTAAGAATATCAAAGAGTCACAATGAGTATGCATGAGGCAGCCGCCAATGTGAGAAAGGCCCTTTCGTTAACAGTTTTTCAGTTTCTTTTGTGGGAAGCAAAAAGGCCCTACCTTTACTCGGAAACAGTTAACTGTTCCTAATCCCATGTTCCCTATTTTTTCTCAACCCACCACTTTCTCCTCAAATTCTGTTTTGTTTTTTTTTTTTTTTTTTCTTGCTTTTATAAAGTTCGGTCTTATGAAAATCTTTTGGGTCGACAGGCTGATCAGTTCAATAAGCAGCAAAAGGAAATTGACAGTTTTCTTCTCCGAATTCAAGTATTTTGCCCATCTAATCTTTCTCTCACATTTTTTCTGCTCTAAAACCTTTACTGGAAACCGTACTAACTTGATGAATGGCTTCATGTTCTCATATTATTCCAGGGTTTTTGACAGCTAGCATGGTTTTGAGTTCCTACTCCGACTTCGGAACTGATGTTCAAAATGTTAACTCGGAGCCAATCATTCAAACAAAAGCAGCTCAGGATCAGCTTGTTGCAGGAGATCATCAGCTTGAATATTACTGCGATGCATTGGAGCTGCCTTATGATTTTCTTGATCCTTATATTAACCTGAATAACAATTTGCTACACCCTGAAAACTACACTCCTTTACTTCCATACTTCTCCCCATATGACCCTTTAGTTTCCTTCTTTCCAGAAACCATCCCATGTGAAAATTTCGGCTCCTATCCTTGCCTCAAACGACAAAAACTCACTGAAGATCACTACTATTGCTCAGATTTGGTGCCTGCAGCTTTCTTTGATGGGGTTGCTGTGAATTCTTGTCCCGTGCCTGAAGATCAAAGCATGCGTCAAAATAACTTGGAAGGAAATGTGGGAAATTACTGTAAGAAGATTGGTGAAAGATGCGTGTCAGTGCAAAGCATTGCAGCGAGAGAAAGGAGAAGGAAGATTACAGAGAAGACTCAAGAGCTTGGGAAGCTTGTGCCGGGTGGGAATAAGATGAACACAGCTGAAATGCTTCAATCTGCCTTCAAGTATATCATGTATTTGCAAGCTCAAGTTGGAATCCTTCAAGTTATGGACTCCTTTCTGGTAATTTTCCTAACTGTTTTAAATCATTGAAAAAAGTTGCCTTTAATTCACAGTGATTTCTTGTTAAAAATGTACAATCAATATTCTCTAGCCCAGGGAAATTAAAAAAAAAAAATCCAGATTTTAGTTATTTTTCAATTTTTACTACTATGAATTAATACTAGTTATATCATGTTGCAAGCTTGGTAAAGAAAGTTGCATACATATGGAAGTCCGACCTTAACAATTTTCAAAAATAAAATAAAATAATTAAATTGAATAAAAAATTTTAAAAAAGTTTTTTTTGAAGCCAGTAGATATCTAGGTCACTAGGTGCTATATTTTCATATTTTACAGGATATTTGATGATGAGATATCATATTAAATATTTTAATTACTTTAAGGGCTAAATATGACATGATTCCAAAAATATATATAAACTTTGATGGTCTATTTGTTTTTAATTTTGAAAAAAAAAAATGAATTTCCAATATCATTAAGAATTTAATTTTGTATGTTCAATAAAAAGTTTATCCAATATCCAATATGCTAATATCTTAAAACTTTAACTAAGGTGGATAATGGTAAAAATTAATAAGAGAAACCAAATGGAAATTATTATATATTGTCAGGTACATAAAATTGTTATAGCTTTCTTTGGAATGAGATGCAGCCTTTCATTTTTTCCAATAAATGTAAAAAAAATGCAGGAAAATGAGAAGGGGAGTTGCAAGGAGATGATGCAAATTGTAACATCTCCAAAGGTACAAGAAAAGCTTTACATGGAAGACAAGTGCCTGGTTCCAAAGAATGTTGTTCTGTCGTTGACACCACTTTCTAAACCTCCACTCTCTCATCAACTCAGTCGGCTGTTAGCACCATTAGCACCTTCATCATGACTGAATAAGCTCTCAAATGTTTTTGTGTCTTTCATCTCCATCTCTAATCATCTTTCTATTTATGCTTTTTTTTTTTTTAATATGTAATTATCTTTTAACTCAATACAACAATTCCACAATTACAAATGAAATTTCAAGTTAAAAATCTCGAATTTGAGTCATGAATATTGAACTTAAAAATCTCGAGCTCAAATCATGATCAAAACAAAGATTTCAACTTAGAAAATCTCAAATTCAAGTCATGAAATGAGCAAAGTGAAATTAATGAGATGGAAGAGAACTTACCTTTCATCTTGTAATTCATTAGCACATGTACATGCTATTATCTTCGTTTCGATTGTGTCTTGGGGGCTTCTAAACGCACTTCCAAAAACTCTCTTTACATTTCAACATTTTTTTTTTGAAAGTATCTATATATAAAATATCAATTTTATTTTTTAGTAAATTATAATTTTACCATTTTTACATTACAACTTTAAAATTTTTGAAAATGAATTTCTAAGAGCCTTTAAAATCCATTTCCGAGAGTTTTAAAAGACTCTCAAAAACTCATTTCCGATAAATCTTTAAAACTCTCGAAAATAAATTTTCAAGTAAATTCTCAAAAATACATTTTCAAATCTAATTTTAAAAAACCTTTAAAACTCTTTAAAAATGGATTTTCGAAAGTTTTAAATTTTAAAAAATCTTTAAAGCTTTCAAAATTTTAATTCTAATAACTTTAAAGGTTTCTCGAAAATTTATTTTTAAAAAACTTAAATTTGATGGAATATTATTGTAAACTCTAGACAATTTTCATACCAATTTAAACCAAATTAATCAACAAACATGTTGAAATCTTATCTGCAATCAATGAAATACTTAAACAACTTGTGATTTTAGGGTTGGTTTGATGGTTTTAGAGTTAAGTTTGAATTGAATTTGAATTAAAAGTGAAAGAATGAAGAAGTTGAAAAAAAAAAAAGAAAAACAAGTGATTTTGTTAGATGGAATGTATTATAAAAAATAAAAATTTTTATTTTGGAAATGAAGTATATTTAATAATGGAATGTAAAAAAAATTGTGAGTGCAAATAGAATTCCCTTGCCTCTTTGGATATCTAGCCATGCTTGATCGACCTGTTTTTATTTGCCCTGCCCTTCGCCCAGTGTTGCATTTTGTTTATTTCATTTTAAAATGCTAAGTGATCTATTCAACAATCACGATTCCTTAATTCTCAGACCCTTTCCTGAACATAAAACCTTAACCAAAAACACAAGGGTCATGGAAATTGTTCATAGCACATGTCAACGGTGCAGATTTTAGCTCAAGGGAGCATAAAACAAATAACCAGAAAATTCAAAATTAAAAATGAATTGCAAAGAAATTCATGATATTGTTTATTTATTTATTTATTTATTTATCTTGCACTGTTCACCACCCCTTGATTTCCTATTGAGTCTTTTGCTGACAAAAAGGTGACTGCAAGAATCACAATACCTTTGTGTTGTCACCTCATGTAAACCCACCAGACATGTTTGGTAAACATCATAGATAAATTTTAGAACTCAACGTTTCTGTTTTCAAACAGAAGTGTGGATCTTAAGTTACCACTCATGCAGGTGCATATTGGAACTCAAAAATGATGAATGATACTCAAGACTGTTTTAGACACAAACCCTTTTCATCACAATCTGAGAAGTGAACTGGACAATTTCTAGTTGTATTTCTTCTTAACTTTTTGACAGGGTTGTGCTAAGATTCACGATGAAGTTTCAACAGGTGTATCAGATTGTTCACCCCATTCGGTCCAAGATCCATCATACACAGGAACCTCAGGCTTCCCAAGACGATGAAGGCCCTGAAAAGCATCAGCACGAGTCACTTATCTATTTTTGAATATTAATCCATCTCTTCAACTTGTCCAAGCAGAAAAGGAAAAAAAAATTTATAGAACTCGGTTTAAGAAATGGTTTAAGAAACTACATTATATTTTTTTCCCCTCCTGAGGTTTACAGGGAAATTGGATAAATGTTGAGCCTAAAGGTAGAGATAGAACAGTAAGACATAGTAAGGGAAAGTACCAATGCCAGAACACAAGCAGTTACACCAGTGCCACAAGAAGTTACAACAGGGCGTTCCAATGAGATGCCTGCAGAAGAGTAAGTTATTAGGCAGCATAAGTTTGCAAGGACGATGTAATCAGTGAACAGATTTCAAGATCAACCATAAACCTTCATATAATCAAACATGAAATATAAACTTCTTTAAAAGCTAGAAAGTTAAGAGACAGGCGATGGCAAAGCAAGATGATTCATCAAGAAACGATCAGTACATTGCTGGGATCATAAACACATAAAATCCTATTGAAAGATTGATTTAACCATGAACTGATATAAAAAAATTATGAACTGTGTGCAAGTCCCCTCACCAAGTTGAATGTGACAACAAAGGCCTCGGTGTCTAATTTTGCTATATAAAATCAGTGAAGTTACAGCGTCAAATATGCTTTTTATATTGCTCAATCAAGAAAACTTGCAACCTTTTGCAAATGAACGATTCTTCATGTCATTATGTAACAGCGAAACTCAATAAATATTCGCCATTTCACAAACAAGTTATTGGCATAGCTAATAATTAAGTTTCAAATTCTAATTATCAGATTGCTCAATTGTTAAACCCGTTAACTAGTATGCCTCTAATGGAGCAAATATGAAGGTTTGACAAGGATGTTGATAGGTGAAGTGGAAGAGGGTGGTATTGACAATCACATATGAAAAGCTAATAAGATAGCTCAATCCATACCTGCTGAATTCAGAAAGAATAAAAAGCAAGAGAGAAACAAACAACGATAAAAAGGAAGATAAATAGTACTCACCCTCTTCGTCAAATCGTTTCTTAATCTCATCAGCAGGTAAAAGTGTCTGTGAAGCATCCAACATCTGCATAGAAATGCCAAATGGCTGAATTAATAATCTATTATACATTTGCGAACATTTGAAATGAGAGTGAAAAATGCAAAAAATAAATAAATAACAACCCATATCAGGCATACCACTTTCTTTCTCCCCTTTTTCTCACAACTACAACTCCATCACAGGAAAAAAAATCAAGAGAACTATAGAGTATTCAACCACATATTCAACAGGAACTACATCCTCTCTTGAAATTCTTCAATCCTTGAATCTATTATCTCATTTCTAATAGTCTACATAATGGCCAGTCAAGGTCATGCTCCAATCACACTATCTAAATCTGCCACTCAGCAACTTCATTCTTTGTGCATGACAATTTTGAATTACCAATCAACAATTTCATGCAGCATGCGCCACCAAGAGATACATAGAGATGCCCTTGAACTCCTAATTTGAAAGTAAATGTTCTTGCACCAAGTGCAACTCTCTCTCTCTCTCTCTGACAAATTAAAAAAATATTAAAGGACTTCAGAAATTTACATACACTTCATCTCTTCATAACATGCAAGTAAAATATGAAAACCTTTTATCTCTTACCTGTGGAAAAGGAATACACTTGCTGCCAGGTACATGGCCGCTTCTGATTCCTTTACGAGGTTCTGGTGCAGCACCATCAAATCTGCATGAAACCCCAAACAGGAAAAAAAAACCAAATTAGATAAAAAAAGGATCTCATATACAAGGAGTTCCAGTATCATATCACCCCAGCTAATATACACTTCAATTTTTAGGCCACACGGCCTGACTCCCTGGGCCACACGAGGCACTTACGCTTCAACATTTAAAAAGTTAAAAGGCAAAATCCTGCTAGAAAGTAGAAGTATGTTTGCATGTGTGTGTGTATTTAAGGATGAAATTTAAAAAAATAATAATAATAAAGAACAAAGCAACCCGCTGAAACAATAGAATAGATAGGCTGCCAAGAATCAGCCCACATAAGGACTGCTCTACTCCAAATTTGCTGCTATTTACCATTCTCAATAAATGCATCACATTACTCAAGCAGCTAACTTTTCTAGTCAAGTTTCCTACCATTCATTGACCTCATCTCTTACTTCCAAAGTCTCGTTCCACCTAACTAATGAACATGGTTCTCTTGATACCAGCAGTCAGCCACACGCCACAGAAAACAACAGAAACCTCATTATTTCAAATCAACATCCAAGATGTTGGGACAACCAAATCTACTTAGATTACAATGATGAGAGAAACAAACCCAAAACTGAAATTTGATAGCAAAAGGGAAGACAATAAAAGAATTCAATGAAAGCAAAGAGATCAATTACACAATGAAAGGGTTGGTCTTCTGATTTCTAAGAAATAAGAACATAATAAACATCTATTTCTTGTGCCCAATTTTTTTTTTTTTTAAGAAAAAACAAAAATGTATCAAATCTAATTGCATAAAAATTTTCCATGGTGTATAAAAATATGATAAAATTAATCCCAGCCCTTAAAAAAAAGTTAAGAATCAAGTCTCATCCATCCAAAATAACCAAAAGGAAAAGAACTAATAACAAAAATAAAAACAAAAACAGTTGAAGAATATAAAGTTAGACTACAGTAACATGAATAGAAGAGATAATATTAGGAAGCTCAAAAGAGTAACTACTTTCAGTATTTAGTCATGACGGTTTCTATATCAGGAAGTGACCTTCATGAAGAAGCCATTCGTAGGAGCATAATAAGCTGATGGAATCGAGAAGTGCAATTAAGAATTTAATATCATGTGCTCACAGAGTATTAGCAAGTTTAATAGGAAATGCAATAACACCAGTTTGACGACAACTCATCTAAAGTGAAAGAAGGGTGTAGCTGAAATGAAGATGGTGAGATAGATGTGAATCATAAAATGGATCACGCTGGCAACTAGGATCACCTAGATAGGCAAACCAATCGTATCCATTTCACTCAGGATCTAGTTTAATTATAGTTCTTCCAGGGTTCAGACAGATTCCCATACCATTAAAGCTGTTCAAGAGTTTTATTAGTAATGACACAGATATGAGTTTACTGTGAAGTGTATTGCAAAAATTTCATTCAGTAGATTCAATATTAGACTCTACTTTACAATCTAAGAAGCTTATTACGCTTCATGGACTCAAAAAAACAAGAACAAAACCACGCTGTATGTCCCATGCACCTTACATTAATTATTGTGAAAAAAAATTCATTTAGGTCCAAAATTCAGTTTATTTAAGATTGTATTTACGGCATTTCCAAGGCTCTAAAATAGCAGACATGCTGGTTCTGCTCATTATCAATAATAAAAGGATGATGAATTGAGCTACAAGATCTGAGTACTAAAGGAAAGCAAAGATACCTACAACCACAAGCATTTACCATATTAAATTCATATATATCATAAGAAAATTATCAAAGTTAAACATACTCAATTAACTAAGACTCTGCAGTACCTGGGCTTGGAACGAGCATCTATATGTTGGTGAGTTTTTTCCTCAATGTTTCTTCTAACCTGACAAAAAAAAAAAAAAAAAAAAGAAGGTAGGATCTAACATAACCTGAGAATGTATTCAAATGATAGGGAATTTCTATCCACTGATGGACTGACATCACAGCCATGTCCAGAAAGAGCACCTAAGTTGCTGATTTGAGTGCTGGACATGGTATATGTCCCAACAAAAGCACTTTCAACAGTTTGTGAGCATTGTCTCATTCGTGGAGTTTCTTAATTTTATAACCATGTATGCTTTAAAGCGTACACTATATTTCTGATGCAGCCATGTTAGGAAAAATCAAGTTGGATTAACATATAAAATCACCAACTAGACACATTACATATGCCACCTTTTACTTCTACAGAAATAATTTTAAATTGCTATATATTGGATTCCAAGATTTTTCTTCAGTATATTTCAAAATGAAACAAAGATATCAAGCCCAGGTAGGCAAGTACATATAAACAAGACACCAGACAGCTAATAAATTCAGACCAATGTGTATGAAGATTTTACCACTTTATATAAACAACTGCATGTTTTAAATCTTGTAATACATTTATAAACATGCTCTTCCTTTATGCCACCAGTAAAATCAAATTTCTACGATTCTTTACTTGTAACAATCAGCTTGAAGCTTTTGCCAAGTTTTTTTCTTCACACCATAATTTTGGTATGATGTCTATGAAGGCCAATATATTTTCACATAAGTGGATCATAACATAATAATCATGCATAAAGGATCTAGCAAGGTCACAACAGTATTAGTATAAATCTGGTTATATGGAGGTGTATCAACTATAAATTGCATACATTATCAGGCATCATTTCAGAAGTTGTACAAAACATTATAGCAAAACAATAATTCTATATGAATTACATTAGGTTAGCAATTCAACCTGATCAATTGTCCAGACAAGATGTGGCTGAAATTTTGTCTGAAATGTGACTGGTCCAACCTGCAAGACAAAGATACATTCAGCCAAAACTATTGAGTACAATATTGTAAAAATTAGACAAGAGGCTAAAAAGTTGTAAACGTTATTTAGATAATAGATGTTCAACTTAGCAACTGAACTGCCAATTGCCACTGAACGATTTCCGTAGCATTTCCAATAATTTTACTTGCTTCTTTTCAAGAAGCATCACTTCAAGAACACAACAGCAATATTTTAATAACTCCCTGACGACAATAACATCTTATGGCACAGGAATGTCCCCCTTCCCACAATTGATAACTTCAAGATTTGCAGATAAAAATGGAATTAGAAATGAGGAAAAAACTATGCTTACTGTTTGTCCTAGATAGACTTTCTCTATTGCCTCACTGGCAGCACTAGCTTTCAAAATAGCATCACTAGAAGCACTAGATTCAACATCATATCCCGATGCACGCCACCTTGGGAGGCCTCCATCTAACACCCAAATTCTGTCATGCCCAAAGACTCGGAACATCCTTTCAATTATCAATGGAATAAAGTCTTTTAGATTTAGAATCAGAAAAATAATGATCAAGGATTTCAGAAAAGACTGAGACAATATCATATTATCAAACCGGCTACTCACCACCAGACACGTGCTGCACTGAAAATTCCCTTCCCATCATAAACAACCAGTCCATCATTATTCTGGATGCCAAGAGCAGACACAGCAGCTGCAAAAGCTTCCTCAGATGGCAGCATATGTGGCAACTGATAAAAGTAACAATTTTTAAATAGAGAAGTCACTTCAGATAAACAAACTAGTGCAAATATTATACGACGGCTCATTTACCTAGTATATTTTCAATATTAATACATCATGTAACAAACTATCAAGAACATTTGTTTGTATCACATTACTGAGAATATTCAAGGAAGCCATATACAAAGATATAAAGTTGATTCTAGAATTGTGAAAGCACCTTCTTTTACTTTTCTAAGAAAAACAGCAATCTTATGGCATAGGTAAATTTGCCTAATGCTGGCCAAAGAATACCTAGAAAAAGAAATTTTTTCAAATCTTCCTACCACAAAGCACAACTTAACAATAAAAAGAACATTTTAGTAATATGCAGCTGAAGAGAAGATAACTGCTGCTAGTAAAACCCAGAGGGGATAGCAGCAAGATATCAAGAGAAAAAGAACAGTGAGGCAATTGTTGTTAAGCGATCGAGCATTATGTAATTATTTTCCTCTATCTAGGTGGTCTAGCAACCAGAGAACCTGAGAGATCAAGAAGAGAGACTAATCAATTAATGGGAGGCATCTCACCTTTGTAGTTCGATCCACTATTCCATCAACATCAAAGAATAGAGCACCAGGAAGGTGAGCAACCTGCTATGACGAAAGAAATCTAACAGAAATGCATTTGAAATTGAAAATATTGTAATTAAAGGAAAGAAATTGAGGAACCTAAGTAGCATATCTCAGTTTATATTAGATAAGAAATACAATTTTAACATTCAAAAGCATTTAACTGTCTTGAGAGTGTGACACCAAAATAGATTGTAGAAAAGAAAATAATCAGCACCTGATACTCTTGAATTGGATTCCTCTGCTCATTTGGCATGTACCAGGATGCATCCAGTACCTGATAAATAATAAAAATGTGGTTGACAAATAAACAAGCATAAAGTGTTTTTCAATTTTCATAATTCTTCCAAAGACACTGTATGATAATAAACTATTCATAGGCTTTAGGCAAAATTCATAACAATGTTTTCACAACGCTATCTCATTCTCAAAAAACAAATTGCAAAAGTTTTCTTTTCTTTTAGAAACTTCAGGAAAACTGTTCTAAAAGTATCACATATCTCAGAGAGTACCAGTTTTTTGTTTAAACCAATTTTTACCTACTACTTTTTTTATTTTTCTTTTTCCTTTTAATATGGTTGCAAAGATGTCTTGTCAACAAAAAAAAGGGATTTCATTTGTATCCCCAACAACAATTTTATAACAAATAATGCTTACAAGTGTTAATGGTCCATATATAAATGCAAATACCTTCATGTCAGGCTCTCTTAGATTAGCATGAAGCCAATCAACAGAAACGACTGGATCACTGCTGGAAAGAGATTGTGTTGAAAAACTAGTTCTTGTCTCAATTGCTGAGGAAGCCATTAAACGAGAAAGCCGACCAGATGTTTTATATGCTGAATAGGTAGGCTCGGCTTGTAGACGAAACTGTCTCTTCTGCAAGAAATACAAAAATGCAATATAAGACCTGGGCCAGATGACCGTAACAACTACAATAAGATGAATGGTTCAAAGTTAAAATTAACCCTTTCCAAACAATAAGCAGCTCAAAATTTAATGTTAATGTCATCAGCAGAGGTATAAATGACAGAGGGTGAACTTCAAAATATCAAGCAGCTGCATGCCCAAGATAATGAATTATTCAGAGTAGCCAAATTTCACTCATAAACGAAACGAAAAACAGCCATTATAGCACTAGATACTTGTAACGCATAGTTTATGTTCAAGAAACAGACAAAAAATTTTCCAACTACTAACATTTTTATAAGAATCAAGGAAAAAAAAGATAGTAAACGACCATACAAAACATCACACACACCATATACCAAATAAAAAACAAAAGGTAAAGAAGAATTATACACAAACTGAATGATAACAACCAGAAAAACAAAACATAGGGCATAGATAAATTCGTTGTGCCTAACATAGCTGAAACAAACTTAAGTTCCAGTAGGTTTCCAGAACAAAAAGAATTAAAATAAAAATTACAATTTTACTAAATAAAACATAAAATTCTCCATAAAAATAGTCAAAACCCTATACCCTTTGGTTGAAGAAATAAAATCAAAAGAAAAAAAAAATCATAACTCAAAACCATGGTCCAAAAGTGAAAAAAGTTGGTCACATGCAACAAAAGAAAACAGATTAGAACAATCAGGAAACAAAAAGTAAGAAATCCCCAAATAATAACTTAAGCAAAGGAAGAGAGCCTACATTGAAAAGAGAAGAGAAAATCAAGGGTTTGTTAGGGAGAGAGGATGAGAACTGAATCAAGCGGTGACCCAAGAGAGTTCTGGAGAACAGTGATGATGCCATTTATGCACAAAACATATAGAAATAAAGTTTATGAGAAAGACTCTACTTTGTTTGTGTTGTCAGATTCTTAGGAGAAAGAAGCCAAAAAAAGGCCCGACTTTGATATCTATGTATTTTTGCAGCTTCAATGTTTTTGTCGCCGCTGAAAGTACTGGTTGTGGAGGCTGTGGAGAATGTGCTTTAACTTCATTTGGAAATGGGATGGACATAGAAGTGGAGGGCAGGTTCGGGCCGGGTTGTTTACTGGGTTCGAATTCACTTTCGGATCGTTTTGAGTTGGATTCAATTAGAGTTGGATCGTGGGTTGTCCAGCGGCACAGGCATGTTGTTTCAGAAACGGGCTTGTTATTGTCACAGTTTGTATCGAAGTGCCAAGTTGGGTCGAGAATGCTTGCCCATTAGATCAGTACGGCTGGCCAACAACGAATTGACACATAGCACGTGATCACGGCATCCTATCCATTAATTTTCATCAGTTTGACAAAGGATAAAACCAGCAAAGTGTAAGCTCCTTTGATTTTTTTTTTTTTTTTTTTAATTTTCATTTCTGTTTTTATTTTTTAATTTTTTTCCTTCGTATATTTAGTAATTTATTTTATTTTAAAAACAATCTTACGAGTTATATTTGATATTATTGATTAAAAATATTTTTAAAAATAAATAATTTTGTAAGAAAATCATGTCTAAAAATGTTTATATAACATCTAAATTTATTTTTTTAATTTTTGGGTTTTTAAAAAATTATACATTAAATTTGATTTAAAAAAAGATTAATGGAGGTGTAAACGTGACACTCCATTTGGTTTTTTTTTTCTTTTTTTTTTTGTTTTTTAATTAAATAAATTTTATAAAACAATTAATGAAAGTAAAAATAATAAAATGATTTATTTTCAACGGATTTCAATACGTCTTAATTAAATATGAAATTTTTTTAAATCAAAATTTAGTTGAAAACAAGGAGATTTTTCTTTATAAAATCTTAGTTGGGGTAAAGGTATATTTAGAGTGCACCATCCGAGTATGTATAAAAATATTTTTTTATTTTTTATTTAATTTTATATTTATATATATATTTATTATATTAATAAATTTGTTTATCTATCAATACTATTAATTTTGTTCTTGACTTTTAATTGACCATTATTGAAAGTGTCTATGTGACATTTTATGGTTCTTTTTTTTTATTTTTTAAATTAGATATGTTTTGTAAAAAATAAAATTAATAAAAGTGTTCACATGATATTTAAATTTTTTTTTCACTTTTTTTAATTTGATAAATTTTACAATAAAAAAATTAGTGGATATGAATGACAAAATAATTTATATAAATAAATTTCGGTGAGTGTATATATTAATAATTATATATTTTTATTAATTTAAATTTATATATTATATTAATAAAAGTATTTTTTAATTTTTATTTAAAAATTAATATTTAAACTTAATGAAAATATCTAATTGCCATCATTGAGTTCTATTTTTTTCCTTTTCTTTTTGATCTTTTTTATTTTTTTTCAATTTTTTGGGTTTTCTTATTAGATAATTTTTATTAAAAAAATCAATAAATGTTCACATGTCACCTCATTTAATTTTTTTTATATTTTTATATTTTTTAATTAAATAAATTTTATAATAAAATCAATTAATAAAACAAAATTTTTAACTCGCGATATCTCGCGGGCATTTATTTAGTTTAGATTGAATATGGAATACATCAGAATTTTTAAATTTGTCAAGTGTCCATTCTAATCATGAACCCAAAGACAATGATGTGGCATTTGTTTGGCCACATGACACGTTGTGTTTGATACTATATTGGCTTGTCATTAGATATTTTTTCAATGGATCTCTGGAAAAATCGGATTAAGTAATTCAAGTGAAATTTATAATTTTTTTTATTAAAAGTATTAAATAAAAAATAAAATTGATAAATTAAAATATTTTATTAGATAAATTAAATATATAAATTTTTTTAAAAAATAATTAATAAATATTTTTATTAAACATGTTGATAAATTTACATCGTTGAATGAATACGAATTAAAATTTGAATTATAAATAATAATTTTATTAATTTTTTATATTATTAATCTTATCATTAATATTATCAATTTAATAGAAAATAAATTTCAAACTTGGAAGAAACCATAACTTGTCTTTAGTTTTCTCGTCACAAACAAAATCGACCCATGGCTTCAAAAAAATAATAATAATAATAAAAAGTTTTCTCTGAGAGTAAAAGTTTTAAATTATAAAATCTTGATTAAAAAAAAATGGGAAAGGGGAAAATGGGGTGGGTGAATCTAGCTAGAATCATTCTTGCTTTATTCATCAAAAAAAAAATATTTTTTTCTTTTACTTTTCTTGTTTTAATGTAGTGGCCTAGTGCCCCCGTCGTATGGCCTCTCACCAAAGGAAACAAAACAAAATAGCCTTAACGTTCAACAAGGAACATAATCAATTATCAATTGATAATTACTAATCTTCTCTAGGCCATGGCTCTATGGAATATGTCTTTTATTTCCTTGAAAATGATTTGAGTAATGGATTAATCATTGTTTTAAATTTTTTTTATATATAAAAGACGTTATAATTTAAAAATAAATAAAGACATTATATATAAAAAAATTATTAAATATATTGACAGTAAAATTTTTTAATTTCACGAACAAGATTAAGATGATACCTCATATCTTTTATATGTTTTAAAAAATAAATATAAAAAAATAAGATATGTGTTATCATCTTAATTCAGCTTGTGAAGTTAAAAAATTTTACTATCAATATATCAAATAATTTTTTTTACATATATTAGATATTACATCTTAAAAATAAAATATATCAATCAATTAAATTAAACTTGAAATTTCATTATATTTTAATTTATGATAACGTTTGATATCTTTTGAAAAATCACCATAATAATATAATCATAGAGATGATTTTATTATCAAAGTAATCTTATCATTTATTACTTAAAATCACTTTATTTGATCAACAATCATTAATTCGTAAGAAATAAAGATCACTATGTTTTGTTTTATTAAAAATTAAATATTAATTTGTTTAAAAGTATGAAAATAACTATGCATCTTTTAATAATTATACAAATTATTAATTTTAAAGTTATTTAAAGATAATAATTTTATAAAATATTAGCAATATTTTATCTATTTTATAATAAAAATATTATTATTAAATTAATAAATATATTTATTGATAAGTAAGTTAATTTTTATAATATAAATTATATAAAATACTTGAATTAGAAAATAAAACTAATCTATTAAATTTAAAATAAAAGTATTATTATATATAAAATATTAAAAAATACAAATACAAATACAAATTATTTTTTGAATTTATTTCGATAAATATTAATTTGAAAATATAAAAATTTATAATATAAGTAATTACAGTTAAAAAAAAAAACAAATTTTTAATTCACATATTAAATAAGTAATATTGATTATTATTAATGTTACGTATCACTTCACATTAATGATAAAAATTTCTCATATTTTTATATAAAAATTAAATCATTTTTCAAAACAATGATTTGATTACTATTAGTGATATAAGAATAAATTCACATAAAATTATTAAATACATAGCAATTTAATTAATATAAATAAGTTATCATAATTTTTTTAAAAAAATATTTTTATTACATCAAGAGGACAAAGTTCTAGTACAAGTAAAAAGAAAGAGAGAGATTTGATTCGAAATCAGACGCTTGATTTTTTCTTAAACGACTTTAACCATTAAATCAAAAGCTTGAGAACAGTTTTTAAAATTGTAACTTCATACCAAATTCTTTCTAAAGGAATTTGAACTAAACACTAGACAGCCACCCGATGCCTAGCAAAAAAATTCCTATAACAGCTAGCCCATTTCATACGACACACGAATTTTCAAGAGCAAACAAACACATAAACACAACCTAATACCCAGCAAGAACCATCAACCTAGTAGTAGCAGCAAATCTAAAAAAACCCAACCCTAATCATTAGGCACACACAATCAACGATCAAACAGAATTCAATAAGCAGTGAAAATTTTTTGGCAAAAACATAGGCATAGTTTTAAGATTTGGGAAGCAATCGGATCAGCAACAGTAAAGGTATAATCATCGAGTTCGAATCGATATAATACTAAACTCAAGCTCGACTCTAAATTCAATGCTTGAAACTCAGTTCGAATTCGATCGAGTTTTATTTTTTTAATTTAAGCTCGATTTAAGATCGAGATAGAAATCAAGCTACTCAAGCTCATTCAATTAGGATCAACTAACATATAAAAATAAGTTTAATTTTTATATTTAATAAAAGTTCGATTATTTATGCTTGAATTCAAGATATTTTATCAATTAAAATAATTAAAAATATTAAAATATCAAAGTTCAATTAGGCTCGCGAACAACTCGAACCGAATATAAGAATATTCGAACTCGACTTGATCGATAATTCAAGTTACTTGAGCTCGAGCTCGAGCTCGATTCGATAAAATCAAATCAAATTCAAATTTATTTAAATCGAACCAAAATAACTTACAAATACTAATGTATCATTTATACTCTTAAACACAATTTTCAAAGCACAACATAGAAGCAATTGCATTTAAAAATACAATTTCAGCAAAGCACAACAGCAATCAAGAAGATAAGTAGTGGACCCAAACTCAGCAAAGACTCATACATACTCAAAGCACAAGCACACAGCAACCATAGCAAGCAATTCAACAAGAAAAACAGAGAAGAATAACAAAAAGGGCAGTTAGGATTTTGGGTTTCATTGATGTTCTTGGTGTTTTGAGGTTAAGAAATTGAGTGGAAGATTAGGTCATGGAAAAAGATAGAATCAAAGATGGAGGAGTTTGGACTGTTACTCGGGAAGAATCGAAGGGTATATTTTGAGATTTCACTAAAATCTGGTAAATTTTTTACATTGTTACCCTCTTCTGCTAATGGAACTAAATACCAAAGTTATAAGTGGAAAAAAAAAATTCTACGGTGGGTGTAAGTAGGAAAGTCACAAATCATATGAGATGTATGTAGAATTTACTCATAAAATTATACAACAATGATGTAGCAAATAAATATTTATATAGACAAAAAAATACAACTAAAGTAAAATTTTCTATGCATGTCAAATTTGTGAAACTATTTCTAATGAAAATCCTTACAATTAAATTTTTCTTATAAAATAGTTCATAGATGAGGATGAATAAAAAAATTATAGATGCTAAAATTTAAAATTTAAACTTATTGAATATTATTTTTTAAGAATGATTATTTAAACCAATTAAATTAAATTTCGAGTTTAACTTATGATTAAGAGTTAATTTAGCTTGCTGCTGCGGCTAAGTGTTTGATATTAGTGAAAAAATATTGTGACTAATTGTAATGTTTAAAAAAATATGTATAAAATAATAAAATATTAAAAATATGGGAATAATATAATAATTTTTATTTTAAACATATTTTTTTATCTCAAAAGTATGCTTTTTTATTTGAGTTGAAAAATCAAGAAATTAAAAAACCAAATTTTTTTTTATTGTTTAATATTGTGTTTGAATCAAAAGTAACTTTTAGATGTAAAACCTACCCTAAACAGCAATACGAAACAAGACCTAAAATTTAATCTAATTCTAAGTACACATGAGAGGTCCCATTAGACAAAAATTCTATGCATAAAATTCTTACTTTATTTTAAAAAATCTGAAATTGTGTTATTGTAAATGTCGAGGCTAGAGTTCCTTCCCTCTATTGAAAGGGGTCTGCTTCCGAGGCAAAAGTACACCAACAGTAGCAAAAAAAGAGATGATGGCAAGCTCATGGATTGGTGTGTTTATTTTTGTGCTCGTGGTGGTAGAGGGTGTTTTTGAGGTTCCTGCCGCAAGTGGAGGCATGACTCCTATCCAGTGCAAAGAGGAGCAGCGCCTGCTCGTGAATGCTTGCAGTGCCGTCATGTTCGGCCACACCCCCCTCATCCGACTGCTGCACACGTGTCAGGGTCACCCATGTCGAGTGCGTATGCCCTGCCGTGACCCATAAGTTGATGACCCTCATCGGAGTTGAACGCACCATTAAGCAGATTGAAGGTTGTGGAAGAACCGTTCCTCGCAACTACAAGTGTGGAAGTAAGATTGAGCATGATCAAGCATACATCTGCTGGTTTCTTTAATTGCATAAATAGAAATCATAGTAGACCTTTCCTATCACATTTGTAATAAATCTGACAAATCAAGAAGTGATAAGCAATAAAAAATCACCAAATATATATATGCTATAAATATCCAATAAAACATTGAATCTCTTTAATCTGTCCTTGTGCGGTACATGCATGCATGCCTGGAAGAACGGTTTTAGCTTTGTATTCAAATCCAATATGATCTGCTTCTGCTCTTATGTGACTATGAACTTACCAAGTAATTAAAAGTATGCTTTAGTATGGTTGTGATTAAAATCTCTCTTTCTATCCAAGTTTTCGTCACAAAAATGGGTTGTCATGACATAATTAACTAATCATGTCAAAGTTTTTCACATAAACACGAAATATTTATCACACAGAGTATAAGACATAATCCGATTAACACATTTAAGTATAATTAACATGTTTAAGTATGACACAATTAAACATGTAACTATGATTAACCAATTTAAACATAATTAAAAGTTATTTTACTTATTCTATTAAATATTAAAAATTCAATAAATGACTTTAAACACGTTAAATATGTTTAATAAAGTAGATTAACTTGTTAATACGATTAATTAATCATGAATAAGCAAGTCATTTATGGGTTAAACAAGTCAACAAGCATAACATACAAATATTTCCGCAACATAAATGATCATGACAAAAAGTCTTAACAAAAGAATTTTAAAAAGAAGTTAGAGAAGGAACAAGAAAAGTTTCAGGAATAATTTTTTGGTCAAGGAAAGAAAAAAGAAAGATATTTGATAAAAGGGACAATCAGACTGCCAGAATGAAGAAACAATAGTCTTTGGCACTGGGAAGCAAAAGTGAGACGCCAAAACAGTGGAATTACACCTGGGGATGCAGTCAAACATGAGAACTTGAAGTAAACAAGCAAGTCATTCCACTTGACTTAGAATAACAAATTACCTAGATAAAAGAATTAATGCATTGAATTTCTACAAGAATTTCCACAATCGAGTAATTGAACAAGAAATTACTAGATATGATAATTTTAGATATTATATGATGACATGAAAATGAAATGAAAAAAAATATAAAATGAGACAATTTAAAATTAATAAAAACCATTTATATGTTTGGTAAAAATAAAAAAAGATGTTTCATATTTAGAATATCGGCATAAATTGTGATAATAGTAATTTTTGTGTTTTACACATGTTGGTATAAAACAAACATGACAAGAATACACATCAACCAAAAAACTGAGACAAACAATCCTAGCTAAAGTTTTTCTTCTCATTGAATCTGCAAAGCAGTCAACGGAAAAACCAGCTTATGTTAAAATAATATGTCAGGTTACAACATACAGTAACATGCTGAAACACCCAAACTTTTCACTTGTTAGACAAGAAGGAAATTTACCTTATCACGGGTTTATGCTTCCTCAAGTCCCAAACAACTAGAAAAATATAAACATATAGTTAAACTTAAATGACAAGATAAAATAGTCTCGACTCCATTAATGTTCTCACAGTTGTTCTATTCTAAGAAGTGGATGCTTATAAGTATTGGTTGAGCCTTGCTGTTTCAAGAAGAAAAGAGATTTCACCTTGAGTAGCGGAATCACCACCCTGTATGACGAATGCTACAACTACATTAGATGCCTTAATATATACATGTAAAGAAACCAACAGCATGATTTAACTTATAATAAAATAGTAGTCAATGTATTATACCTAAATTTTAACTTAAAATAATAGTAGTCAATGTATTATAACTAAAATTTATCTGAACACACATGATAAGAGATGATTACAACATGCACTGGTCATGAACCATTGTATAATGGTGAGACAGAGAGCAGAGAGCAGGCTGCAAATTGTTGTTGCTAAATGTAGATTTCACCATCATAAACCACAAATTCTAGTATGTTTGGAGCTATGGCATTGAACTCGAGACCACCGAACCGAGAAAGATGGGTAAAGGAAATAGGTAAATGTACCATGCAATCATCAAAAGCCTGAGAACAGATTATCACGTCTGTTAAAAGGAAAAAGTTATATTACAGAAAAAAGGAAAGTCACTTGCCTCAGAACTGAACAAAAGGTTAAACAAATCAAATCAGTGCTACATGATGCAAAGCACAAATTTTTACCACTTTAACCAGATATAATAAGATACATGTGCATATTAGCAGTATGCGTATAAGCACAAATTGTCACCTTTTCACGTATAGTCTCAAGCGTGACATGCCAATGAGTGCAACCACATATTTATACATCTTGGCACCTTTTGAAACCTCTGTTTTCTTTATATATACCATCTCCTCATTAAACGAAGTCCTTGGAATCAACGTGGGAGGCAAGATGAGCACAGCAATCAAATCATTTCTGCTAACACCCATTTCTTCATACAATGCAATGACTGGTCTGATACTATTGTGGAAATCATACGTCAAGAGGGAAGGGAAGCATTTCTCGTGAACCGAACAGGGTCGTGAGAAAATCATCCCGCTCATCAAAGTAATTATTGATACGAGAACAAAAGAAACGAGGCCGGCAATTGATTATCTTAACGATGTCGGAAGTGGTGAGTCCCAAGCTACTCAGCAACTTGAGTTTGGATAAAAGGGGAGTTACTTGAGCATGGCGCAAAGAAGGCTGGCATGAAAAAATCTTCAACAAATCATTTTCGCTGCAACCCCATTTCTTGAAAAGTTCAATAGAGTCTCTCAGATACTCTAGAGCTTCTTCCGTCAGGCTTTCAGCTTGGTTTTAGCATATTGTAGAATAGGTGGCGGTAATTCGAAAAGCAGCGCTTGAAGCCGTTAACTGGCGGTTCGAGGCGGATACAAGAACCCGGATTTTGAGTAATAGAAGAGATTTAGGGAACATGTGAGAACTCTTCTTTTTGCAATTTTAGCGAAGCAAATTTGTCAGAAAGAGGAGGAGGCCGGAGTTGGAAGAGGGAGAACAAAGAAGCGAAAGCCCAAAGGATAATGTTACAAACTACGTAATTATTTCGCGCAAATTGCTCATGCACGTATTAATTTTCCCTCAAGTTTTACTCTTCTTCAATTTAATCCTTATTTCTATTGAACTATTCTTATCTCCAATGGCAAACAATATATGCAAATTAAATTTTAACTGTAATTAAGACTAGAAAATAATATATAAAACAGCATAATTATTAAATCTGGATTGATCCGATCAATCGACCTTGGATCAATTTTATATTTAAACCGTTTTTGCAATTTGATTTGTCATATTTACAAAACAACTCGTGGTTTATTGAGTTTATTATTGACCTGAATTACTTAAATATATATTTGTAAAATAATTTAAAAATTATATCTAACTTAAGTTTTGTGTACTAATTATTTATTTTTTCATCTTTTTTCATTAAAAATTATTTTTTCTTAAAAAATAAAAATACATTTTCAAAAACTAGAAAGTAAAAAAATAATCTTTGAACGCTTAGGGTTTTTTTTTTTTAATTTTTAAATGATAATAAAAATTTTGATACATATATCATAATATTTAGTTTACAAAATTAAGAAAAATATTTATATAATCTATATCATATTTTTATTAAGAAAAATAATTTAAAATATTTAAACCATCCCTCGCACAAATCTCTCTACTGTCTTATTTGAAACCTATTATTATAGAATAATAATTTAGGACAATCCTTGTCAAATTTAACATATGCTCAAATAATTACAACTGCCATTGCAATTTCTATCTTTCATCAGTAGGCTTGAATTACAATTCACCAATCACAATTACAATCACATCAAAAGTTGAGGGAGCTGTTATTAGTTATTACACTTATGTAGAACTGGCAATGGCATGAAAGACAAATCTTTGTTTAGAAACGAGGAAAGCTATAATAAATGATGAATGTCACGGATATTTCAAAAAAAAATTTATACATGTAATGTTTTTTTCAATCAAGTATGTATAAGAGTAGAAGATTTAAGGAATAATTAGAAATTAAAAAAAAAATAATAATAATCTCATGTGAGTTGGATCCTGGTCCAAGGATTAATGCTAGCAGCATGCTTAACACATTTAAGACTTAATTTCCTTAAAGGAAATGAAAATGTGATTTATGCAATCTGCGTTGTGTAGAATAACTTCACAAAAGGGGGGTTCTCTTTCCAATTTTCTTTTTCATTTATAAAGGTAATGTCGAATATCTTGCAAGGATGAAAATTTAGGCAAGCCATGCTGAACCCACCATATTAATGGGAACCAAGTGCATGGAGAAAAGAATAACATGAAAAGCAGGCAGTCTCATTTTTTCTTAAATTTCTTCGAAGACTTGCCTTTGATGCCTAGGTATCTCCCTATGTCCTCGTTGTCTTCTTCTCCACCCTTCCTCTTCTTTGTGCCTCCAATTTCTTTAAGTTTCTGCAAATGTTCAAATTTTATTGATTAGAAAAATTTGTTATCCAAGAAAGTAGTTAAAAAAAAATGCTTTATATAAATAGAAACACAGAGCAAAAGGGTGACTCCACCATAAAGGGGCACATTCTACATAGGATTTAAATAGCAACTCTGAGGGTAAAGTGAAAGAAGCATGAAAGACTATATATCTTGAGCTAAATATCAAACCCTAGAAACATATAATATAAGCACAAGACCAAATTTATATAGCTATTACTTCTACAAACCAAATGGTTAGACCAGTAAAAACCAGATGACAAAACAGAAACAAGAAAATAGTGCTTTCAATCCAGCTTGTGATAAGATAAAAATATAGATAAAGCTAAAAGGAACTTGGATTACCATCTGCGATAGTCTTTTTGCTTCAGTGACACTTTCCAACAGTAGCAAGACTTCCTCTTCTTGAGCAGGATACTCGGGTAACTTTTTGCCTGGAATACATAAAACAAAAAAGTTTAGTCCGCTGGACAAGCTACTCAACCGACATCCTAGCAACAAATTTAGCTACTGCAACATACCAATAAGCTTTTCTATCTGCAGGTACCACTCCAGCTCATACTGATTCACTAGTGAGATTGCAACACCAGATCGTCCTGCACGAGCTGTTCTACCTACTCGATGGATGTAATCCTGTTCCCACGTGAAATTAGCAAAATGAAGAAAAAAGGGCAGCAAAAGAACTAGCAGAAAACTTTTATTCACTCTATCCTTTTAAAAATCCAGACCATTTCATAGAATAACAGAATGCATAGTTTTTTTCAAGGTCTGACATATGCTGCAACAAGTTAAACAAAAAAGAGATAGTGCAAGCGTAACCTTAGAGTTTGTAGGGATGTCATAATTAATAACCATATCCACAGATGGAATGTCGAGTCCTCTACTAGCCACATCAGTGCAGACAAGAACATTACACTCTCCAGACTTAAACTTATTCAAGGCTCCAAGCCTCTTTGACTGTCAAATACATTACATCAACAAAGTGAGGGCAAATAATAATAAAAAGGAAACAAAGGGAAAAGTTCATGGTGTGGGTTTGGTTTGCCCACTGGGGGGGGGGGGGGACTCTGCATTTGTAGAGAAAAAGCATAAATCAGTACATCACCAAAATAAATTTCATGTACCTGAGTCATTTGACCACTAATGGGAATGGCCCTTATATTAAGATTCCGAAGAATAAAGGACAAAAGGCGAGTTGCATCACATGTTCGAGTGAAAACCATAGATGTACATCCAGACATCTCAGTCAAAATATAAACAAGATAGCAATCCTGCAATTAGAGCAAAATAAAATATATAAATAAAGACATCGCACAAGATATAGAAGTGTAAACAGCACCATATAATAAATGAAGAGAAAGAAAACAAAACAAAAGGCACGAGCAGACAGAACTCAGATCTAATCTCTAAAATATTAAAGCCCCAAATTCTGCATGCCCCCCCCCCCACCAATCTTGTTGATGGATATTTCCCTGTTTCTCTCTTTTCTCTGTCTCAATCTCATCATTCTTTCCAGATTCTGCTTCATTCTTCTGTGACTCTTGGCCATCGCAGTATTCCAAAAATAGAATCTCTTTCTGTCTTTGTTTTTCATTTTCCCTAATTGACAATAAATTGTATGTGTTTGTTGTATGGGTGAATGCAATTGCAAAGAGGCGAGGAAAGAAAACAAGAAAGATCTTAGTAGGACAACAATTCGAGCCAATTTCTAGCTTTTTGTTGCCTATCAGAATCTGGTTAAACTGAAAGACCCTGTACCATCTGTGTCATCCGTGTCATGCCATGATTACACAGTACTTCACCAAACATTCCAAAACTGAGCAAAATATATGTTGACTATTAAAAATGAATGGTCCAAGCACGATATTAGACTACTCCTATAGCCAAAAATTCCATGACCAACCCTTTGAAACTTTCTGATTACTCAAGGGTATATAAAGTAGCTGGCTGAAATATTAGTTTTCTATAGTACTGCTGCTTGCTAGAATTTATATCATCCACCGGAAACTTCATCCTACTTTGTCAGAAGCTTGCTAGCTTCCAACCTGTGCCAGAAAATACATCCTAGCTTTAACAAATAGATCCTAACTATGCTCTATATACCTCCATAAGGCCCTTCTTGAATAATACAAGTCCATTTTGCTTTTCATTTTTAAAACTATCAAAATAGGCTCCGGCAAGAAAAAACCGTATGAATCGCAAGTGCTTATCATCTAATTATAGAAGGTGAAGAGATGACTTAAGAAATAAACTGAATTTAGAAACCATATTTATTCCCACATCATATTATGTATGTGTGCGTGCGTGCGTGTGTGTGTGTGTGTGTGTGTGTGTGTGTATAGAGTCGTCACCACCAGCAGAAGAGAAGAGAGTGTGAGAGTTTAGACAAGCTCAGGCTGAGTCAGCCTACTCCTGCCAAGCCTTGACAAATCAGCATGCTAATGGATTTGGTCCTGAATAGCCAGCTATAACAGCACTCAGTGTGAGTGGCTGTGCAACACAACTTTGTTGCATAGCCTGTGATCCCCATGTAGTGCGTGGACAAAACTCTCTCAAACCATCTAGAAGGCTTACCTTGTAGTCCACACAACAAAAGGATCTAGAAAGCCCAGGTGTGGGCAATATAGCACTCTTGTTTGAGAAGGTTCTTGGATAGAGTTTAGAAGTGTTAGCCTAACAGCACTCACGTGTAAAATCTTGTATAGCACTAAGAAGTTTCCAAACACTGCAGACTCTAGAAGGTTTGCAGAAGATCTAAGAAAGGCTCTACTCTGGGTTATTCTAGAACCTTGTATTACTCAACCACTTGACTTACCCTGGCCCCATATTTAAGGGGCCTCTAAGAGTCCTCTCTTTACATTGGTAAAACAACTAGTTCAATAATATACACTTCCAAGTAATCAACACTCGCTTGATTGTATTTTGCTCTATCAATCCTCTAGTTTGAGTGCAAACATCATTTAATGGTGTTGGCCTAATAGAACCTACTTGAAAATATCTTCTATGGTACTAGGAACTTTTTAGACACCCCAGGCCCTAGAAGATCTCTACAAGACGCTTAGGAAGTCTCTAGTGCTAGAATGTGTGTTTTAGAACCTTCCCGCATAACGTTGCTACCACGCCCTCATCTTTTAGATCATTTTGTTGACCAGACTGCAAGGTAGGCCTTCTAAGGTTTTAGAGAGTTTTGTCAATGCACCACCTTGGAGTCACAGGCTGTGTGGCAGGTTTTGCTATCCTAGCACCTACAATCCAAATAGTAGAAGAATCTAGAAGGCTCTGGGCACAGGTATAATATCACCCTTATGCAGGCATTGTTGCACCCAATGCAATAACTGCAGGCAAGCTTAAGTTGCCAATACAAACTTATGCTAAATACCACACCCAAGTATTATGCCTAAGTCACCCGTTGTTAACCACACGCTAGACATCCAATCAAAACTATAGCGTGTTGGAACACATACTAGATGACTGAAAAAAGGTAAGCAGTGTGAATGCTTGTAAGTGTATATTTGCTAAACTAGTTGTTGTAAAAATGAAGGGGATCACATTATATGAGAGGGTCCTTTACACTGTATGACCAGGGCTATGTCAAGTGGCTGAGTATTATGAGGATCCTAAAGCACTCAAATCCTAAATTCATCCTAAAGGTCTTCTGTAGACCTTCTAGAGAATGGGATGTCTAGAGACTTCCTAATATCGTACAAGATATTGATAGTGTGTGTTATCAAACAGCACCTCCAAACTCCATTCTAGAACCTTCCTGCACAAGGTGCTATCGTACCCACTCCTAGGGCCTTCTAAATCTTTTTGCTACCTGGACAGCAGGATGGGTATTCTAGAAGGTTCCAGAGAATTTTGATTGCAAACTGCCCTAAGGTCACAACATGTGCTGTATGGGCCTATGGCACATGCATTACCATTCATTAAGCCAAATACTCGAGAATATAATTTTCATAAAATTACTCTAACAAACTCAATGCCATTCACAAGACTAGACTTAGAGTCCATCTAGTTTGGCAAGGACCAAAAAGTTTTGCTCAATCCTTTTCAGTAACTTGATCTCTCTCAAAAATAGATAGATGACAATCATCAAAGCCCAATGATTTATATGACATTTACATCTTTGAAAGAAATTTAATGCGGAGAAAATTAGGAACCTTGTACTTTGCAGGTATAAAGCGATACTGCTGCTTCAGTGTGTCAACGGTGGAATATTTAGATGCTGCTTCAATCTGAAAAAGTAATGAACATGCCAAAAGCTTTTAAAACATTAAAAGTAAAAATTGGTGAATGCTGAAAATTTTTGCATAAATATTATCATCAAACCTTCACAGGATTTCTCAGACATGCCCTTTGTAGCTTCTTCACCTGCAACATCAACAAATATTGTGGTCAAGCTTTCAGCAAGTAAAGCCATCTTTTATGTAAAATCAGGTCAAATTGTGAAAATACTGTGCAATAAACACACTTCTTTCTTATGTGTGCTCTAAACATGATTCATTGCTTCAATTTTTTTATTTCTCCAATTCTCCTCATAAAAAATAAATCATCTTATATAGTTGGACCAATCCAAATAAGTTTGATTAATATGGCACTGATGCTTCATGTTAGATTTTTGCATTAATACCAGTATATACAGTCTCAAACTTTAGATAAAGGATTCCACTTGTCTTTAGCACCAGCTTTGCCTCAATAAATTTTCTATCTGACACTATGGAATGAATGCTTTACTTTCTGAAAGTGAGAATCCCTTTTGGGTCAGTATATTGCTTATTCAAAAGGTTACTCAAAGAAGGATTGCAAACTAGCTAGAATGTTGGCATGTTATTTATAAGTATTGTACATCTAACAGAGGTAATGTTTCTCCTGTAGATTATTCACAAGTAGGATAGAAGTAACTAGAGGCTACAGAGCATTGTTTATGTGTAGCATGGCACATTATTCACATATGAATATCATAAAATCTAACAGAATTAATCATAAGCTCTCAAATATGCATGCTCATTATACGCCTAGCTCCTTACCAAAGCCCAAGATGGTATCACAACATCAAGTTTTAATTTTGTCTGACCTCTTGTAGAAATTTTAAAAAGAAAAAAATTCAAACTAACAGAAAAGATATTAACTAACAGCAACCAACAACACCAAACTAAGCCTTTTTACATGGGTTTTTAGCTATATAGATCATATTGCACAAATGTGCTCTATTCAAGATCGTGTTGTTAGTAAGCATGACAAAGAGATGTCTTTTTTACTTTTTTTCGTTGTAGTTTTCAACCATAACCACAATGGTAACTAATAAAGTGAAATGGAAAATGGCATATGAAGGAAATGTTTCTTATTGAATACATATAATTTTTTTTTTTTTTAACTTTCAAGACATACCTTTTTGGTCATGGTTGCAGAAAACAAATATGTGTGCCTATCACGAGGAATAACATTCAAAATATCATCAAGTGCTTTCTCAAAATCCTCATTCAGCAACCTATCAGCCTCATCTAAGACCTGCCAAATACATGCGCATTGTTTCAGCAGTACAAACAGTCAATTATAAATTTAAGTAAGGAAATAGGTATTTTATAAATCCTATCCAGGTCAATTATATGAAACTATATCAAGCAACAACTCTAACATGGCTACATTGACTCTGTTTTAAAGTGCCATGTGAGGCAATGGCATTCATATAATGAAGGTGAAACCGACCAAAGTAGAATTTAGCAGTTCAACAATGGAAAAGTAATCTAACAGATGGTGTAACCAGCGAAAACACTCATACCAAGGCAAAAGGGAGTTTGAAAAAAAAATTGAGGAAAAAGGAGAAAAAGCTTTTACCAAATATTTCAGCATGCGGAGGGAAAAACCTTTAGTATTAGTCAGGTGATCCACAAGGCGTCCAGGCGTCCCAACCTACAGGGTAAAGATTAAAATTCAGGTATCATACAAAAAATAAGAGATTCAGATGTATTCCTTGTTCTAAGACACTTATTTCATTAATTTTCTATGTCCATCCTAAAATTGTAGCTACTTAGAACAACAGGATAATGATATTTTTCTCTTGGGGTTTTCCTTTTAAGGAGGGTTATTACCATTAAGGGAATATCTTTTAAATCCTAAGTAAAGTTTTTCCATCAAAGTGAACACCAAAACACATAATATCATCTAAATAAAGTCACAGGCATACCAACACAGAAGCTCCATAGCCCTGATCCTAACAATTTGCAGGGAAATCGTAAAAGAAAACTGAAGGCCCTTGGTTGCCTAGATGAAACAAGTATCATAAAAGAAAGGGACTCATATAGGAGTCAAACAGTAGACCAAGATTAAAGAAAAGGACTATAATGACCATAGATCAAGCATATGTATAGTGGAAACCACTTACTATAATCTTTGTCACTAGACTCACTACATCATAGAACATAAAAAACTTAGAAAAGGCATCAACAAACTTAACATATAGACTAGCAATCAATTTTTGTCTATCCTTCTGTTAAATGCAGTTTTATAATTACAACAAAGTCTTCTCTCACAGGTCTACTTAGCCTGGATCCTTTAGGCTCAAATTTGCTTCATTGCACAATGACTTTTAGATAAGAATGGAGGGAGAACAGACGAACTTACAATGATGTGTGGCCGCTTTCCAATGGCAATTTGTTGTTGCATTAGGTCCACCCCTCCAACAAGCTTTCAAAATTAAAGAACCAAAATTTAAGCAACCAAAATAATGAAACTACAAAGCAAAATTTTCAGAGTCAGCAAATAGCATATCACTCATACCAAACAAGTCTTTCAGACAAAATCTTCAACAAGCAAAGCGTAAATTAAGAACCAGTCAAAAGTGAAAATCTCAATCATATTAAACAGCTGACAAAAACCATTTTAAAGTAACTAACTAGCTAAATATTTTGATTGGAAGCTTACCACAGCACATTTTAGGCTAATCCCAGATCCTAAGGCTTCAAATTGTTCTGCAATTTGAATTGCAAGCTCCCTGCAGCAACAAACTATCAACTAAACTAAAAAATATTCAACAACAAGAATATTTCCTTTATAAAAAGAAATTAAATAACTTTTTAGATATCAGACCGTGTTGGGGAAAGCACCAAAGCAAAAAATGCAGGAGCGGATTTGTATCCTTGTTTCGAATGGCACTCTAAAAGAGCGTGCAGTATAGGAAGAGCAAATGCCCCTGTTTTACCCGAACCCGTTTGGGCAAGTCCAATCAAATCCTTCCCTACAAAATAAAAATCCATAAAAAAAAAATTTTAGAAAAACAATAATATTTCAATTAAACATAGTTTCTTAAAACAACTTAAAAGAAAAGGAAAAGCGGCGATTTTAAGAAGTGAACCTTCGACAGCGTGGGGAATGGCTTCGACTTGGATTTTGGTAGGGGCTTTCCAACCTAAACCATCGCAGGCTTCCACTAATTCGTCGCATAAACCTAAATCTTTAAACGAGTTGATTTCTTCCTTCACTTCTTCACCCATCTTTGTTGAGGTTTGAAGAAGCTTTTACTTGACGGCCCGTGTAGGAAAGAGAGTTAAGCGGTGGAGCGTGGTTAAAACGGCTAGGGTTTTTCTGTTTGGCCGTTATGAACTTGTGAGACACAGAAACAAAGGGTCTTGCTCCATCTTGCCGCCAAAGGTGTACTAAATACTCTCAAACAAAACGCTGCGTTTTAATGATGTTCCTTTTTATTTTTTATTTTATTTTGAATAAGTTTGTTTTTCTTTTTATTTCTTTTTTTTTTTTAGAATGAAAAAGGAGAAATAAATATTATCATTATTATCCCATGAACTCGAGCCTATAAAATCATTGTTAGTGGAAAAATACAAGAAAATTAAATTCTTTTTATGATTATATAAAAATCAACCTTAATTCTCAATTAATATTTCAAAAAATTTCTCTAATTAATTGTTCAAAGGGAAAAAGAAAAAAAAAAGTGATATTGAATCATTAATATTTAAAACCTAGTAAAATTGTGAAATTAGACACACATACACTAATATTTTTAAAAAATAATAATAATCTATAACAACTATGACATTATATGAAAGTAGTCTTTGGATTGTAAAAGTGTTTGTAATATGTAAAAATATATATAAATAGTTTTAAAATTAAACGTATTCAAACAAAATAAAATTTCTAATAGTAATTGCGGCAACCTTTCTCTTATTCCCAAGCTGTGATCTAATTTGTAAAGAAAAAAAAGTTAAGGATGTAGCAAGAGGATGTATTCTATAAAGAAGCAGCACATTTACTTGCTATTCCTGTTATAAGATCCTGCTTAGAGCTCAAAAATAGCTATTCTTACCACTCACCAGTAATCAGAACAAGAACATTGGCCACCACTAAAATGGTGGAACCGGTAAGGATCCCTCAATAAAATTTTTCGGCTGATAATTCCGCTGACAAACTTGTAAAAAGAATGGCAATCACCACAAACACGAAGGTTCTTGAACACTCTAATGGTTGAACCATCTGGAGTATTTAATAATCCAAATGCAAGGGCTAGTCTCTCACTGTGGTTCCAAAGATTATGCTCTTTTTGTTCTTCATCTGTATCTTGCAATGCATAGCTGGTATCAGGAACATAACCTGCTTCTTTAATCATCTTCTTAAGCTCTCCCAACTTTGCATATATTTCATTGGCCTGAGGATGTGTTTGATCCCCCATTCCAAACAATCCCACCTGGTTCTTCAACTTCACCCAACTGCATGCAGGTTTCTTCTTTATGTTGTATGACCCCATTTGTCTCCTTACATCCTCTACATCATCCCATTTCCCAGTAGTTGCACAAATATTAGAATATAGAACATAAGCCGAGTCATCTGATGGGTCCAACTCAAAAAGATGTTCTGCAGCTTTCTTCGCAAGCTCCAAATTGCCATGGATTTTACATGAACCCAACAAGCTCCGCCAGAAAAGATCATCTGGCGGGACAGGCATTTCGTTGATAAAAGTTTCAGCCTCAACAAGCCTTCCTGATCGTCCAAGAAGATCAATTATACATACACAATGCTCTTTTCCTGGTGGGACATTAAACTCTTTGCTCATTTTAGTATAATATGTAAGACCCTCATCCACCAGGCCCCCATGATTGCAAGCAGAAAGAAGAGAGACAAAGGTTACATGGTCAGGCTTCTGCCCCATTTCCAGCATTTCATTGAAAGTTTCTCTTGCCTTTTGGAAATGCCCATGTCTGGCAAAAGCTGATATTAATATGTTCCATGTTAATCGAGATCTATTGAATGGTTGGGGAAGTATTCTTAATACATCGTCCATTTCCCCACATTTTCCATACATATCCATTGCAGCATTAGTAACAAAATCATCTGAGTCAAATCCAAGTTTAACTGCAAGACAGTGGAGTTGTTGGCCTTCCTCCAAGGCAGCCAACTTAGCGGTAGCAGCAAGACCTTCAGAGAAGCTGAATTGATCTATATCTATACCAGCACTTCTCATCTTCACAATAACTTTTAAGACCTCTTCCTCAAGATGATGATAAGCATTTGCTGCAATAATTGCATTCCATGAGACAGAGTTCTTATGAGGCAATCCATCAAAGATATAGTTACTTGATTGGAGATCACCACACTTGGCATACATTGTGATAAGGGAATTCTGCACATATTTGTTTGATTCAAATCCTGTTGAAACAATATGTGAATGGATGGGCCTCCCGTATTTCAGTAAATCATTAGGGGTCATGCAAGCACCTAGAACATTTGATATTGTAATGTAGTCTGTTTTTATACCTTCTTCTCTCATAAACTGAAAGGCTTTTACTGCCTCATCTGGTTCTTCATTTTCTGCATGGCCACCGATGAGGGCATTCCAAGTGACTTTGTTTCGCTTGGGCATCATCTGGAAAACCTTTTTTGCTTCAACCATCAAACCAGACTTTGCATACATAGTCACTGATGCATTTCCAACAACCACGTTCTCATGCATACCTGACAGAATTACAAGAGCATGCACTATCTTCCCTTCATCAATAAACTCAGAGTTAGAGCAAGCTGCCAATGCACTCGTAAAAGTCACATAGCTAATTGCCTTTTTCATTTGAAGCATTTTGATCAATAATTTTAAGGCATCTAGGCTCCTCCCGTCTCTAACATAGCAGGTCATCATGGAATTCCAAGAAATTAAATCCGTCTCCAACATTTCTTTAAAGACAAATTCTGCATCATCCAACCTTCCAGCTTCATAATACATACCTAAAAGTGAATTGCATATACAAACGTTTGAATCCAGTCCCAACCTAAAGACTAGACCATGCATTCCTTGTCCCCATTTTAAATTATCTACGGAACTGCAGGCAGAAAGCAAAGTTGCAAGAGTAGTAGAATTTATTTTCTTATGAACATGACGCATCAGATGAAAAAATCTCATTGACTCCCCACAAAGTCCATTCTGAACATGTGCAGAAATTATTGAGTTCCAAGAGATCGTGTCACATTCATTCATGCAACTAAAAACATAACAGGCCTCTTTTAGTCTCCCTAAACTACCAAACATAGATATGAGAGAATTAGCAACAGAAACTTTATTTTCAAAACCAGACTTTACAACATGACCAAGAACTTTATGACCCAATAATTCATCTTCAAGCAACGTACAAGCAGTTATCACGGTAGCAAATGTGTTCTCATTACAACTAACCTCTTCTTTCATCATTTCCCGATATAAATATATAACATTCTCCAAATCTCCACTATCTAAATATCCAAACATCAATGAAGTCCAGGAGACTACATTCCTCTCGGGCATCTCCTCGAAGAGCCTTTGCTCATCAAAAACTCTCTTGTAAGCTCCATAAAAATGCAGCAAACAAGTTCCCACAAACACATCACATAACAAACCAACTTTAACAACAAAACCATGAACTTGAATCCCTTCACTAAACATACAACCCGACCTATCACAAGCAGTTATCAAGCTTGAAACAAGAAACCCCGAAGGCCTGACACCAAAACTCTGCATTTCACGAAACAAAAACATCACGTCCCCATATAAACCAACTCGAACAAGCCCCGACATCATAGTGTTCCAAGAAGCATCATTTCTAACAGACAAATTATCGAACAGGTAACGAGCGTAATCAACAAGGCCAAACTTTGAGTACATATTAATCAATGTATTTGTAAGAAACACGCTTAAAGGGACTAAACCTTTGATGCAAAGCGCATGTAAGGCTTTGCCAGTGGTTTCTTGGGTGATTTGAGAGAAACCCTTTTGATAAAAGCAAGAGATTTCGGGGTTAGGGTGGTTTGAGAGGGCAATGGTGGCATGACTTCCGGGTTTTTCTTCTTCTTTTTCTGGCCATTGGATTGAGGAGATGACGTGAAGTTTGAAGTGGGTTCGCGAAGGAAGGTTGTAGAGAGCAGTGGGGAGTACTGGAAGTTTGGCTTTGAGAAGGTTTCTGCAACAAATAGCCAGCTCTGGTTATTGGTTTTGTTATGCTTTTGTTCCGAAGAAAGTGGCTAGAAACAACGCCCAAATTCCCTGGTTTGAACTTGGAGGCAAAGGCTTGAACTTCATTTCTTCGTTTGTTGAAATTTTAGTAGGGTTACCTTCTCCTTTCTTTTTTTTTCCTCTTTAGGAGCTTTTTTCAATGTGGAACAGAAATTACTTCATTATTTTAGTTTGGTTAATGTGAAAATATTCCCTAGATTATATTATTTTTCACCATTTAATATTTTAATTTTGATTTCATCAAGTATTATATATTAACCCTTTTAGTTTTGGTAAAAATAAACTTCAAATTATTTTTTGTGACAAAAGCTTTACAAAGATAATATTAGAGGTGTGACAAAAGCTGTTTTAGTCATCACTCTTGCTTTCCAAAACATATACTAAAAGCAAAGCCAGAAGATTGATAAATGAGCTAAGCAATGCAGGTTATATAACGTCTTTGCCATAGCTTTCCTAGTAATATCCATGGAAGAACTACGAGCGAAAGATCAGAAATATTTCTACTGATGAAACCATACAAGTGCACAATGTAAAAACTAAAAAATTCATCCCATAATAGACTGCAGACCAGCGTGTACAAAAGGGAAGCAGTAAAAATAAACGAAAACAAGTAGGGATCAAGCTGCTGAAGGATTCTCTCTTCCCTCCCTACTGTTTGATTTTCCAGTTATGCGCAGTCCGTGGCCCAGTTGCAATGCCTTCATAGTACTGAGATCCGAGCTTCTGGTTATTCCAGTCTTTAACAAAGTCTGAGAATAATTCCCGAGCAGACTCAGACGAAAGATTGGAGAAAAACACATGTTTCTCTTCTTTCAGCCAGGTAGCGAATTCATTGTTCTTAGAAAAATAGTCATCATTGGATAATTCTAGGAACCCATGTTTCTGCAGGAATGAAGACAACAGCATGAGCAAATTATAAGCATAAACCCTGTGTTTACTCCCACCCAAACCGCCAGCTGCGTAGGGAGGCAAATGATGTATAGGCATAAGATATTCATGTGCGTTTAGTTATCACCATAAGATTTCAAAATTTTTACTTTAACACCCTATAATATTTTAGAAGTCTTTTCCCCTTGATTCCAATAGAAGAAGAATGGAAAAGTTAGATGAAAATCCTAACCTCAATTTGATAATTTTATTGCTTTTTTTATTGTTGTATATATATAATTCTCTTTGTAAATTATTAAAGGTGCGTGTAAGATAATTATGTCATTCTTATAGAACAAGTTAAACTATGTAACGCCTAAGAAAAATGGAATAAAGTACAAAACATGTTAAATGAAACATTTGAAACCACAAATGTTCAGGGATGAAAAGGGTAATTTGCCCTTTAAAGTTTGGCAACATATGGCATCTTGCCAACTCGAAAAACCAAAAAACCTGCATCATGTAGCTATCATAATCGACCAATACAATATATACAGAACAGTACCAATACGACATCTAGCAGCTCAGCTGGTTTCAAAGCATCCAGCATTTTACCATGATACATATTATGGCATCAAGCACTACAACAATTCCTTCTACATGCAGTGAGACTTCATGGTAACTGTGTTTTTCATATTCCTTAAGAATGACAGTATGCAGATAATCAGAATCCCCAATGCTTTAACAGTGAATTATCCCAACCTTCCACACAACAAATAAAAAAAAAAAAAAACCGGCAATATGACCAAATTATAGAGATTGCATTCCACCAACACACCTCCAATTTGACATCATGGGCCTTAAGAAGTGATCTAATTATTGCGTACAGCAGTATGGAAACTATGACTTAAGACTGCAATTTGATAAATATCAAGGTAAGCAGAATAAGAGGACTCACAGAGTGGCGGTAATCTTTGTGATGTTTACTTCTGTGCTTCTCCTTTGACTTCTTCTCTGATTCAAGCAAAGTTCATCAATGTGATATAACCATTTCATATAATGTATGAGACAAGCACTGCAGACGAGGTGCAGTTCTTGAGCATTATCAGAAAATACTGCTGCTAAAGTTTTAATAAATACTGTATGCATATCTCAAAGAATTGGCATGAAGTGAAGAAAGGAACCCAACAAACAGAACGCATCAACCTTTAGATGCAATAGAAAGACATATTTGGATATTCATTACAGTTCTCAAAAAAAAAAAAAAAAGAATTAATCAGAATTTTATTAGTGAATATTCTAACTATAATATTCATGCAAGTAAAACAATTCTTCAGATTGAATCATTGGAAGCAAATTACTGAGGCAGTTTCTCACTGTCAACTTACAATTTTAAGTCGTGAATCCAATAAAAAGTTAAAGATTTTGGATATTATACTTTCTTTTAATGGCACTAAATCCATTCACATTCTCTCAACTCATGTATTCCCAAAATCTTATATGCTCCAACTTGCAGCAAGAGCAAAGAACCTAAAAAACATGTCAAAAACTTAATGCAGATGAACACATTAACTGAAGCCATTTAAAGAGTTAATATAGTTAATACATCAACACCTTCACAGCTAAAGTTTTACAAAACACATTTAGTGATGGCACTGATTGTAGAGAGCTTGTATTGCTATCTCAATCCAATTGGAACTTCTAGAAATTCCATGAGATAACTACCACATTTATACAAAGAGCTGCCCCAGAAATCCCACCTTCATTAAAAGGCAGAAAAAACTTGAACTAAGGTATCATTTGGATGCAACTGAACCCCCTGTGGAGGTGTGGTTTGCATCAAAAACCATGAAAAACACACTGATTTTGTGTTTGGGCGATACCAGTTCAGTGCCCCACTGTGATAGAGCTTCAGTTGCTCACTGGAATCTCACTGGTCCAGTGAAAATTTCTTCGCTTCAACTGTAGTTTTATTCCATTTTTAGCCTCATTTGTTTTATTTTTTAAACTTTATTCATTTTTTATTTTAAAGTTTTCAAAATGATTTTTTTATAAGATAAAATTACTAATTATTAATATTTACTAACAAAACTATTATTTAACATAAAAATAATTTTATAATTTTATAAATATTTAATAATTTAAAGTTTTTATTACATCCAAATTTTAATCTAATATCCTCAATGGTCATTTCTCTTTTCATCATAATTCAACTCACCGCCACCGTTGCATTTATATCCAAAAGCATATTCTTACTATTGATTTTAAACTCAGCGCTATAGTAACCAATCTTACCTCTAATACTATTTTCAATTTCACTGAAACCAATTTCACTGCCCATCCAAATAGACCCTAACTTTCATATCAAGCAAAATGGCATGTGCTCGAAGCTAATTCAAACAGCAATATAAACATCTCAATCCATAATTGTATATTTATTGTTCCTTCATTTTCCCCCCTCCTAAGATGCTTTACTGTTCTCACTTGAATTTTTAAATTTAAGTCAACAAATGCAATATATACTATTTCATATATAGGCTATAACCCAATTCTTCAAGCTTTTGCCTCGTGAAGAAAATGCTACTCATGCTCAACAAAGACTCAAAACTCAAACCCAAAAACCAAAATAAAATAAAATAAAATAAAATAAAAATTTGAACTTATAAGCTTAAAGTTAAAACCTTTATCAGAAGAGTGGTTGTGAGGTTTCTTGTCTTTCCTTTTCTCTCTCCTATCATTCTTCTTCCTGCTTTTCCTTTCCTCTTCCTCTCCTCTCCTTTGCCTTTTTTCCCTTCCTTCATCTGTAATTTGACAGTAAACCAAATATAATCACTGTAAAAAGAAAAAGAAAAAAAAAAAAACCCTTCTATCAAGTAAGAATTTTGAATAAATCTTACTTGAAGCCCAAAGTAATTTAATTGGCATTTTGACGTTAATTTGGAAAATTCAAAAAAAATTCAGCGAAGAAAATTAAAAATTAATTGATTATTTTTTGATAAATAGAAAATTAGAGCCAACCTTCGGAGGCAGAAGAAGAGTAAGTTGATCTCTTCTTGCTCTTCCTTTCCTTGCTCTTCTTTTCCTTCCTCTCGCTTCCCATTTTCCTTTTTCTTTTTCGTCTCCTCGTGGAAATAAAAAACGCTGCGTTTTATACTATTTGGTAGTCAAAGAAAACGTTTTGGTCAAGCAAAGATAAAAATAAAAAATAACCCCACCCTAAAGAAACCTGAAAACCTTCTCGCCTTCAGCCCCTGAGAGAAACCCAAACCGCCAACCTCTCAAACCCGGCAACCATCACCAGAATCCAGCGGAGCCTCCGGTTAATACACTTCCTGCACTCAGTTCAAATGGTGCTTTACTTTGATTGAGATTGTACTCATGAATAATAGTAATCTAGTGCTCTGTTTGGCTGTAGGAAAAATCTTTAACAATGCCTGAGTTTAGCGCAAATTTATTTGACAAAATTTAACATTTTTTTTGTCAATTTCAATTTCTTGTAGGGATTTTCTTGAGAAAAGTGTTTCAAAGTGTTGCAATCCAGATTTTAATATGGAAGATTCTAATTTTTTCTTGGATGAGCCGGTTGTAACTCAAGGTTAGAAAAGCTTCAATTATTTCTTTTTCTTCTTATTTTTTAGAAAAAAGTTGGTTTCATTTTTGAGGCTGTTTGAATTAAATTTTGAATGTTTTGGCAGCTCGTGCTGGTGCTAAGTTTCAACCCAAGGCTAAACGTAAAGCGAAAGATGAAACCTCTGGCTCAATCGCTTCAAAACTTCCTGATGTTATGAAGGAAGAGGCAGTTAAATTAGCATCCGCTGGCTTAGATGCAGTTCAGGTTGTCCAGCCTGACGATGTTTTTGATGGCACTAGGAGCTCGCAAGTAATAAACCCTTCCCAAGTAGCTGTCTCAGATTCTCTACTTGCCGAGGTTCTAGTTTCGAATTCTTGTGATGATACAAATTCTAGTTTTGGAAGATCAGTTGGGGAGGTAAACGACAAAAAAAAAAACTATATATTTCGTTCATAATATTGTTGAATTCAGTATCTTTTCTTTTTAAATTGGATACAAATTATTCTGTGGATTTGGACACATTCATTACATCTGAAGGGAAAAGAAAAAAATGGTAACATATTTATGTTAATTTTCAGAATGCAGATTTATTTTTTGGGTTGGAATGTCTTGATCAATTTCTTACTCAATCTTCTAATAATGACGGAGGTATTCAGATTGATTTTGAAGAAACCGGGACACAGGTGAGTCATTACTTCCATAAAAGTTACAGAATTTCTTGTCTACAGTTACTACCTGTAGTAATTTGGTTAGAATATTTATTCATTTCAGGAAGCAGGGGCCTTTCCTGATGTGGAGACTCAAGATATTTTGTCTGATACGACCATTGGCTCTGGTTTGTACTAGAGCTACTAAGTCATTCTTAATTTCTTGCATGGTGTTTTGTGTGTCTTTATGAAATACTTGTTGATATTTAGGAAGGCGTGCTGGAAAATTCAAACCCAAGCCCAGGTTACAAACTAGTGTAGTCACCACACAACCTGCTGTGGTTGAATCTGTTATGCATCCTCCAAATTCTCAGTTTGTTGAAACTATGTGTGGAGAGAGCTCAATTCCTGACATTCCAATGGATGATTTTCCTGATTGTTCACCAATGGATTTAGGTGCTTTTATTCCTCCAGATCCTTCTACCACCAAATATCCAATGAATGAGGAACTAGCAGACCTCACAGAAGCTTCTAACCCAGGTGTTGACCTTTCTGGAGATATTCCTACCATGCCTCAAAAATTGGTAAATCTTTTCATCAACTAATTTCTTTCCTGTATTTGATCTCGTTCTTGGGTAAAACTCTTTTTGAAATTGCTTTACCTCTTGCTATTCTATTTATATTTGTCTATTGGTTCGCAGAGTTCTAATATCAGGCCAAAGAAGGCCTCTCACGTATCAAATCCTTCTCCAAAGTCCAAACAGTCTTTCACTGGAGATGAGGGGAATGAAAATGGAAAAGCAACAAAGCAGTTGAGAAAGTCAGTGACTAGTCCTCAGATTGTTGATGATCCTAAGGATGACACTTGTAATGACGATGGTATAGCTTCCGAACTTCCACATAGTTCTGCTATAGATGAGGATAAAGATGATGAAGATGGTGAAGATGACGATGACGATGATGAATATAATGTGGAGAGTGCATATCCGAAAAGGAGAACCACTAGGACGTCAAAGAAAAACGTGAATGAAAATGAAAAACTGCTTCGAAAGCGTAAGATAGCTAATGAAGCTCAAAAGCGTAAGAAAGCCAATGAACCATCAGATCAGCCAGCAAAAGAACAACGGAAGAAATTTTCTCATACAACTCGTAGAAAGAGAAGATTTGGTTGTTACAACTTCTAGACATTAAAGTTGTGAGGTATTATTCTTTATCTATTTACTAATAATTTCCTTTTTCTTTTCTAGTGGATGAGTCTTTGCTGCACACCCCAGAGGATGAAATTGACTTTGCAAAGGTGGCCTTGAAGGATATCATTCTGTTTGCAGATTATAAGGAGCGGTTAGCGGTACATATTCTGTTTTTCTATAAAAGTTACCATACTTTCTCCAGCCATGCAAAGGCTTTTTGCATTAGAATATCATTTATATTATCCTTGCTGATTCATTTCTATTGTCCTTTCTCTGACCTAAATCTGTCATATTATGCAGAAGAAAGAGGCAAAAACATCAAAAATACCTTTGCCCAATCAAAGGTACATGAATCTTTTAACTAGAGATGCATATGGCTAGAACTTTGTGTCTATTAGTTCTTCCATTTTCTTACTTTTCCTGAAATGCTTCTAACTTGCTGCAAACTTATGTTTTGGCATTTTAAGGATATACTCACTCTCTTTATCTCCCTCACCCGATGCATCTGTGTATATATGCCAATGCTACGTTGAGTAGAAATTTTGTTAAGAGTAGGTTGAGGCTTCACTCATAAACTTCACCATGCTTTGGGTAAAAATTGCTTCCATTGGTATCATGATATTTCTTTAGCTGACAAGAAATTTGAAATGTGAGGGCACTTGTTTGCTCTTTTTTTTTTTTTTTTTTCATTTATGTAATCATTTTGGCCTTGTATGCAGTACTCGTCAGACATTTGATGAGGAAAATGCTCATGATGAAGAAAGCTTCATTGCTTCAGAACAAGACCAAGGCTTTACAGATGATCAAGTGAGTGGTAGGGCTCAATCAAGTTCCTTCTGCTTAAATTATCAGTCTTACATGGACAAAGAACCGAGAGCAAGATGGTCAAAACAAGACACAGAATTGTTTTATGGGGTATGTGGATGAAGAATTTTATATCTTTTTTGATTCCATTAGAAACCAACTATATATCTGAAAACGTAATAGAAAGAGAAAAATGCATAATATGTCTTTCTTCCTTTTTGTGTGAGTGGTTTCAAAATTGTCTCAGTTTGTACTACAAAAATTTGTGTTTGAACCTTAGTTGGCATATTTGTTGGAAGGATGTATCACTGAATAAGTGTGGTAAAGTTACTGTGAATCCCATTTTAGGCATTATGAAGAGACACAGGTTAGGTTCTTAGGGCTCTTTCACCACTTTCTAGAATGAGTTTATGATCTGATTTTCTCTTGATGTCTGCTGTAATATGTGTTTTAGGCCATTCGGCAGTTTGGGCCAGATTTTTCATTGATACAACAACTTTTTCCTGGAAGAAGTCGTCATCAAATCAAGTTAAAATTTAAGAATGAAGAGCGTCGATGTCCATTTAAACTTTCTGAGGCTTTAGCAAGTCGTGATAAAGGTGAAGTTCCTTTTTGGTCGTCTTTTCAATCAAATGCTTCACTGATCTAATTATTGTGAGTTCTGTCATGCTTAAAAAATATGGTGTCGTAATATTATTAACTGTTGTGCAGATCATTCCTATTTTGAGAAGGTGATCAAGCAGTTGCAACAAGTTGCTGGGGCAGAGCAGGAGTCTCATGGAGATGTTTCAGTCGATTTAACACGTGAAGAAGCAGTGTTGACTCCTAGAACTAATGTATGTTTCCTTTTTCTTTATTTTCTTTGTCATCTGATGATAATTTGCAGTGATACCATGTTGATGAGGAGATATTTTGTGTTGAACATGTTGAGGAGTTGTTATGCCCTGCCTAAGGATCTGAATCAATGCGTGGGAATGGCTATATGCATTTTCAAGAATTTGCTATTACAACATTGTTGAGAAATTAGAAGGTGATAAGCAGAACGAATTATCTAATCGAAAACTATCCAATCCCAACAATGCTAGGCTTATTCATTGAATCTGGACAATGTCATTCTGAGTCTCTTACCCTCTTCATGTATTCACACCATGGCTCAAATTTGTCCTACATGCTAATCACAACCATGTTCCTTTTTTTTTCTCTGGATGGTGGTGGGATAATCACAGTTATGGGAATTTAGATGGATTAAAATTTGGTTATGTACTGCTTATCATTTGTAGCTGTCATTAAATTTTGCATCTTCCTTTGCTGATATGCTTGCAGGAGGAAGTAGCAAAACCTGAGCAGGATGAGGATATAGCAGTCAGAGATCAAGAAGCAGATGTTACTGAAGATCATAGTACTTTGAAGCCTGATGAAACTGATGATGATCATGAAATATTGAGTTCGTATAGAAGTTCATTTTAGGAATCAAGATCAGAAGAGGAGTGGTGTAGATTTTTTTACCATGTGGTGACTTTATTGATCACCCTCACTGAACCAACTTGAATTTAGACTATGATTCTTCTCAAGTTTTACTGAAATCCGATTTCCTTATCATGCCATATGCTTTTAAGAAAAAGCTGAAAATGAGTGTATTGCTTATTTCTAACGTATTTCTATGTTTTTTTCATTTCACTTTTAGGCAATTTTTTAATCTGCTTTTGCAAAGGGCAATTTCCGTAAAGGGGATCGAAGGTGGGATCCTTTTTCTTTAAGAAGAGATAAATAATCATCAATTACATTATGTCCTATTCAAAGGATGTATATATTGTAAGAACTCTATTTATAACTATTTGTATGTACCTTATTCCTTTAATAATTCCGCTAGTCTTGCTGATCATTTGACATGTATTTTTTGTGTTGATATTATATTTGTTCATATATACCATTTGAAAGTCTTATTATTACACCAAAGTGCTATTGGACATCAATTTCTTGAAGAGCATTACCTGTGTTATTGTTTTAAGGATTCTCACAATACGATCACTTGCTACAAACAGACATCAGATTAGTGTAGCTCTTATCAGATCTGCCTCACTAAAAGTTTTCTATTTCTTGAAATTACTATTGAGTTTGCTGTTGGCATGCATGAGGGCTAATGACAAGGTCGGTCCCTCTACTGAACGAGTCATACTTTATTTGCATGCAAGTTGATTTCAGATGAATGTTATGGCACCATATACATCTCCAAGAGGACAAGAATAGTACCAATGATGTTCATTGATGCTTTAATTCTTAGTGTTTCGAATTTGCCTCTAACATCGTGTGTCTGCATGTACATATGATAAGAGAAACTTGTTCCCAGCTTGTGGTTCCTCTTATTATGTACATATGATAAGAGAAAAAGGTTATGTGTTGAATTTATTAAATTATTAAATTTTTTTTTTTATAAAGGAAGTAGCTTTTTGAAAATAGAAAAAGAGGTTGTATATGTTGAAAACCTATTAGATAACATCTTTAAAAGGTGATTATATGAATTAATGCTCTCTTATGTCTATCTTTAGCTTCAGGCTAGTTTAACAGAGGGCTTCCTTGCAAGAAGCCTTATAGTCAAGGCCCAAGGGTGAAACGGTTTATTTGGACTTGCCCGCCTACTGCACTTGAGATATGCATAAACTTTATTATTTTCATACCCCAATCAATCCTCCAAGAAAATCCTTTGTTAGCAAAAACTTCCGAGTAAAAACCCTTTCTTTTAGTAAAACCATGAAGAAAAAATCCGGGGAAAACAAGTCCAAAGCCATTGAGAATAACAGTAATGGAGGGTTTTCAACTAAGGAGGATTGCTCTGCTGCTTTACTTCTTGCTTCTTTAAAGCATCAAAAGTTAGACAAAGAAACTGCTGTTACTTTGGATAATCTAAAAAAAACGTTTCTTCGTCCAAGTAAAGGCAAAGACAAGCAAGAAGAAGAAGACTCTTCTTTTCAAGAGGAACCAAGATCAGTTATTCATGGAAGTAACAGAAATCTTGTTTCAAATTCAACTATCTTTGACGATCATCAACCCCCAGATATCCCTCCCATAGCAGCTCTAGCCGGCCTCATTGGCGAATGTAGCAGGCCTTATGAAAAGCGATTGACGGAGAGTGATTTGAATGACGATAAAATAATGTTGAGTTTGGACAAGAATCACGTCCAAGAATTCATGAAACCATTGTTGAAAGAAGATGAGGATGTGATAAGGGAATCCCAGTGATCACATATGATTCGGAAGGGAAGGAGTACTCGATGAAGTTCGTGTTCTGCACTTTGTATGTGCTTACTACTGTTGGGTGGAAAAAGTTTTACAAAGAACATGGGCCTGGAGAAAGATATCGATATTGTTACTCTTTGGATGTTTCGCCATAGGCTGACACAGAATCTTTGCTTTGCAATCATTTGGAGAAGGTCGCCAATGGCAGTGCCAATGCAGTTGAATTGAAGAAAGGGTCAGTAGTTTAGCAATACTACTATCCATCAAAAAGTAGTTGAATGTTATTCTAGGAATATCATCTTTGGAGTTTCTGCAATCTCATGAAAACTTGAAGAAAGTGTTTAGAAAATCGATTTTATAGAGTATAATATTCACAATATTTTGTATTACATTCAAAAAGGCCGCAACTCTCTTGGGTCAATTTGAGCTTGTAGGGGAGGATAAATATTACATTAAGTTTTATAGTTGAAATTCGTGAAATTTTTTTATAAAAAATAAGTAAATAAAATTTTAATAAAAAATTCATATAAATAAATTGATAGAGTTTAATAAAGATTAATACTATGTAAAAAAAATATTAAAAATATTATTTATAATTCAAATTTGATCGATTTTATTCAACGATAAAAATTTTAATAACATTTTTGTTAAAAATATTTATTTAGTAAATATATAAATTTATTAAATTTTTTTAAAATTTTTTACATTTAATTTATGTGATGAGATTTTTTAATATATTAATTTTTATTTACTTATTTAAAAAAAAAAAAACTTAAGAAACTCCATGAAATTTCATGCAGGGGAAGAGAATTTTTACTTTGATTGAAACAATCTTAAATTGCTTGGGTAAATCACTTTCATGATCTCTAAGCTTTAAGCGAGTATCATTGTGATCCTAAAAATTTAAAAAGTAACATATTAGTCTTTATATTTCAATAGTCCTAACAAAATGATCCTTCCGTCAATAAAATCATTAGTTGAATTATTAAATGCTAAAATTACAAAATATATATATGTTAATAAAAATTTTTTACTTAATACTAGTAATTTTGATAATTCTATAAAAAATAAAATTACTCTTTACCCTTAAATTTTTCAGTAAATATTTTTTTGGATTCATTTTTAAGATAAAAAAAAAACTTGTATCTTGAAAATGAAAATTACCAAATTTTCTTCAAATTTATTTATTGTTTGTTTAAAACACAATTAAATTATAAATCATCATAAAATATTTTTTTCATATATTTATCATTTATTTTATAACATTTCACCGTCGTAAAATATTTTTTCAAAAATCAAGTTTTTTAGTTATAAAATATTATTATACAAATTTTGATTAAATATTATAAATTTTACACTATCACTTATTAAGAGAAAATAAAATTTTTAATAATTTGAATCACAATTAAAAAATTTTGTTAAAAATTTTTATAAACCGAGTCAAATTTTGATGACAATTTTAAGGTCTCATTCAATACTCAGTTTGACTCTTCCATTAAAATTTGAATAAACCCATTTTACCATTAAAATTAAAATATTAAAAAAATAATTCTATCTTAATATTTTAATATATTTTAAAATAAAAATTAAATAAAAATATTTTATTAATAAATAATAATTTGATCATATCAAACATAAGCTTTAAAAATCATATCTAAAACTTAGTCCGTGTGAACCTCACTTAGTAGATCTTATTAACAGCTTAATTTATGAATAAGTTTAATTGCAACTTAATAAAATTTTTCTTGAAAAATAAAAATATTAATTAATTTAAAAATTAGAATTACAAAAATAACAATAAAAATAAGAATTAATATACAAAAAAAAATTATAATTATTTTATCTCTTAACCTGAAACTTATAATATTATTAATATATTATCTTACTTTGTAATTTTTCTTTTATCTTTTTATTTAACTGTGGTTCAACTAATGCTTTGACTGACGGTAAGATCATTTCGTTATATTCATCAAAAGTATAGAGACTAATATATTACTTTTTAAAATTTAAAAACCAAAATGACACTTACCTCAAACTTTTAAGAGTAAGAAAGTTATTACCTTAAATTGTATCCATTCAAAGAAAGAATAAGGAATGGTAAAATTTGATTATCAAATTAAATATAGTGATTAAGGAGAAATAAGTTTCTAATGCATTAGAAGTAACATATTAATATATTAGAGTTTTATAGTTGATGTCTGATGTATTGTCAATAAATTAAATGATATCATCTCATTAATGAGGTAAATCAGATAATATTATCTCATTAATAAATAAATATTTAAAAAAAAATATTAATTTTTGTATATTTATTTTAAGGGCTGATATTTATCTATATAGGATATATCATATGTAAACTCAATATGTTATGGCATTTCTGTATAAAATGATTGATTAAAAAATTCAAGCAAGTTAATTTATATAAATATATTTAAAAGATGGCATTTAACAAATTTTAAATTCAAAATTTAATGCTTATAATCTATATTTCTATCTCAAATTGTGATATATTTCATAAAAAAATTTTTTTTGAAACCTTTAGATCACATATATTAAGGTATATGAATTTAATCTAATTTTAAGTTAATTTAATCTGATTATTATTAAGGGAGCTCAAAGTTGGACAGATTTGAAATTTTGTATAATCCTAATGAGATATGATCAAAATGAGAATAGTCTAATTTGCATCAAAATCAATATCATGTGATAAAACGTGAGAATACCACCTTGTGTAAGGCTAACAAAAGTAAAAGATTTCAAGATGATTGAATTTTTTTTTTTTTTAATTTAAGAGCAAGATTTATCGATTTATTGAATTTTAACTTATAAATTTTCTAAATTTATAAATTATTTATCACTAAAAGATCGTGAGAGATTCGAACCTCGGGGCTAATGCACCTCTTGCACATGATTGATTGGAAGCGGCGATTCAAGCTTTGATTACAACCCATTATTGAAACAAAGAGCCTAAATCTAATTCTGAATGGGCCAATAGGCCTGCTCTGTCCATAGTGGGCTTGACCCGTTTGGTCTTGTTGACCAGGAAAGTTATTGGGCTTTATAAAAAGACATGAATAACCTCGCTTTTACCAATTATTACGACATCGAATTTAAAGGGTTGGCTTTCAAACCTTCATCAAAATTTCTTGCTGTTGGCAACTCTCTTTTTAAACGAGAAATAGAAAAACACCAGAAACAGAATATCTTCGATCCGCAGGCTTTAATTCCTCAATTTACTTCACAAAAAACCCAGGTAAGCTTATTTCTCCTCACATTATTCTGTGTTTTCTTGGTTCTGTTGTTATATTTCCTGCATGTTTTTCTTATTACAACTTTCTTCTGTTACTGAAACATGTTAGTAGGTTTTTTCATGTTATATATTTGTTTTTCTGTTTGAACATTGTTCTTTCATTTTGTTGAAATTTGGGTTGTTTTATTTGAAAAACTTTTGGGCTTATTTATGTTTTGCAGGATAAGTAAAGGAAAGGAAAAACTGTTTGCTTTATTTCATCTGTTTCTTTTTTTAAGTGTAAAAATTCATTGGTGAATTTGAAAAGATGAGTGGTGCTCCAAAGAGATCTCACGAAGAAGGTGGTGGTCATTCTTCTTCTGCTTCTAAATACCCACATGAGGATACTGGTACTTACCCTAAGATGCCCTCGTCTTTGGTTCCCACTGAGTACCATCATCCTGCCCCTTATGAGATGGGGCAAGATGCTAGAATGCCTAGGATTCCCAGAACTGAGCCTCGTGATTCGGATAGAAGGTCACCTCTGCAGCACCCCTTGTATCGAATGCCTTCATCTACTGTTTCCAATGATTCACATATGGATTCCCATCAGGGTGGTTCTGAGAGTAGGATGGAGCCGCGGGATGCCAAGGAAAATCGAGAGGTTAGGGTTGAAAGTAGAGAACCAAGGGTGGAACAGAGGGAGTTTTATGGTGAGGCTGCGAAGAGGGAGTATCAAAGTGGGAAAGGGGAAAAGGATGGTAGGTTTGAGAGTAGAGGGGATGAGAGTAAAGAATTGAAATATGATAGGGAGAATTATGGTGAACCAAAGGGTGATGTGAAGGTTGAGAAGGATCTTTATGGTGGGCCAAGTATTAATTCCAGTTGGAAGGATTCAAGGGA